ACCGCCCCTGGAAGAAGTTACCCCCATAATCCCTAACTACTGCCTTGGAGTCCTCTGAACTCCTCTCCCTCTGGCCTTCAACCCTCACTGACCTCTCTTCTGCTCTCACCCTCCTCCACAACACCCTCTCCTCCACACTCGACACTCTTGCCCCCGTCACCTCCCGTACTGTCTCCTACTCTCGCTCCTCCCCCTGGTTCACCACCCACCTCCGCTCACTGAAGAGCCAGGTGCGGGCTGCTGAACGCACCTGCCTCTAATCTGGCCTAACGGTCCACCGACAAATCTGGCTGGACCTCCTCAAAATCTACCACTCCACCCTAGCCTCGGCCAAGTCGTCTTTCTACTCCAGGATAATCCTGGAGGCGAAGAATAACCCCAGGCTTCTGTTTTCTACCACATCCTGACTCCTCCGTCTCCCCCCCGCCACCCCGCGCAGGTCATCTCCTCCAACCTTCACTGCGAGGAGATGCTGGATTTCCTTGAATCCAAAATTAAAGGAATCCGCTCCGCGGTCACTCCCCCTCCAACTTCCATCCACCACCCACCCCCTCCCTCCCACACTCCGACTCCTACCCATCCTCCCCTACACACCTTCAAATCCGTTTCCCCATCCTCTGTCACCAAACTCATCCTATCCCTGAAACCCACCACCTGCTCCCTTGACCCCATCCCCACTCCACTCCTTATCTCCCAGCTCCACCTCCTTGCCCCACATATCACAGACATCATCAACCTGTCCCTCTCCTCTGGCTCTGTTCCCATTCCCCTAAAAACTGCCACCATCACTCCCACCTTGAAAAAACCCTCCCTTGATGCGTCGCAGCTATCAAGCTACCGGCCATCTCCAACCTCCCCTTCCTGTCCAAGGTCCTTGAAAGAGTTGTCGCCTCCCAGCTGCGCTCTTTCCTCTCCACCCATTCATTATTCGAACCCCTTCAGTCGGGTTTCCGTGCTGCCCATAGCACAGAAACCGCCCTGGTCAAGGTCACCAATGACATTCTGACCATCTGCGACCAGGGCTCCCTCTGCCTCCTCGTCCTCCTCGACCTATCGGCAGCATTCGATACGGTCGACCACGCTATCCTCCTCCACCGCTTGTCCTCCCACCTCAACCTTCAAGGCGCTGTCCTTGAGTGGTTTAGGTCGTACCTCTCCCACCGTCTTCATTTTGTTTCCACAAACGGATTTTCCTCCGGCCCCCGCACTGTCTCGTGTGGTCTCCCTCAGGGCTCTGTCCTCGGTCCCCTCCTCTTCACCCTCCATATGCTCCCCCTGTGGTGACATCATCCGCAGACATGGGGTTAACTTCCACATGTATGCGGATGACACCCAACTCTACCTTTCCTCCTCTACCCTCAACTCCATGACCACCTGACGGCCTGCCTGACATTGAGTTCTGGACGAGAGACAGCTTTCTTCAGCTCAACGTGCGTAAAACTGAGGCCCTCCTGATTGGCTCACGTCAGCGCCTCCGCACCTCAGGCGCTGACAGCATCAGCATCCAAGGCTGCACTCTCCACCTCTCAAAGCCAGTCAGGAACCTCGGGTTCTGTTCGACCCTGAGCTGTCCTTTCTCCCTCATATCCGCACCACAACTGGCACCGCCTTCCATCACCTCCGAAACATCGCCAGACTAAGGCACTACCTCACCCCTCACGCTGCTGAAACTCTGGTCCACGCCTTTATCACCTCAAGGCTGGACTATGGGAACTCTCTCCTCGCCGGCCTTCCCGGCCCTCCCTCCACACTGCAGGTCATTCAGAACTCTGCAGCTCGTGTACTGTCCCGCACCAGGCTTCGCGACCACATCACTCCCACCCTCGCTCGCCTCCACTGGCTCCACATCCCCCAGAGGATCGAATTCAAGATCCTCATCCTCACCTACAAGGCCATTCACGGCCTCGCTCCCTCCTACCTCTCTGACCTACTATCCCCCTACTTACCTGCCCGTACCCTCCTTTCCTCTGGCTCCGGTCTGCTCCACATCCCCCGCCCCAACCGCCCTACCATCGGTGGCCGGGCCTTCAGCCTCTCAGCCCCGAGGCTCTGGAACTCCATCCCCCAGTGCCTTCGCCCCTCCTCCCTTTCCTCCTTCAAGGCCAGTCTCAAGACCTTTCTCTTTGACCGTGCCTTCACCTCCCCTCTCGACTCTCTACCCCCTCCTTTCCCTCCCCTCACCCTGACCATTTCCCCCCTCTTCGCTCCCTCCCTCCCTTCCTTCCCCTCACCCTGACCATTTCCCCCCTGCTCGGGTCCTGACCCAACTGTCCAGCGCCTTGGGACGTCCTCCCGACGTGAAAGGCCTCTATAAATGGAATCTTGTTGTTGTTATTGTTGAAGAGGAGCTGGAAGGCAGCAGGGAGACGGGAGGAGAAGGTCCCTGGCGGTGGATAATAATTATCCTTGCATTTTGGTATAGCCTTCAGCTATAGACCGAGCCTTCAGCTCCCCTCTCGACTCTCTTCCCCCTCCTCGCTCCCTCCCTTCCCTCCCCTCGCTCCCTCCCTTCCCTCCCCTCACCCTGACCATTTCCCCCTGCTCAGGTCCTGACCCAAATGTGCAGCGCCTTGGGACGTCCTCCTGATGTGAAAGGCGCTTTATAAATGGAATCTTGTTGTTGTTTGTTGTTGTTGTATAGTGCCTTATCACATCTTCGAGACGACTCAAAGCCCTTAACAGAATATACTGTAAAGTTAATTCACTGTATATTTTATGGACGAAACACGTTTCATGGATGTTCACAGTGCCCTCTATTCTTACCAGATCACAATGTGATGTAATTAGTAATAGAGCTGAGGAAAAGGAAGCAAATGTTGGCATGTAGGGAAGAAATGTCAGAGAAATGAGTTGGGAGATAAACTGAATCTCCTTGAACCTGGCTCTGCTGAGATGTCTGGCTAAACCATGCAGACCTTGTGGAGACCTGTAGCTCAGTGGTTAGAGCACTCGCTTTGCAAGTGAGAGACCTGAGTTCAATTCCAGGCAGAGGGCGAAACCTTGGGCAAGTTTCCTTACTCCACACAGAGCCTAATAATAATCCTCCAAAAACCCAAAACAATAATAAATTGGTCATTTTCAATCTACGACTGTTTGTGGGACATTGCTGTGCGCAATTGGCTGCCGCGTTCGCCCACAAATATACAGTCAATTCACTTTACAGTGTGTTCTGTGAAGCGCTTTGGGATGTCCTCCCGACGTGAAAAGCGCTATATCAAATGCAAGGATTATTATTATAGATCTGATGGTTGTTGATCTTCCTGTTTGACTCATATTTGGAGACGTAGGTGCATCATCAATTTTTGGTGCCAAAGTTCCTTTAGGTACTGCAGTCTTAACCAGATAAATACTTTGAAATGTTTGTTTTCGGACATAAATGCATCGAATACATTTCAATCCTGCGGGTCTGGGTTCATAAAAACAAGACAACCTGTCATATTTTAATCTTAGTCTGAAAGGCTGTGTGCACAGTGCAGGGAGGAGAAAGTGGTTCAGATATCTTGAGGCTCTACTGAAATCAGGTGCTGTAGTCAGCCCCAATGGATAGAGTTGTGAGTTGTGGACTATTATCTTACTGGTTACTGGTTAGAATCCTGGTTCGTGCTGTGTTTGTTACTCTCAACCTATGTTGTGTGAGGAAGCTAAGCTAATCTGTTGACTTTAAACCAGTCAACAAGTGTCACCTCCATGCAAACATGTTTAAATATTGACCAGTTTTGTAAAGAAACCAAATTATTGATTGGAGTTTTGAGCATCGGTATGTTTCTAATTTAGCCACTTTCTTCGTTGCAGGTGAATAATGACATTTTATGCTTTTCAGGGGTCGGGATGTTGTTCATTATGGTGATTGGGGTTTCTCTCTCACACTCACTCTCTATCACGCATTGCGCAAATTATCAGAATTGAACACTTCCAAGATCGAGTGTTGGATACAAGATCAGACCTCCCCCATCCATACACTTGAATTCATTTCATCCTCTCAATTCCAATAAACTTAAATGACATTTCCATCTGTATGGAAAGATATACTGAGTGAGATATACTGTTTGTGCTGAATTCCGTACCCGCGGTGGACTTCCAACCACCACAACTGAATTGAGACTACCTAAATGTATGTCACTTGGAAATATAACAATAATCCTTGCATTTGGTATATATAGTGCCTTTCACAAGGAGAGCCAAGTTATTGTGTGAGGACAGGGACAATACTTTATTGATTTCACTTTGTTATACTGTGGTTTTAATGGGGCTATTGGGTTCAGTATCACTGTGATCTAAAAGATACTGCTGACACCAAGGTAATTTTTTTAACACTTAATTCTGTTGCTTTTCAGCATCTAGGGCATCCATAGGGCACCACTGAGCTCATTATTCTAGAGAGGAGCCGCAGTACAGATCTCCAGCTTTGTTAATAAGTGAATGTCCTATTTGATAGCTTTGTTTTTGGCTATCTTACTGATTGATGAGACATGGTATTTTGTAACCGTGTAAGGATGGAACTTTGGTGATGTTGATCTTGCAGTAGGTAACCAGGGTATCTCATCTGCTGCTTAAGCACCAGTCAAAGGGCAAATGGAGTGTGGAGTCCTGTAGCTCAGTGGTTAGAGCACTCGCTTTGCAAGTGAGAGACCTGAGTTCAATTCCAGGCAGAGGGCGAAACCTTGGGCAAGTTTCCTTACTCCACACAGAGCCTAATAATAATCCCTCCAAAACCAAAACAATAATAAATTGGTCATTTTCAATCAATGTTTGTGGGACATTGCTGTGCGCAATTGGCTGCCACGTTCGCCCACAAATGCAGTCAATTCACTTTACAGTGTGTTCTGTGAAGCGCTTTGGGATGTCCTCCCGACGTGAAAAGCGCTATATCAAATGCAAGGATTATTATTATTATTATTAAATGAAAATCTGTTACTGATGTTTCAGAACCAATTATAAACCCGCTTGTTGCAGTTATTGACCAGGTGGCTGATTCTTGGTATTCTCTCTTTCTCTTGTAGTTTCTTTGGGTATTTTCTGTAAATGGATCGCAGCATCATGTCATTTATCGAAGGAGTTGGTGATGAAGTCACAGTTCTTTGTGGAATCATTCTCCTGGTACTGGCTCTGGTTCTCGCCTGGCTCTCCACGCACGTCGCTGATCGCAGCGATCAAATATTTGGGACCATCGTTACCACAGGGAACTCGCCACTGGTGGGTCTGAGCGGCGTGGAGAGGTATGTAGCCAATGCAGCGGCCCCTGAGGTTGACGAAACCCAAACGGCAACAGCCTCGGCCGAGCAGAAACCAGAGGAGGAAGGAAACTCCGGCTTGGGAGCATCGCCAGGGAACAACGGACCCACGAGTGAGCAGCTGCCTATCGAAGGAGCTTCCAATTTAACCGAGTCGAGTCTTGATCCTCTTTTGAACATACAGGGGTTACGCAAACGAACATCGTCTGGCGAGATTAGCACCGGAGACGGACTTGATCAAGGAAGGCTTGAAAACTGTAATGTTAACACTCACACTGTGGACAGTAGTGAGGAGGGTGATGGGCAAATTAAAGTGCGTCTGAAGTTTTTAAATGACACAGAAGAGGTTGCACGAGTGAAACCAGAAGATACCATTGGTTTTCTGAAGAGGTAAGACCTTTGCCTGTTAATTATTCAGAGGGCTTCGATAACTTGACAGCCCTTTGCTGTTGTGCCCTCTGAAACGCCACATTAAATTTATAATTTTTTAAAAAAATTACAGTTCATTACAATTTGGTGGCTCCAATTCTTTAGTGTTGTCGGTAAGTTTACCACGTTCTAAGGTCAAACTAAACCCAAGAGCAAGTTACTGCTCGATTCATATTTCGATTTGCCAATTTTCAGTGGTGGTGGTTCAAGTATTATAACTATTACGTTAACTCTACTTTAATATGCTCACAAAGGTGGTGTGATACCAGACTTTGTGCTTTCACCCTCGCACACTACCTCTTTCTGAAGCGTTCGCTCTTTGCTTTGGGCTAAATTGCGCTTGTTATTTACAGTACAGTTTATATTTGAACATTTAAGAAAATGTGTTACTCAGATCTCAGCTCAATGCTCTATTACCAATGAGATCTGATAATTCTTTGTGAATTTGAGATTCTGTAGCCTGTAAAACAATTTTTTTGCATTTCTGGGATGTGTGGATGGGCGAGAGAAGCTACATACCATTGCATCGGTCCATAAAGGCCAAAGATTAACACAGTCTTAAGGTGGCGTTTCTATTTGATTATACACATTAGAATACTCCGATTCCATTCTCTGGTGGGTCTGGGCAAGCAAAGAAGTTTGACCCTCTTCAGTCGAGGAGGGAGTGTGTTCCAGGGCTAGGGAAAAAGTTTTTTCCACTTGTGATGGGTGTCCAGTTTTGGAAAGTGCATGTGCACGAATGTTGCGCGAGAACTAGATTGGATCTGATTGCACTTCTCCCGGTTGGTAGATACCACCATCAGCGTTGAGATTCAAGCTTGAGGACCGGTCACTTTGGGGGATGTACAACAGAGCCACTGGTTCCCGTGGTATCACAGGGAGAAAATTAGATTCTAATAGTTGACTTCAAAAGGAGTTGAAGTTATCTTGGCACAATTAATTGCACCACCTCAGCTCTTCTCTTGTCCACACTAGAAGGTTTTCCTTCTTCAAATTTCCTATTATTTTTAATGCAAGTGCTTCTCCCTCCCTGAGCAATGGAACCATTTACTATTAACTGAATGTCCCCAAAAATGATTCTATTCAAAATCAGGTGGGCACTTTGCTTGTCAGGAAATGTATCCTAATGAACTTTAGGAGGTTGTGATGCACGGACAATGTATCAAAAACCTGTCAAACGATCGCGAGTATTTCAGAAACCTAATTGGCAATTTATAAATGGATTAAATTATATGTTCGGTCTGTTTCCAGGACATCTGTGATGTCAGTGGAGGGGTGATTAAGGGGATTGGTGAAACAGCTCGTACAGTGAGACTTGGACAGAGTGAGAGCAAGGACTAGTCATAATTCACATCAACTTTTTTTAAAAAAACATTCCCCCACACGTTCCATTTGACTAATCAGAATCAGATCTAGAGAGCCTTGACGTCATGTGCTAGGTATCCACTGATACCTGTTGTTACTTTGCCAGATACTCGAGAAACCTGAATCGCCAGCTCAGTAGCTACATTAAGCCATTGCTCAAACCTGAATTCTTTTGTTACAAACATATTTTGAGGCATCCAGGCGTGTTGTGTTCTTTGCAGTAAAGAGCAGCAATTACTTCTTTAGTCACCGCTGTTGGTCAGACCTCGCCAGCTTTGATAACTCTTTATTTGGGATCTGGAACAATTATTTTGAGATTTAACTGTTTCTTCTCTCTGACTTTTTCCTTTCATTTTCTTTTTACCGTCTCCATTGGCTTTGTGTCCATTTCCCAATATGCATGCATGTGTTTTTCTTTTTTTCTTTCTAACCTCTCTCTCTAACGTGCTCTCTCTCTTTCTCTCTCTCTAACATGTTCTCTCTCATAACACACATTCTTCCTTTTTCTCTCTTTCACATTTTCTGTGTGTCATCTGTCTGTATCTCTCTCTCACACCACACATGTTCCCTTTATCCGTTTCTCTCCCCCATCCCTTGTTCTTTCTCTCTCTCCCCTTCCCACAGTAAATATTTCCCAGGACAAGAGCAACAAATGAAGTTAATTTACCAGGGCCAGCTCCTGCAGGACCAGTCCCGCACCCTTGGGTCCCTCAACATCACAGATAACTGTGTTATCCACTGCCACATCTCGCAGACTTCATCCTCCTCTGACCCCGCTGTTTCCTCTGTGGTGGAGCAGAACCAAGCCGCACTTAACGTTGGCAATCTGATGATCCCGGTTTTTGTCATCATGCTCGCTGTAGTCTGGTACTATCGCATCAACTACCGCCAGTTCTTCACTGCACCAGCCACTGTATCCCTGGTCGGGGTTACTGTGTTCTTCAGCTTTCTTGTGTTTGGCATTTACGGTCGATAAAGGCGCAAGTGAGTGATTGCGTGCGTTCTCATTCATCTTGATCACTGCTTATGAAGTGCAATTGAATGTAGTGTTACCGGTCAGTCAATGTTCAAATGAATTGATGAGATGTGATGTGGAACCATTGTATATTTTTTAAACAGGAGTCCAGCTTGGCACTGACTCTTGACACTTGACTTTTGCCAGAAATCCATATTATCAGCAATGTACTACCACTTACTGATCAATATATATATATAAAAAAGAAAACTAGCTCGGAAAATGATCATTCACAACTAAGCAGAAGTTGGGATAGGGACTGGCTGACTGAGTTGAGTGTTGATGCTGGTGTCAAAACTGTTACAAGTGACATGATAAAGTTTAATACTGATAAGTGCATAACATTGCCTCCAAATTGTGTGTGCAATCAGGTTTCTGCACATTGCAAAGCACAGAGAAATGGCTTGGATCAAGCATGCATTTATCTAACCTCCACTGCCAGTAGTCAACATTTAAGACAAGGTTATTCTACAGCGAGCAAATCACAATATTGCTGTAAGGCATGATATAAAACACAATAATCAATCCCTTCCACCCTAATGTGAAAACCATAAACTATGATAGATGAACCAACAGAACAAGCCTTTTTTCAGTGGACAAAGGAGGTATTTATTTCATATTACAATATTAATAATACCCTCACAAAAGGGAGAGAGGAATCTTACTTTGTCCACAACTGTTCAATGCCTTTACTTAATGGCAGACGGCAGAGGAACCCAACAAATGATCAGTTCTATGAGTGGTATCTTTTGACTTTTCAATGCCAGACTATGTAATATTTACATGATTTTTATAACTGCTTGATCATATAAAGGTACCGCAATCTGTTGTATTTGCATAATTGTAATAAGACGTGCCCAATCTGTGGTTTGTTCCCTGAATGCTTTACTGATGTTGTCATATCATGTTGCCTTGGGATTGTCACTGCAGTTACAGGTCAAGAGTTTGAAAGAGGGATGCAAAGGAGTGTTGGAAGCAGTGTGTAGAAATTAGGGAGGCAAGAGTTTTATACAGAAAGAAACAGTTCTACAATCGAGAGAAAAATAAGCAGCAATGTTTTAAAAGTGAAGGGGGGTGGGAATGGGGGGAGAAAAGTTGATGTTTTAAAAAAGTTTTACATAGAAAGGGTTTGAAAATAAAACTACAGTCAAAAATGTGCCTACGAGGTTTGTGAAGAATAAAACTGCAGCAGTGATTTAAGTAGCAGGAATGATAATAGATTTTAAGACCACAGCATATTTATTTCAGCATGGTGTTTTTCATGATTTTCTTTAAACCTAGGCTGTAGGAAATAAACTATGCCCCACAGCAGTCTCTCTTCACCATTGAACCTGAAGTTGCTGCAACCAGGAAAATTGCAGCAGAGTTTAGAGATCGATGCATCCCTGTTAATTACAGCCAGAACTCAACTACTTTGAATTGAGGCTCTGACAAGGCCTGCTTATTTTGGGAATGTACTCAGATGTTGTTTGTTGTTGAAGCAGTCAAGTTTGGAATAAGAGAGAGCATGACGTGTGGCTGGAAAAGTGAGATGAGGCATGTGGTTAAAGGAAAATGGCAGGCAGTGGGCAGAGAACAGTTTTTGCTGCCTGGGAAACAGTTGATTATGAGGTCTGAAAGAGGCTGAACAGGTTCAGATGCCAGGAATATCTGGGTTTTTGGGAGCGGAACTATACACAAGAGGTGACTATAGAGGAGGCAGTGACCACACCAATCAAAAGAACACAGTAGCCAGTTGAATCTCTGCTGCATTTTGATCATTTCTTTCTTTCAAATTTTGAGTTTTGAAATATTGCTGCTGTTTATTTTTCAGATCTGTAGAGCAGACCTATATTGCACTGAAAGCAAGGCACTAGGATACTGAGTTTTAAAATCTATATTTCTGAAAATGTTCTCCTTTGTTTAGAGATAACAGCTCATTGAATGTAATTAAAAATGGAAACCTGTTCCAAGTTTTTGGTGGTTGATTTATTTCTATATAAGCCTTATTTGTTAATTTATGAATTACATTTGATGTAGTGTCTATAAAGTCACAAGCTTAATAATAATCTTTGCATTTGATGTAGCGCCTTATCACATCGTCAAAATGTCTCAAAGCACTTCACAGGATACACTGTAAAGTTTAGTGACTGTGTTTTGTGGCAAATATACAGGAGTAGGCTCTTCAGCCCATCGAGCATGTCTGTTAAAGTAATCTTTTCACGTGTGAATTAATTGTCATTGGAATAAAAACATCTATTGACGGGTGAGTAATTATGCCACTGCTCAGCTTAAGACAGAGCAACACAAAACATTGAAGAGTTCAACTGTACACCTTTATTTACACAGAAGCAGCACAGTCACTATGAGATACAGAAATATACAGTGAACTAGCATTCTGTTATGTATGAAAAATTAAAACTTTTACACATCCATCAGCTTCTTGACAGACATGACCACATGCATATTTCAATGTTACTGCATAAGTCACAGAAAACTGAGCCCAATGGCACATGCCTCCCTCCCAACCCGCTCAAATACTCATCAATTCTAGACTTGATCCCACTCAAACCTGCATCTAAATGATAAATAAAACCTGAGTTTCCAGTTTCACAGCTGTAGAAAATAATTCAAATATTTTTGCTCAAGAAGAAAAATCTGAGAGTGAAAATGGTACCCTGCTCTCCACCTCTCCAGGGTGCTTTACTCGGATCCAAAATGGTGCTATCTGGGTTCCTTATTTTTAACAGCTTAAACCATGGTTTCACTAATCACAGCAGGTCCCCTTCCGTTCCTATGTCAATCATAGCTACTTGCTTAATTAAACCCAGTAAGTCTTTGTAGCTACCGTGCCTCCCTCCCATACAAGCATTCAGTGAATCTCCATGATACTCGATACCCCCTATGGTATATTCTTACCCATCTGTATGTGCACGTGCGCACACACACAATCAGTTGTCATGATTGTTGAGTTGCTATCCACATCTGTGTGGTCACACTAACTCTCATACATAACATACTCGCATGTAAATTTGGGACTAAGGCTCCCCCCCCCCTGGTGAACTAAAAAAAAAGAAATATGAGCAAACTGTCAGTGCCAACGTCAAAAGTACAGACCTACTAACCTGCATCATGAGAATGTACAAATGCACCAGTGCCATCAAGAAGGTAGACAAGTCAAAGCTGCCATACAATACAGAGACCTCTGCCTGCCAGTGCTGGCAATCACACGTGTACCATTTACCAGAAGTTACAGACGAGCAAATGCTAACAGTGACACAAGAAAGGGAAGGGCGTGCCTACCGTACGTACCATGAAAAATTATACACATCCATGTCGGCATAAATAAACAGCACCATTTTGTCAAAATGCGGTGCCCACCCATAATGAATTGAGTTTTGTTGCATGCATGTTTCTACAGTAGCATTCTGCTTGAATCTGAAGTGCACGCAAGCTTTTTTTCTTTGCACAAAAAAAAAGCACAGTGCTCAAGTTGAGGAATAACTGGTATATAATATTCCCACAACTTTGCCTGGATTGGCAACGGAAACAAGTCACTTCAAGGGAATAACTTCTCGGTCGTTGCAAATAGGAATGTATGTACGAGCACAAAAGTGTATTGCAGGCACGGGCAGGATAGAACAGTGAAAGCGACAGAAAAGCCGAGTTAGCAGAATTTGGTTAAAATCAAATTGAGTTTTGTTTTAAAAAAAGTTACTGTGCTGGCAACTTCGTGTTCAAAGACAGAATATTTATAGGCAATGAGGCATCTCTAGAAACACAAGCACGACCTGCGTAAGTCTTATGGTTCCATTTGTAAGTAAATATAAATAGATACGGGAGGCATCAAAAGACGTTAGGTCTGGTTGTGAAAACATTTAAAATTATAAATCCCTTGAAGTGTCGCTATAAATAAGCACAAGGAAAATCTGGTAAAATAATAATAGATGGGCAATATACCATTTTAAAAGCATTCGGTCTAAAGGCAATTATATGAATGTTTTTTGACCAAATTATTTAATATTACATGCTCCACATTTCCAGCAACCTGTTCTATGCCTAATGCACACTACTACTCCCTTTGCTTGCTGCAGCTCCCGTTTCAACCCAGAGAGCAAGATACACTACTTTGGATCACAGACTTCTGATCAATTAAGCAGTCACAGTTCAGATCGGTGGGCTGAGTCTGTCTCTCTCCTCTTGAAGATGGTGGAATGATGCAAGGAACTGATAACCTCTCGGCCTCGCTGAGAGCAATAGAGAGAGATAGGATTGTAACCTACAAGGGTATAACCAACAGCTAAGCATCTTGGGATGGCATAATAATTCCTGCATAAACTGTTGATCAATCATGAAGTGGAACAACTCTTCCATTGGAGAGGGTATCACAAAAAGCATCCATTCAAAAGGCAACTGGGCATCTAGTGATCTCTTGCACCAACACTTGATATTCCAGTCCCAACAGAATACTGATACAAACAGAAGCTTAAAACTAGGAGATAGCAGCTGAAGCTGAAAGCAGTTTAGCTTTTTCTCAGGCGGGCGAAATAACCTGCAGAGCATTCACTCTTTTACAATTCATAAACTGACCATTGGCCAGTCTCCACCGACACTGTTCAGTTAGCGGAAGTGGGAGAAACCAAAAGCTGCAGCAGCAATTTGGGTGCGGAGGTGGGGTTGGGGAATAGATACATAAATGCCAAATTTTATCCAACTAAAACATATTTAAAACTTGGTTTTATTTAAAAAAATACTATAAACAGTATTGTTAAGACCAGAGCTCCCCCCCACCCCACCCCCATTTTGACAGCTACATTCCTAGTGGAAAAAAGTAAATTGCATTAATTGTACAAGACAAAATACAAAGCAGAAAAAATTACAGCCAATAAATTATTGGCAAATTCAAGCCTGATCATGCCTGGTCCTTCCGTGCTCCATGCACCGAAGGGGGTGAACATAGAATATTCGGCTAACAAAAATAGACTGCAGTTGTCCTGCACAGCAAGGATTCTGCCGCAGTTAATTCTTTGATTTAATTTCTTTTTTAAAACAGACATTGCGAAACTGGAAGCACAAGTTTTAGTCATGCAACAATAATGGTACAAAAGCGTTCCATGTGCCACTGGAAATCAGGCAATCAGCTAGCTGGCTCCAAAACAGAACATTTGAACGCAGGGAACGTTTTGCCGAATTCACTCATGATTTTTGTGTTTTTTTTCTCTCTCCTCTCAACTGAAATCTGCGACATGTCGCTCGGGTTCACCGGCAGACATTTTGCAAAAAAAATAAAAATTGCGTTGGTTCTTTTTGCAATGCCCTGATAAGGGCAGTATCAAGTCCAGAGAACCTTTTAAGAGTCCAGCATACACGCGCGCGCGCGCGCACACACACACACACACACACACACAGACGTAAAGTGCAATGGTTTTTAGTGTTGGGCAGCTTCACAACTGCCTGGCAGGAAGCAACACGCAGACCACTTCTCCTAACGAGAAGAATGTTGAGAGGCAAATCAGCCTTCTCCCCACCCGTTCCAAATCTTAGGTTTGCTATTATATACTTTTTAAAAAAAAACTAAATTCCAGCTTCTCAATTGTGAAACATAATGAAATGTCTACTCCAATTTGGTCCCACACACACCACGCTGTTTTAGACAAATAACTACCAAACGAGGACTCTCCTCCCTCAGCAAGCATACCCCCTCACCTCCAATCTGGCCCCCAGCTTTGGTCAACAATGCTGTGATGCGAGTAAAGATCGAGAAGAATACGTCACAAGGAGTTGCTGTGAAAGGCTATGGCCCATCTGCACTGAGAAGGTCGATCCGTAAACTCGCTATATTTGGGGCCACCGGTGCTATCACAATGGTCATTGCATAACACCCAGGTTGCACTCGGTTGCTGTCTTGGTCGTTTGGTAATATTTGGTGGTAGTCAAAGGTTAAGATTTTCAGCAAGACATCCTACCATTTGTGTCGATCGAATATTACTGGCAATCGCCACAGGAGTCTAACCACCATGGATCCACAGGCTACACTGCATTACAAGCCTGTGACTCGACCCTGTTATGTACCGTTCATCGGGTCCACACGACTGCATTCATTGAGTTCATATCCTTCAAACAGTGAAATGTTGGGGGTACGGTTTTGAGTGGTCAATCCATTACAAATCATAAATAACATTGCGCCCAAATATTGATACAAGGTCAAGACAACACATACCTAACCCTTGTAGTATTTACAGGTGATGTTCACTCTATTGGGTGGGAATTTTGGAAAAGACTGGTGCTTTATAGAAAGATGCACTGGACAAGTTGGATAATTTTGAATTATCGTCTGGATAAGCCAACATACAAAAAGCCTCTGCTTGAGATGATGGCTTCTTACTCTGATTTAACGGACTTGTCCATGCTGAGACACCCAGTCTTGCTTCCAAAATGACCCTTCCTTCTGAATTCTCTCACGTACTGCACTCATGTTGATCACTGCTCCCTCAGCTCTTGGGAAGAACAAAGACTATAAACCTTTTACCTCTCAAACGCCGTAGTTACTCACTCAGCGAGCGAACCTTTGCTCTGCCGAACACACAGAAACTCAGTACGACTGGCACAGCAAAAGCTTTGAGTGCCCTGTGGTAGTTATAAAAAGTCCACTCTGTAGGAAGGGGCTGAACAACGGAGTTGTAAATCTGTGAAATTTAGCGGATCGGGGCTGAGTGAGGTTGATCTGAAAGATAGTCAGAAACGAGTGAGTGGCAGATTTAGTCATGGGTACGCACCATAAATTCAAGAGGCTCGATACACAATTAATAGCAGAGTTAAACAGCGACGTTTCATCAGCTTGACACACCCAGCAAAAAACATCCCTCATTCTTCGAATAATAAATAGGAAAAAAATCTCAAGCCATGATGGAATGAAGCCTTCGGCTTACACCACCACAGGCAGCCAAGGGTCAAACACAGTCCTGAATCCAAGTCACTCCTCCTGATCCGAGTGGGGTGGCCGGCATGCCACCTTGCCACAGCAAATGCCCACGGGGGGAAAACTCGTCGAGAAAGAACACAAAACAAAGTCAGCGCCACTTCCTTCAGTTGATGTCGTCGTAAATGCTAGCAGTGGGCAGAGCTGGCGCTTTCAGCTTCTTCTTTTTATTGGAGCTCAGGCCAGAGGCACTGGGGAGACCCAGGTGAGGCTTCTTTTTTTTGCTCTTCTTGGAGTCAGAGTTGTTGGTACCTACCCATGAGACAACAGAAACGCGTTAGCTGCAATTTCAACCACAACGAAGCGCCCACTGGTCCCGCTGTTCCTTTGTTGTCGCTGGCTCAAAGGTCCCAAGTACCTCCCTATCGAATGAACATCACCACCGTGAGAGCTCAGGTCACCCTCCAACAAGGGGAACTGCGGGGGCTTTAAAGAGAGCCCCCCCCCCTCCCCCACCACCAGGGCAACTAGGGCTGGGCAATAAATGATGGCAAAATGCTAGATGTGGATGACCCACATCCTGAGAAATTCATGCATTGTCAAATGTTGGCAGACAGATTCAGAAAACGTCATCGACTGGTTCAGGAGCAATAGAGAGCGTCATATCTACAGCAGCACCAGACTAAACAAGCCCAACGAATCTTGTAAAGCTTTGAGAAGTCTCTATGATTTGATAAGGTTGCTGCATCAAATTGTTTTTTGAAAGCAGGTTCTCGTTGTCTTACGTTTCCAGTTAGTCAAGAGAGCAGATCAGAAGCAGACACGGTGGGGGTTGCAGGAGAAAGAGAATGAAAACCCCAATCACTCTCTAGATAAGCGAACCGCTGTGAGTTACAGAGTTTAGTTCGTGGGTTGGAGGGTTAGAGACACTCACTTGCTTTAGAGGAGGCAGAATCCGAAGGTGAAATATCGGAAGTCCCGTCCCATTGAAGCCGGCTCATAAACGATTGGCTCTCCGAGGCATCGTAACTCTCGTTCTCCACACTGACTTCAGAATCTGGCAGGGAACTGAAAAGAGGCAAACGGCAGACTGACCAAAAACTGGTACACAATTCCCTTTGAAATACTGACACAGCTTCACCAATAGTTTTGTGATGAATTATTCGCTTATGACATTTCTAGGATTCTACAAATTTAATTTGGGGAAAGGGCTTCTTAGTCAGTCCACACTGATGTTACTTTAAAATCCCAGTTTTTCAGGCCTTCAGCTTCTATGCCCTCACCCTCCGAAACTGAGGATTTCTCTAGAAGACGTTTGAACTGAGAACCCACTCGAGCTCTATGTCAACTCACTGACAACAGTAACAAGCTCACATCCTCACTCAGCAGCACTTACGCTGAAGAGCCCAGAAGGTAGGTCCGTACAGATTTCCGCTGCTCGTCCGTGTGCTGGGGACACCGTAAGGATCTGAAAAGCAACAGCAAAGAACTGCGGTAATACCACCAAATACGATGTGGCTTATACTGTATGTCAAGCTTCCAAATCCAGTTTAAATAATAATCCTTGATTTTATACAACGTCTTATCACATCTTCAAGATGTCTCAAAGCGCTTCACAGAATATACTGTAAAGTGAATTGACTATATATTTTGTGGGCAAAATACAACAACCAATTGCCCACAGCAATATCCCACAAACAGCCGTGGATTGATGGACCAATTTTTTTAAAGGAATTATTACCCCAGTAAAGTGAGCCGCCAATCGACTAACAACCGGGTTTCTACTTACTGCTAGGTAAACAGAGGTGTGTGGAGTAAGGAAACTTGCCCAACGTTTTGCCCTGGCAGGAATCGAACCCAGGTCTCTCGCTTGCGAGGTGAGCGCTCTAACCACTGAGTTACAGATTTGTATTTACAGCATCAACAATCAAGTTCATACTTGTTCATGTAGCATAGTGCCAACTCCATGATTCACCACTAAATGGAGTGCTACAAAATCAAATTCACCTCCGCTGGTGAGGGGATGATAATAATAATCCTTGCATTTGATGCAGCACCTTATTACATCATTGAGACTTCTCAAAGCTTCACAAGATTTTACTGTGAAGTGCAATGACTGTGTATTTGTAGGCAAACAAGATTGTTAATTTGCACACAGCAACATCGCACAAAGAGTCATGAGGTGAATGATCGATTTTATCTGGGGGTGGGGAATTGTTAGCCAGACACTGAGAGATTCCCTTATTTTTGAGTCAGTCCATAATGTCCGCCTGAGCAGGCAGATCAAAGCACAGCTCCCAAGACAGGACAAGTATAACCGAAAAGATTAACGTTTGACACGGCAGCTTTGACTTTGAAATGTCCCAAAGAAATTCATAGGCAATTGATGTCAATTGGAGAGATTATGAATCTGTTGGCAAACAAGGTAATTAATTTGCACATGGCAAGTTCCCATAAATAGCCATGAGGTGAATGACCAATTAATCTGAAGCAGTGCCGGCCAACAAGCACCTCCTGAACATCCACTCTAGTTCAGGCAAGTCTGTGTCAATGGGGAAAGAGCGGGGGAGTGGGACTGTTGGGGTAGCTCTTCCAAAGAGCACAGGCACGTTGGGCCGAAATGGCCTCCTTCTGTGCTGTAAGATTCTATGATATTGTGCTTTCAGGTTTTTCTTGATTCAAGAAATATTCAATCAAGAACATTTATTTTGTTGGCCGACCAAAATGATTGGCCAGCCACAACTGTTCCAGAGGACCTTTGGCCACCACACCAGGAAAAACTCTTCTCCTGTTAGTGGGTTGGATCGTGGTTGAACAGGCAACAAGACACATGTTTCAATGTCTGATCTGAAGGGCACCTTTACAATAATGTGGTTATTTACTATATTAGCAAAGAAAATCCACTGTTCTGCTGTGATTGAGCATGTGATTTATAGGGATATCTTACCTCGTGCACATTTTCTTTGTATGTTCTGAGATGACACCACATTGCTGAAAAAGAAGAGACCGCTTTTACTGAGAACTCTCCCCAAGGCAACTGGCTAAAAGCAGACTGATCAAACAGGGAGGGCTGGGAGAAGGAACAAGGAACTATGTAACTGAACTGACGGCAATTAAATTGTCCTGACTGTATTTGCAAAGTGGTTGAGTTTCTATCCCACCATCTCAGTTTATATAATAAAATAGTAATCCTTGTATTTGATGTGGTACGTTTTACGTCAGAAGGCACCTCAACTACAAAGTGCTTTGCACGATTTACTGCAAACTGTAGTCGCAGTGTATTTTGTAGCTGAACCCAGCAGGCAATTTGCACACAGCAATATCGCACAAACAGCTATGAAGTAGTGAATAATTAATCAATTTTATCTGGGGGATTGCTGGCCAGGATAGTGAAAGAGAGGAACTCCCTTCTGTTTTCCAATAGTGCCATGGGATCCTAACAGGCAGACTGGATTTGAAGTCCCATCTGAAGGACGGCACCGTCAACAACACAGCACTCCCCCAGCACTACAAAGGAGTCAACCTATGTGGGGCTCGGACCCATCTGACAGGAGGCGAGAGCGCTCAGCATCTGAGTCAGGCCGACGCCTATTCTACTGTCCAGTTTCTATCCAGCTCCTCTCAGTCGACCAACACTCACCGTCGTCAGCAAAGAACACAATTCTTCAGGACCCAGGTTTTCATAATTGATGCCGGAGTTATTACTGTACTGTGTTAAAGAGACAGAAACGGGCATGAATGGAGAGGTTGAGACATGCTCCAGTTAGCTCTCATGGCCTATTACCAGCACAACTGAATCTAACCAGATTCACTCAGAAATTGCTGCTCTGTAATGAGAAAGTGAGGTGTCCTCTCACACACACACACACAATCAGCCCCGACAGCACCAGCAGTTATCAAGACATCCTTCACACAGTGGTGATTGAATGGTCACGTTTGGCAATTCTATAAATAATTTCCAGCATTACACATGTTAAATACAATCAAGTGTCGCATTTGATTAAAGCCAAGAACGTTCCATGCACTGGCAAAGGAATTTATAACATTCTATATGAGTAGCTATATGCGTAGATAAGTAGTTAAAGGAATAGTTTTATAGACGGATTGAATTGTAACAGGAGTGAGTACATGTTCTGTTAACCCCACCAACTACAGATACTTCACCAAACTTTAACAAGAGGCAGAAGAATATGAATTACCTTATATAGATCGGGGTTTCCACTGAGCTCCCCTAGAGAAAAAGGAGACAATTATGTCAAAATGTGTGGGTAAGAGTTTTGACTGCATTGGTGTTGGGTATGGTTGGAGACGGGCAAAGTGTTGGAGGTGGAGGAAAGTCGTACTGGACCTGGTAGGAAGGACATCTGGAGATCAAACCTGAATCTTAAGTTACGCATAGGTTCAGTAAGTCTGAGGGATAGGCTGGGGATGAAGGTAAGCCGAGACGCAGGTGAGAAAATGTTGACGGGAGCCCAGGAGGATGGCTTCCATCTTGCCAACAGTCAGCTGCAGAAAGTTGGCGCTCGTTCAGGCCTTGATGTCCAACAAGCAAGAGGATAGCACATCATCAACAACAACAACTTGGATTTACATAGCGCTCTCCACACCGGATGGCGCCTCAGAGCGCTTTACAGTCACGGATCCCGGGTCCGAGCTGGGGGGGTGGGGGAGGAGGAAGGTGACCAAAGGCACGGTCGAAAAGAAAGGTCTTCAGCAGAGACCTGAAAATGGGAAGGGAAGGAGCAAGACAAAGGGAGTGAGCAAAGCAGTTCCAGAGCCTCGGGGCATAGTGGCTGAAGGCACGGCCGCCGAGGGTGGAGCGGAGGACTCAGGGGACGAGGAGGAGGCCAGACCCGGAGGAACGAAGGCAACGGTAGTGTACGGGTACATCTGTGGAACAGGGGGTCACAGAAGAAGAAGCAGATTTGGGTGTTGTCCACACACGTGTGGAAATTGACCCCGTGTGTGTGGATTATATTACTGAGAGGGAGCATGTAAATGAGGAAATTCTGTGATGGATGAAAGAATTACACGGCAGGTTTTACATTGCATTTACTTCTTGCTTCCTTTCTCTTCTCCTCTTAACTCCTCACCTCCTGAAGGCAGAAACTAACACTGGGCAGCAGTAACACGTCCCATGTCACCAATCCTTGGCTGGTTACTGTGGCGCAAGCACAGTTCCATCTCAATCTGCCTTTACACTGCCACGATCAGGCTAGGGAACTGCACTCACTATTTTTGTAATGCAAGCAAACGTAGAAACTATATCCCTTAGTCCAAATTCCAGATAGTTTGTAATATGTATTGAGAAAGCATGCCCCTAACTCAAGACCCCACGGAGGAAGGGAACCCACTCTTTACATAATAATAGTCCTTGCACTTGATGTAGCGCCTTATCACGTCATTGAGATGTCTCAAAGAGCTTCACAGAATACATTCTATTGTGGATTGACTGTATTATTTCTCTCCCCTACAATGAATAACCATCAACAATGCAGTGGGATTTGAAGTGCTGATCATAAATCATGCTTCACTTGAACCACAAAGTAAAACGTAGCGATCGTCACAGGTGCTGAAGTTCTTGGGCTAAAGCATCAGAAAGAAACACCTCTTAAAAACAAGCTCACCATTTTTATGTTTCAGAGATTTGGATCTCCGGGGCGAGTTGGGATTCTGAAAGACAGAAGCAACTCTTTAAGCAGTAACAACTGTTTGCAGAATCAGGGAAGTGAGATGAAAATCCCTTCCCTTCCTGAAATACACAGCGACTCGCAGCTAGCACGTACCTTATCGGACTTTCTCTTCTTTGCTGGATAAAGCGGAGAAGAGAAAGAGAGAGTGAGAGAGAGAGAGAAAGAGACAAATTAGCCAAAAGCAAAGATCGCTGACGAGTTTTTTAAAAAAAAAACCTGTGACTGAAATGAAGACTTGTGACAGACAGCAACACACACCCACACCATGAAATGCACTCAACCAGCTGAGGTGAATAAGACGCCGGTGGGATAGACAAGGAATTGAAAGGAATTTACCTTTTTTCTCTGAGCCATACGACCAGTCATTATCATTGATGTCGTCATTATCTTCTTGGTCACTTTCAGATTTGCTGAGATTGTTGCTGCTGGCTATTCTACAGTGGGAAACACAGCAGGCATCAGTGGGGCACAAATGTCACGTCCTCTACTCTTCCTAGAACGACGCATTGGAGTGTCAGAGGTGATTCCAAATCCCAATGTAGGAGGTTTGAACCCCCAACCTTCTAACTCGGAAGTGAAAGAGAGTTAGGCTGACCCACTAAATTTCACGGCGCACTGTGTGAGGTGCTTCGAAACTTCCTCCTGACGTGAATGGCGCTGTGTGAAATGTGAGGCGCATTATTGTATTGTTGCTCGAGCATCCGTGAGGCCCTGAAGCTGACCTCCTGTTTGCAATGCGGCTGCTGTTGCGACCCATCCCCAGACACTTCTCCAGGTGTGGCGCGAAGCGGGAGGCAGCGATACTGCGGCTGCAGTTGGGACACTCGCACTCCTTGTTCTTCCACTGGTTGTAGACTTGACCAAAAATGTCCACACCCGGCTGATCGACAATTTCTGAAACGCATAAGGAAATCTTTCAGCGTACTTGACAATAGCTTAGTCTTACAACCCCCCAACCACTTGCTTTGGAGGATTTTACTGTGAAGGCTAGTGACTCTGCATCTGCTCTTTTTCAAGCGTTTTATCTTTGAAGAGAAAGCAAGGACTGCCTCGACAAGGATTTGTAGCAGCAATTCCACATTCCAACCATCTTTTCCTTATCTGAGGATTGTGGAGCCCGGTTTTGGGAATAAGTGCAGGATCTTGTAGGCAACCTTGGTGCTTGATAGCTGTGCTGTACACCTAGACATGTTAAAGATCCATTGACACTATTCCCCACCCCCCCACCCAGTGTCCTGGCCAACCATCCTCCACATAAAATTGGTCATTCACTTCATGGCTGTTTGTGGGACATTGCTGTGCGCAAATTGGCTGTCGCAATATAATATGTCACTATAATTCACAGTATATCTTGTGAAGCACTTCGAGACATCTCAATGACATGGTAAGGCATTATATCGACTGCACAAATCATTATTTTAAAGACCTAGGGATTTAGGCAGAGTGTTAAAGACCTTCAGCACCTTAAGACGCCCTTCCAAAGTAAAAGGCACTCGCTATATCAATGTCATTTTGGTGTTGTCGTCGTCGTTGTTTGGTTACAAAAAAAGAGATTCAGATCACTGAGCTCTTAGCAGATGTCCTGTGGTCCTACTGGAAGCATGCAAGTAAGCCTTGAAGGGAAGTGGCAAAGACCACTGAAATGATCTGTATTCTTAACTTTCTTCTCTGAAACTCAGAAACTTTGTAAGTTCTGGCAAGGATCCAGAGACAAGAAAAAGAAGTGAAACTCATGGCTGGCGCTGTTTATCATGAGAACAGAAGGGCAACATGCAAAACTACCAGTACTTGCGATCATTGAAAGTGAAAGGAATGTTTAGTGGGTCCTACTGAAAACAGTGCTTGTAGCAGAATCTACAATAGTTTTTAATAGGAGATTTAGAGAAATATTTGGAAAATAAGAATTTTTAAAAAGGAGGGTGTGCGGGCAAGGACACGGAGAGTGGGACGAAATGGATAGAGATCTTTCGGAGAGCTGGATTATTATTATTAATAATAAACTCCCAGAGTTGTAGTGGAAAGCTATAAATTTAGAAATACATCAGGAAAGCCAAGGCTCATTTGGAAATGGACCTTTCCTCAGGATAGTAAATTAAAGGGAGACGCTCTGAATTCATTGTGTTACTGCTTGTAGCAAAAAGCACCAGGGTGAGCAGCTGAAGAGATATAACATCTTCACTAAACTTCAGCTAAAAGGTCCATGTATAAATGCGTATTATTTTTTAATGCCTATAAGTAGATCGTGTTCTCATAGGGAGAGGACATGGAACAGAAAGTGCTTCCCCTACACTTTTTTTCTTTCTCCTTTTTAACTTTAGCCTGCCCCATGTCCGTTCTTACCACCCACCACCATTGAAAAACAACAAAAAAATGGTCACTCAATCCACGACTGTTTGTGGGACGCTGCTGTGCGCAATTGGCTGCCGAGTTCTACCGACAACACTTTACAATATATTCTGCTCAGCGCTTTGAGACGTCTCACAACATGATAAGGCGCTATATCAAATGGAAGGATTATTATTATTAAGAGCATACCTCCATGGGACAGACCTCATAACTCCAGATTTCGCCTGTGAAAAACACATTCGCTACACTGCAACGTCTTGCTATGTGCAAGGCACTGTATCAAATACAAGGACTATTTTGTGTTCTCTTTGTAAGCAAACCATAATGTTCCCCGCTGTGCCCAGAGTATTGGCAGAAAGGCAAGGTGAGAGTTTATCCAAACGCACTTACCAAAATCCTTCATGCTGTCCGGGTCTGTCTCATCCAAGAAGAAATATCCGCACTTCACGGCTCGATGAACCTCAAAGCAAAGCCCCAGACACGCATCTTCTACGAGATCCGAATAGATCTCATGTGCTATGGCCTGAAAGACACATTTAAAGACGCACATTGTACAGATCCAAGTTTCATGACGTTCTTTAGCCTCTGTGATCAGAACAGCGACCTGGCAGTCAAATGCCGCGACATTCTGCAAGCACTGCGTGCAACTGAAAATGCAGGGACTATCTTTTGGGAACATTTAGACACCAGTACACACAGCACTGATCTCTTAATCCCACGTCGAACCAGTTCAGGTCCTGATTCCTACTGGTCCGAATGAACCAGAACATTCATTTCCCTGACATTTCTTCAGCAAGTGAAACCACAAAAGCATTGTTTATAAATGTTGGAACCGGTCTGTAGAGCGGGTATGAAAGTGACATTTAGGAAGTGCTCTTGCTCGGTTATGTCCGTTCAAGCAAAGAGCTAAAATGACGGGATTAAAATAAAACCGAGAACAATGAATGGCAGCAATGCTGATGGCGTGTGCAATTAAAATGGCCCTGAACATGCGGTTAGCTACCCACCCTTCCAGTCCAACCCTACGCATCGCCACAATGCTGATGAGAACTCCAACGCCGTGCAATGACATGACAAAAGCCCACCTTGCCCTCTCCTATTTTGACAACAAAAGCAACTTTTAATGTGGGTGGGGGGCAAAATAAAGCAAAGAAATCTCCTCAGAAGGCTGGGGTCTGGTTCCCATGATTAGCTCCGGAGCATTGCTCCGGAGCATGCCCCCAGCCCTCGTACACTGAGGCCAACTGAGCCAGTGCCATGTTGGGCACGATTGAGGAGAACCGTGAGAGTCACTCTCGCTTAAAGGAGCCTGGGCCTGTAGTTCCTCGCCTTTAAGAGAGCTCTGACCGGGGCACATCAGAGACTGTTTGTGATTCCCGTCTCAAAAGAAATAGCCGCACAGACCAGCTCCTCCAAAGGTCTATTGAGCACAGAGTTTAACAGACCAGATACATTGCAGGTGATTGCCAATCTGTGCTGAGTTAGCTAATCTAAGCCAGGGCAACAGTTGGCTGCAATTGGTTTTGGTCTCAACTGGGCTAAGGAGGGGAGTGACCAGCCAGATTTCCTGCTTCTGATCGCAATTAACCGGTGTCCACTCTCTAGCAGTTGAACCCCTACACCCCGTTTTGCTGGAGTGTGGACACCAGCGGGCAAGAGAGTGTTAACCTGGACTCCGATGCCAGAAGAGAACAGGATCCACCCTGCGTTCTGCACATTGGCAGAAGATCCCAAATTCCTCCGAGACTCGGACTGGGGGAGCATTTTGTCCGAAGCTTACGATTGCATCTCTGTGCAATTCTTCGGTGGAACAGCAAAAGGAGCTGCTTCTCAACGAGAACTGCAGGTTCAAGACGAAACGGTGCTGCACACCGAGACATGGTGGAATTTGGGGGCCTGTGCGGGAAAGAGGAAAAAGGGGGAGAAAAGTGGCCAAAGAAATCCTGCAAAGGCAAACAAACAGAATACACAGATATCCAGACAGCGTTCGGAGACACAGCTTTTATTCAGTGAACCCGCATTTCCGACAAGTCTCAATGGCATCAGCATTGAGTGGTGAGAAAAACGTCAGTGCTGTTTGACTCTGGGCCACTTTAAGCATGGTGGAGCAATGAAACACAGTGATAGGAGAATGGGAGAGGGGGTTGGGGCGTGCGTGGGGGGTGGGGGGGAAGTACTGGCCTGTTCCGCTGCACTGCCGGCGGATGCCTCAAACTCCACAGCCTGGTCGCTGCATTCTCTGCTCATCTGCCGCTGGTCTCGGGTCAGCTGCCGCCAGTATTTCTGCTTCTTCTCTGAAGAAGCTCTCTTCAACTTCGGCATGTTCGAACGGGCTAGCTTCTTATCGCCGTGCCTTCATCTGCTAGGAGGGGGGAATGGGCGGGAGGGGAAAACCAGACACGGCGAATTAGGCCCGACTGAAACCGACCAAGAAACTGAGCAAAATTATTCTAAGTTTAGTCAGTGCGGAACAGTCCACCTCGGGCCGATTCAATTCCGAGTGACTGCCGTGGCCTGCTCTTTACACACACACACACACTGACTAAAGAATAAAAAGGATGGAATCTGTGAGCTTTACTCACCAGCGGGTTGGAGTCACTTCATTCACTCTCCACGTCGAGGGGGCAGTCGCTGGGGGGGATCTGGACGAAAAGCTTGACTCGCGCAAAAACAAAAACGCCTTCGAGAGTTCAAGCTTTGCTCAAAATTTTCTTTCCTCGGACTTTAAAGGCTTTTTTTTAAATGTGTATATATATACACACACACACATATATATATATAAAGAAAAACAATGAATCGCCTGCTGTGTGGCCACTGTCACTCCGATCGCCCCGCCAAGGGGGTCACCGCGGTGACAAGCTCACCCCCCAAAACCATTCAAGTCGCCGAAGACTCAATCCACACGGCAGAAGTCAAGAACTCGGTACAGAGAAATGCCAGAGGTCTGGGGGAGAGAGTTATGCAGGGCAATAACAACAAGGGTCTGGATGGTCACCCATCTTTCAAAAGGAAAGAGAAATGTTTGGAATTGTTGAGGGGTGGATAGGGTAATAAAATTGTATAATTAGTGTTAAAATGTACAGATATAAGTTTTACAGACCCAATCCCCAAAGATCAACCCTGACAGTTTCTCAGAACGGTGAGAAATTATCCCTAAACAATGGGATGCCATTGTTTAGGGATCACGGGCAGGTGAGTCCCATATCTCCTTCCCTCCAGGCTATAAGGTTTGTAACCTGAGGAAATGATACAGTGCAGCTCAGTTGAGTGAAAGGACTCAGAAGTGAGTGCAGAGATTGGGGTTGGGTGGGAGGAACAATCACATAAACCAGGAGCAGATGTGTTCATTGGGACTACTGCAGAGCATGCTCCCACTGCACGATTATAACTCTGCATTTCATTCAATGCCAGACAAGAGATCTACAATTCTAAACATTTCCAGGATTTGTTATGAGAAAATTGTCGTTTCTTCCCCTCTTTTATAAGAGAATGCAGATGTGGTGATCTTCATGAAGCCACATCTCCAAACGCTGCTGTAGACCTGTGCGGTCAGAACGTCTGCCCAAACCAAATATGTCCGGCAACCTCTGACACTCAATCAGCCCCTCAAATAGCATGCACAGGTACATTGGAGATCAAGAGGCTTATCTCGAAGCGAGCGAAATGTTTAAATCACACTGATTATCTATCGATGCACAGCAAGACGTACGTCAGAGACAGAGATCTGGGCTCAATGAGGGAGGGAGGGAATCAGACGGATGGACGGGCACACATGTCAAATGCAAGAGGAGAGCAAGAGAGATTAGACCAACCAGGGATACCCTCTCCCACCTTCTTCCGCAACGTTGAATGCGATTCACCAACTGACAATTGGTACAGGATGTAAGAATCATTGCCCTGCAGGCACCAGGATCCTGGTTAGAGGCTGAAGTAGGCACACAGCATTGGAATTGCCGGAGTATTCTTTGTGTATTTCTCTGTGCCCGCTGGCCACTAAGCATTCTATATGATCCTGTCTCTTGGCTGAATATGCCAGTGACCGAGCAAGTCAACCTTCCCTCCCATTCACATTCACTCCCGAGTCAACATGCGAATAATAATAATCCTTTCATTTGATATAGTGCTTTTCACGCCTTCTAGACGTCTCAAAGCGCTTCACAGAATAGACTGTAAGTTACTGTAACTATATTTGTGGGCGAAATGCAACAGCCAATTACGCACAGCAGTGTCCCACAAACAGTCGTGGATTGAAATAACCAATTTTTTTGGAGGGATTATCAGGCGTGTGGAGTAAGGAAACTTGCCCAAGGTTTCGCCCTGCCGGGAATCGAACCCAGGTCTCTCGCTTGCAAAGCGAGTGCTCTAACCACTGATCTACAGGACTCCACAAATACACAGCAACTTAGCCCCATTTAAATCAGGTGCGCCCAACTTCAAATATATACACACGCACCTTGACTCACCACACATCTGCTAGGACACCACCTCCACATATAAAACCGATATAGCGCAGCATAAACCCACTGATGGTCACTCAAGACTGGACTACCCGCCCAAGGCCGACCCACTCCATACCTCGGATTTGCTGTTCTCCAGGCCGGATGAAGACATTCCTTCCATTTTCATTTGCAATCAATACTTGGTTACGATTCCCTCTCTACATAGTAACAAGGTGGCCCACAGACAGCGCTGAAAGAAAGAAAATTGTCTTGTCAGTTCAAAAGAAAATATGTAGTAGCGTTCCGATTTAGAGTTGACAGAAAACAAAACTCCCCCACCCCCATCACCCTAGTCCTTGCCAGGCTCCTCTGGCTCCCTATTGCAGATCGATTTCTCACACTTACTTACAAAATTGCTGTGACTGACTTATTTGTACTTAAAGCCTTGTTAAAATAATTCCTCTCACCCTCTCAATTCAAAAACCTGATCTGTCATCTGCAGGTCTCTGGAGTACTGTGGACCACTGACACCACCACAAAGGGAGTGATTTGATTCTGACATTCTGTTGCCAAGGACAACATCTCAGAACAGTTGAGTTCCAAGGAGACAACAACAACAACAGCTTGCACTTATATAGCGCCCTCCTCACAGGGTAGCGTCTCAGAGCGCTCACAGAGACACCTGCTTACCTTCCCCCAAGGAGGATAGTTATTCATTAGCTATTTGACATCGAATAAGCGCAAATCTGAACTCTCACCTCAGCGATGGCAAATACCACAACTCAGCATGAAACGCGACAGAGCATTGCTCCAACACACAGCCCAAACACACCTCTCTACCAACTAAGCGTTGGTTCGAACAGTTAGAGGTGTGGAGCCCTGGATACGTGAACTCCAGGTAATACCCACCCGCAGCTGTTGTCCCATACTCAGCAACAGGTCAGTCAATCAGTGTAGGCCGGAGCCACTTCCCCCTTTTAACACTTCCATCTCCTTGCTTGAGTCTGGATTTCAGATGAAACCCCTCCCCTGCATGCCTGTGAGCTCAGAAGTAGGAAGGAGAACTGTCTGGGCGTACATCACACAACATAAACTTATCCTTAAAATTGATCAGTGCAGAGGAACTGAACCTTGGTCAAATATCATTACTTTAAAGTCACGAGAATAGGATTCAGTTTGTTTTACATCTATTGCAACCATTATTATCTATATATTTCTGTAGAATGGTTTTGAAATGTAATATTAATAATAATCCTTGCATTTGATATAGTGCCTTATCACATCTTCAAGACGTTTCAAGGTGCATCACAGAATACACTGTAAAGTGAATTGACTGTGTAGTTTGTGGTCAAAGTGCAGCTCACTTTTCCAAGCTTAGCACCTCTATCATTTTCACAGATTGGTACACTCTATGATTCAAATTAATCTGTGGATCCTATCCTTTCTTAATTGATTCTTTCTCTCTCTCCCTTCTCTCTCTAACCAGAATAGATACAGATTCACATTTTCAATCTCTGATCACATTTCTACCTGTCTCCTTTTCTCTACCTGCAGATCTGGCTGCTCAGACTATACTTCTGCACATCTCTCTCTCTCTCTCCACCCTGAGTATTGCTGAAGATCTCACTCTCTGATCACACATCTGCACAACAATAATAATTTGCATCTGTATAGCATCCTTCTCAAAGGATGACATCTTGTAACACTTTAAAATGACAAAGTCAAGCAAGAGGGGGAAGTGAAGGTGACCTAAGGCACAGTCAAAGAGGTATGATTTGGGGCAGGATATTCAGACGAATAGAGAGGGGGCAAAATGGAGGATTAGAGGGAAGGAGTTCCAGAAATTAGGGGCATAGTAGCTGAAGGCTGGACTACCAATAGTGGCTTGGAGGAGAAGGGGGTTGTACAGCATACCAGAGCTAACTGAGTAGGGGGTGGGGAAGAGGAGGAAACAAGCAGAGAACTGGGATAGGAGACAATCACAGAGATATTGGGAGGTGCTAGGCCCTGAAGGAATTTCAAGGGATATCAAGGTCGAGGACCTTGAAGTCAATCTATGTTAAGGACATAGATACATTATCTCTTTTTCTCTGCTCCCACTGCACTTCTATCTCTCTAGTTTACCTGCCGATCACTCGGGCCTCTGATCGTACATGCAGATCTTTCTATCCAGTCTAAAGCTACAGACATTCGCTCTCTCTTTAAACATAAGCTGAGCCAAGAGCCCAGAGTGAGCTACGTCCGGAGTGAGGCGAGGCCAGAGTGTGAGGGAATCTGGTGAGAGTGGAAATTAGGTGCAGAGGGGGAAGTGGGGGCAGGCTATATATCTTTGTATCTATATAAAGTTTGTGAAGATGGTGTGGCAAGTAAACTGCGAGGTCTATCACATGTGGGAGTCAATGGAGGGCGCCTTAAGTCCGGGCGACTTCGTCTGCCGCAAGTGTCTGGAAATCAGAGAGCTCCAGCTGAGAGTAGCTGAGCTGGAGTCTCAGGTGGAGACGCTGCGCAGCATTAGGGATGGAGAAAACTTCCTGGACAGCTTTATCGACACTCCCGAGTCCTAAGGAAGAAGAATGTAGCAGCGACGGACATGACTGGGTGACAGTCAGGCGGGCAGGCAAGCGTTCCCGAAAGAGAGGGGCTGAAGAATCCCAGACTTTAGCCTTGTCTGACAGGTATGAAATATTGGCAACCTGTGTGGACAAGGAAATCTGCGAGGAAGACGGGCAAACTGACCCCAACACCCCTGTGCAGGAGGTTAAAAATGTAATTCTTATTGGGGATGAGACAGTCGGGAGGACTGATACAGTTTTCTATAGCCGTAGCAGGGAGACAAGAAGACTGTTGTCTTCCTGGGGCCAGGGTGAAGGATGTCACCGCCGGGCTGGAGATAAATTTGAGGCATGAGGGAGAGGATCCAATCGTAATGGTACATATAGGGACCAATGACATTGGTAGGACCAGTAGGGACGAGTTAAGGAGCGAGTTCCGGGAATTGGGAATTAAACTAAGGAATAGAACTTCCAAAGTGATGATATCGGGACTGTTACCTGAGCCAGGAGCTAATTGGTACAGGCAAAAGAAGATCATAGATCTGAATGCCTGGCTAAAAGAGTGGTGCGGAGAGCAGGAATTCCAATTCATGGGCCACTGGCACGAGTATTGGGGAAGATGGGAGCTTTTCCAAAGGAATGGGCTCCACCTAAATAGGGCTGGGACAAATGTCCTGGCTACATGAATAAATTGGGAGGTAGAAAGGGCTTTAAACTACTAAGGGGGGGGAGGTAAAAACATAGTAAAGTATAGTTAAACTTGAGATCAACAAAAGCAAGAGAGCAGATTAACAAGGGAGAAGAGCAAAGTGTGTCAAACCGGGAAAGGAAGTACAGTGATAGAGTGCTGGTGAAGAGGGTTAATAGCCGGAAGTCAGGGCACTATATCTGAATGCACGAAGCATTCGTAACAAGATAGATGAATTAGTTGCACAAATAGAGACAAACCGGTATGATCTAGTAGCCATCACCGAGACATGGTTACAGGGTGATCAGGGATGGGAACTGAATATTCCCGGCTACGTGGTATATAGGAAAGATAGGCGATGTGGTAAACGAGGAGGGGGAGTGGCCCTGCTAATAAAGGATGGGATAAAAACAGTAGAGAGGAAAGATTTTAAATCTGAAAAGCAAGATGTAGAGTCAGTATGGGTAGAGATACGTAACTTCAAGGGGCAGAAAACTATAGTGGGAGTAGTTTATAGACCCCCAAACAGTGGTCAAAGTATCGCTCAAGGTATAAATCAAGAGATTAGTGGAGCATGTAGCAAAGGAAAGACACTAATTGTGGGTGATTTTAACCTGCACATAGACTGGGACAACCAAATTGGGAAAGGTAACATAGAAGAGGAGTTTATAGAATGTATTAGAGATAATTTTCTAGATCAATATGCTGAGGAGCCGACCAGGGAACAAGCCATATTAGACCTTGTTTTGTGTAATGAAACAGGGCTGATCAGCAAACTGGAACTTAAGGCTCCTCTAGGGCAAAGCGATCATAATATGATGGAATTTAGCGTTAAGTTAGAGAGGGAAGTAGTTAAGTCTGAAGCAAAAGTCTTCAATTTAAATCGAGCCAACTTTGCTGGTATGAGAGAGGATTTAGCCAGAATAAACTGGGAGACTAAACTTAAAGATTTGACGGTAGACCAGCAATGGCAGACATTCAAGGAGATAGTGCAAAATTCCCAACGAGCACATATTCCTTTGAGGAATAAGAATGCCATGGGAAAGGTGGTGCAGCCATGGCTAACTAGAGCAGTTAGGGAAAGTATCAAATCAAAAGAAAAAGCCTATAAAACAGCGAAGATGAGTAGTAAACCCGAGGATTGGGAGAACTTTAGGGAACAACAGAGGAGGACCAAAAAATTGATCAAGAGGGAGAAAATAGATTACGAGGGCAAACTAGCAAAGAACATAAAAACAGACTCCAAGAGTTTTTACAAATATATAAAGAGGAAAAGGCTAGCGAGGGTGAATGTGGGTCCATTACAGGCAGAGACCGGAGGAATTATAATAGGGGACAAAGACATGGCAGAGTCATTAAACAAGTATTTTTCTACAGTCTTCACCGTAGAAGACACTGGAAACATACCAAAAATAGAGGACCAAGAAGACAATGTTAGCGAGCAACTTAGGGAGATTAACATTAGTAAAGAGATGGTTCTAGGTAAATTGTCGGGTCTTAAAACCGATAAATCCCCTGGACCGGATGGCCTGCATCCGAGAGTTTTAAAGGAGGTGGCTACTGAGATAGTGGATGGCATGTCTATAATCTTCCAAAAGTCTGTGGATACTGGAAAAGTTCCCATTGATTGGAAGATTGCAAACGTAACTCCACTATTTAAGAAGGGTGGGAGAGAAAATAGGGAAAACTATAGACCAGTTAGTTTGACGTCAGTTGTAGGGAAAATTCTTGAGTCCTTAATAAAAGACGTAGTTATGGGATACCTGGAAGACCATAAAAAGATTAGGCAGAGTCAACATGGCTTTACAAAAGGGAAGTCATGCTTGACTAAGCTTTTAGAATTTTTTGAGGATGTATCCAGCAGGTTGGTTATGGGGGAACCAGTAGATGTGGTATATTAGGAAGGCATTTGACAAGGCTGTTACTCAAGATCAAGGCCCACAGGATTAATGGGAAAATATTAACATGGATAGAAGAGTGGCTATCGGGTAGAAACCAGAGAGTAGTGATAAACGGATCATTCTCGAATGGCAGGATGTAACTAGTGGAGTGCCACAAGGATCAGTGCTTGGGCCTCAGCTATTTACCATTTACATCAATGATCTGGACGAGGACATTGAATGTAATGTGTCTAAATTCGTGGATGATACTAAACTAGGTAGCAGAGTGAGCTCTCAGGATGATGCAAAAAGATTGCAACAAGATATAGATAGGCTCGGGGAGTGGGCAAGTAGGTGGCAGATGGAATTCAATGTTAGCAAGTGTGAAATTATTCACCTCGGTAGCAAGAATAAAAGAACAGATTATTTTCTGGAAGGGGAGAAGTTAGATAGAGTTAGTATTCAAAGGGATTTGGGTGTCCTTGTACACCAGTCCCAAAAAGTTAGTTTGCAGGTGCAGCAGCAACTAAGAAGGCGAACGGCATGTTAGCGTTCATTTCAAAAGGTTTAGAATATAAGAGTAGGGAAGTCTTGCTGCAACTGTATAGGGCTTTGGTGAGACTGCACCTAGAGTATTGTGTGCAGGTTTGGTCTCCTTATTTAAAAAAGGACATACTTGCCCTGGAGGGGGTGCAGCGTAGATTCACTCGGTTAGTTCCTGGGATGAGGGGACTGACCTATGAGGATAGGCTGAATAAACTAGGGCTGTATTCTCTAGAGTACAGAAGAATTAGGGGAGATCTTATTGAAACATATAAGATTCTTAAAGGGCTGATAAAGTAGACACAGAGGGACTGTTTCCCCTGGTGGGAGAATCTATAACCAGGGGTCACAGACTTAAAATTAAGGGTCAGCCTTTTAGAACAGAGTTGAGGAAACATTTCTTCACTCAGAGGGTTGTGAACTTATGGAATTCACTACCCCAGAAGGCTGTAGATGCTCAGTCCTTGAACATTTTCAAGGCTGAGACTGATAGATTCTTGAAAAATAGAGGGATTAGGGATTTGTAATTTCTACCAGTAGATCCCCATCCCTGATCACATTATACCAACAGATCTCTCTCTCTAAACAGCAACAGCAGCAACTTGCATTTATGAAGCGTCTTCATGTGGGGTAGCGTCCCGAAGTGCTCAACAGTGGCGGAGGCTCATGCCAAGCTGGGAGAGGTGACCGTAAGCACAGTCGAAGAGGAAGGTCTTCAGGTGCTATCTGAAAATGGGGAAGGAGGCAGCAAGGTGGAGGGATTGGAGGAAGAGATGTACCAGCGGATACCTGTGTCTGATCACACTGTATCATCAGATATCTCTCTCTCTGTCTCTCCACAGATCCCTGTCTCTGATCACACTGTAAAAGCAGATCCCGGTCTCTGATTACACTGTATCAATGGACCCAGATCTCTGATCACCCTATATCTGCAGATCTCTGTCTCTGATCATATTGTACCAACAGCTCTCTCCCTCTCTGTTTACCACTCCCCTCCCTTCTCCCCACTGACCCCAGCTCGGGTCTGAAATGCTGTACATTGATCAACGCCTTGGGACGTCCTCCCGATGTGAAAGGCGCTATATAAATGTAATCTTGTTGTTGTTGTTGTATATCTGCAGATCCAGGTCTCTGATAACAATGTAACACAGATCTCTCTCTCTCTCTCTGATCACAATGTAAAGCAGATCTCTCTCTCTCTGATCACATTGTAAAGCAGATCTCTCTCTTTCTCTGTGCTCACAATGTAAATCAGATCTCTCTCTTTGTGATCACAATGTAAAACAGATCTCTCTATCTGATCACACTATCTGCACCAGCAGATCTCTCTATCTGATCACACTGTCTGATCACATTGTACCAACAGATCTCTCTCTCTGTATTCACCTTGTATCTGCAGATCCAGGCCTCTGATCACACCGTAAAGCAGATCTCTGTCTCTCTCTCTCTGCAGATCTAGGTTTCTGATCACAACTGTAAAAGCAGACCCCTGGTCTAATTACACGACAGCAGTGGATCTCTCTCTCTCTAGCCCTGATCACACTGTACCAATAGATCTCTCTCTCTCTGATCACACTGTACCAATAGATCTCTCTCTCTCTGATCACACTGTACCAATAGATCTCTCTCTCTCTCTGATCACACTGTACCAATAGATCTCTCTCTCTCTCTGATCACATTGTACCAATAGATCTCTCTCTCTCTGATCACACTGTACCAATAGATCTCTCTCTCTCTCTCTGATCACATTGTACCAATAGATCTCTCTCTCTCTCTGATCACATTGTACCAATAGATCTCTCTCTCTCTCTGATCACTGTACCAATAGATCTCTCTCTCTCTGATCACACTGTACCAATAGATCTCTCTCTCTCTGATCACACTGTACCAATAGATCTCTCTCTCTCTCTGATCACATTGTACCAATAGATCTCTCTCTCTCTGATCACACTGTACCAATAGATCTCTCTCTCTCTCTCTGATCACATTGTACCAATAGATCTCTCTCTCTCTCTGATCACATTGTACCAATAGATCTCTCTCTCTCTCTGATCACTGTACCAAAAGATCTCTCTCTCTCGGTATTCACCCTATATCTGCAGAGCGGGGTCTCTTGATCACAAAGTAACACAGATCTCTCAGTGATCACACGGTACAGTACAATACCTGTAGGCTCTCTGGGTCTCTCCCTCCCTCCCTCTGGCGCCGCTGCTTCCGGAGCGATCAATCCCGAAGCCCACACCACCGCCGGGGCGTCCGATCCATCCTTCTTTCCCCTCCTCTTCCTCCCTCCCTCCCTCTTCCTCCTCTTTATTCTTCTTTCCTTTTCTCTCTCTCTTTCTGTTTCTCGATCTCTTATTTCTCAATCTCTTTTCACAGCCGGGGGGGGCCGTGTCGAGGCTCGGCCCTGCGGCATGTCGGGCCGCCGATGAGAATAATAAATAAAATAGGAGAAAAGGCTGTGTGTGAGGGAGGGGGAGGGGGGGAGGGAGGGGGGGAAAGATAAGCTAAAAAACAATTCCCCCTCAGGCCGGGGGTGGAGTGGGAGTGGGAGGCGGTCGCGCCTCAGACTCGAGTTACCATCACAAAGGAGTGGAGGAAGGAGGGAACGGGTGAGGGAGGAAAGGGAGAGAGAGAGAGAGGGTGAGTGTGTGTGTGTGCGCGGGCGGGCGCTGACAGGCGGGTGGGCGGGCGGGGCGGGCGGCTTGTGAGGTGAGGGCCGCTCGCACTGGTTCGCTCTCTCTCTCTCTCTCTCTGTGCGCGCGCGTCTCTCTCAGCCGCCGCAGTCTGGAGAGGCCGCCGTGCAACCCACCCAACCCCACACCGGAAACGCGTCACAATCACCACCCTCTACCTACCCCCCCCCGGCCTGCGCCTAATTGATTGACAGCCATCACTGACCAATCGGCATCCCAGTCCCCACCCTCCGCGCCGCCCCGTCCAATCAGCACCCGCCGGCCGGACTGGGCGCCCCGCCCCTCGAACGCACGCTCTCCGGCCGTTTTGAAGCTGATCCGCGCCGCGCGTTGTCAACCGTCACCGACCTTCCTCCATCCCCCCCACCCCCGCAGCTTGTCGCCAGTCTCGCTCCTCTCCCGCTTCTCACCAGCCTTACCCCATTACTAGCCCCCACCCCCTGTCATTAACCCCTTTCCCACTTGCCACCATCACCCCCTCACCACCCCCTTCTGCACTCCTTGCCCCCCCCCCCCCCCCACCACCAATTACACCTGAATCTCTGGACCTCTCCCCCAAATCCCTGTGCTGCCGCTTCTGCCATTCTCACCTCACACCCGAAGGCTTCACACTTCAAACCCCCCACCTCCCCCTCTCCATTTCTAAGTCAGCCTCAAGCAATACCACTGTGAAGCACTCTGAGAGGTTATCCGAGTCGAGTATATAAATGCAAGTTGCTGTACACCTGGTCAGCCCCCACCCTGGTCCCCCTGCCACCTGCTCACCACCAAAAGCTCTAACCTGTTCAATATATATATTATTCTGTGAAGCGTTGAGATGTCTCAACAACATGAAAAGGTGCTATACCAAATGTAAGTATTATAATCTTTCTCAATACCTAGTCATTTGGGATGTCCTTTCGACTTGAAAGACGCTATAAAAATTTGATGTAGTCATCTGTCTCACGGCATCAGGAGTGACCAATTTTATTTGATGGGATAGTTGGCTATAACACGGGGGAAAGAATCTCCCTTTTCCAATACTGCCATGGGATCGTCAACGTCTACCTGAACAGGCAAATGGGACCTCAGTTTTATCGTCTCATCGAAAGGTCAGCAACTCTGAAGATGAAACACCCTCCAGCACTGCATTGGAGTGTTAGCTTAGATTGTGATTCCAAGACCCAACTTCAGGCTTGAACCCACAAATGTCTGATTCAAGCCCTATGGGACGCTGCCCTGCATGAAGGGCACTGTATAAATGTAATTTGTTATTGTTGTGAGAGCTGGTACAGTTTAACACCAGACTGCTGTCAGTGGTAGTGCTGAAAACTGAGGGGTGCTCATAATATCTAACTTGCATTTATATATAGCAGCCTTCACGTGGTCCACTGTCAGCAATAACAGTGGCAGATTGATGCCGAGCTGGAGAGAACGAGGAGGTGACTGCAGGCACGATCAAAGAGGAAGCTCTTCAAGTATGATCTAAAGGTGGGCAAAGAGGTTAGAGCAGAGGGATTGAGGCACTGAATTCTAGTTTTGGTGGCTAAAATTATGGCTGCCAATGCCACCATACGGGAGACAGGATGAGAGATGCGAGGAAGGCTGGAGCCCGCCAAGCGAAAGAGGTAGGTAGAGGAGGGGGGTTTCGAGCAGGTTGGAGGTTCTAGAATGGTGAATGAAAATATTTTCTCCATGCGATTTCACTTGGAGAAAATACACTGAGCCAAATGGAGAAGATTAAATGGATCATTAGTGACCGTTCTAGAAATACACACCTATTATGCCATTCTTTCAAAATGATTGCAAGAACCCAGTCTCACTTTTTCATTTTTTTTAATTGATGCTTATAACCACTCGAACAAAAGGAACGTTTTCCCCTATAAAATGTTTGAAGTTTCAACATCAAATTACAAGAATCAGCAAATACAAATCAGTGAGGCATTCTCTCTACAAAACAATCTTTAAATATTAGAAAAATTCCCAGAAGGTCACAGAAGCCAAAAGTAACATGGTACGTACGTATAGGTTACTCGGACAATGTCACACGAGTGCAAAAATGCACTCATTTCACCTCTTACAGTACACACGCCCAGTGCTCCTGTCCTTACTGTAAGAACCAGAAAAAAATAAATGGAAAGTAAAGCGGCAAAATACAAAACAACATTATATACAGATACCATACGTCCTCATTCAAACCGAACACTAATACAATAAAAGTGCCCCTCTCAGTACCCTTTTAAAAGTACACCACCCCGCTTTGGAAGTGGGTGCAAGCTGAAAGGAATCCAATTAGAACTTGGAGTTTAAGCAAAGCTACTGGTCGGGTTAAATTTAAAAAAAGGCTCAGTTGTTGCAAAGGGGTTTCCTTCCTGCATGTCGCGCTGCTCTCCTCTGCCAGTTTAGAGTCGCCTAGAAAACTGGAGGGCTGGAGACTGGTAAACCTCGTTAGTCTCCTTTTATGCATAGGACCATTTGTTTGGAGGTACAGATTTGGATCATCTCAGGAAAGGACAACCAGAGATTTCTTGTAAATTCTGGTGAGTATCAGTGAAAACTGCAAGTAGAACCTGATTTCTTCCCCCAGGAAAGCAAGTGTTGGGCCTCAGTTTATTGTAGAATTGTAATTTCATTGTAACAATGCCTAACACCCAAGGGAGCTATGTACAGGATACAAGTCAGCAGCTCTCTTTAAAACAAACTCCAGTTGTAAGAATCACCTTTCAACTCAAACATTTCAAAAGGAGGATGGAAGAGTCCATTAAAACTATTCTCATAATATGCTTTGCATTTTGTTTTTTGATGGTAGAGCTACTGTACATTACATTTGTAAGTGACGAGACAAGTTTTGAAAGTACAAAAAGGAAAAAGCTATTTGCAGTTTCTGCTGCTGGCTGGACACTGGACTGCATCTAAAACATCGAGATTAAACTCCTACATATATAGTGAATCGATGGACTAAAATGATACAAAATACCTAGGCCTTCTGCAGCATTGCAGTCAAATCCTCCTTCAGCTAAGTACAATAAGGAAAGACTACACATGCAGAAAAATAAAAAAAGTTTAGTTACCGGAATGAAGTGGGTTATAGTCTGTGGGAAGATTCCTGTGGAATCGTGAAGGGCACAGGTGGTGATAGAAGCACGTCTGCCACCACCGCAAATAGGAAAAGGGAAAATGCTTTGGTTGCAGACATCTCAATTGCGTTCACACTACTGAGGTTTATCCCAGCAATTGCAAAAACAGTCAAGTAAAGAAGTCCCACTATATTTACAAATCCGCAACATTTTCAGAACTTTTCATTGACTTCGACCAAGGACACCCCCGCCCCCTTCATAAACAAGAAACTGCCCTTTTACCCTGTCCAGCTCTTTACCCGCCTTGAAGCATCCTATATAAGAGACCAGGCATTACCAAACCAACACTTGGCATGCCAAAGAGGTGTCAGCAATTTGAACGCTCTGTGCACGCCACATTGATCCTTCCTGCTTGGTTCAATCAGGAAACAAAATTACATTTGTATATCGCTTTTCACGTCAGGAGGACATCCCAAGGCGGACAAAAGGACTAAAATCCAACTTCATTGCGGCCGTATTTAAAAAATAATTAAAAAAGCTTTTGGGCCTGGTAATGCAAGTACGAATGGTCTTGTGAACCCAAAGCATATCTTTCAATACAGTGAGCAAGTACCCACTCGAGCACACCCACACTTTCTTGCCATTCCATCCAACACTTTTTTCAGCAATGCCAGATAATTTGTGTGCTGAGTTGCAGGAATTGAGTCTTGAGCATCACTTTGTCAGTCAGCGAGCGGGCTGTTAGATAGGCAAGTGCTTTCGGAATATCTAGCTAGGGTGGAAAAACTTCCTATGAGTTCTACTCCAAATCGATCCACTCTTACTTACATCACTAGTGGTTTTCCAATGAGCTGAAAGCAATTTGAAACAGAACAGAGCCCGGTTAGTGTAAAACTGACCGGGCAAAATGATGGCTGGATCACCCTTCAGATTTATTGTGTAACAAGCCTTTGTTTCTGTCAGATGTCTCTCTTAAACAGTGCTGGTAGTGGGCGTGAAAGCCCTTTGTGTATGGATGTGGGGGCAGGTGGGGGGCTGATCTTCAATACTGCCAGGAAGATGAAAGTTGAGCTTTTTTTTGTTTTAGTCAGAATCGGAGTCGGACGATTCCTCTGATGAAGAACTACTGCTGCTGTCTGACTGGTTTTCATCTTCCTCACCGTCCTCATCTTCTTCTTCCTCTGCATTCTGAAGCAGAAAGAAAATCGTAGAAGGGATCAGATCATGGAAGTGGGGAGGGGAAGGAGAGAGAGAGAGAGAAAGAAGACCCTTACAGGGGGGTTCTCTCTCATCGCACCCGCTCTCGGTTTTCAGCGAACGATGTGCGAAGGAAATCCAAGTTAGCAAACCACACCGCAGACTAAGATGGCAATGGAGCCCTATTTATCCATTGAGAAAGTCAAATTGAGCAACCCAGCAGCCGCTGACGTCCAAAATATTCAACCGGCGCAAACAAATGCAGTAGTTACAAATGTACCAAGACAGTGCTTTGCACTGGATGTCTCGCATCACAGAAAAACACTGCCTGCCAACTGCTTGGAAGTGAATTTGAAGTCAATCCACTTTTAGTATATTATTCTGTGAAGTGCTTTGAGACATCTCAATGACTCAATAAGGTACTTTTATCAAATGCAAGTTTTTTTTTTATTATTGTTAACTGCAGTGCGGGTCCCAGTTTGTACCCAAGTATCATGACTATGTTCTCAAGTCAATTCAGCAATCAAAAATTCTGTTTGGAGTGTAGTAATACACATGGACTACACTAGGTGAAGTCAAGAGCCTGTGAGGACATCAGGGATAGAGAAAAATGCGAGATTGGGGCTGTTAAGAGGACATTCAGGTCAACATAGACTTGAACAGGAGATACAAGAGCAGTTGCTATCCAGTGATCTCCTCTGGCCTAGGATTGCTGATTCACTTGAATCAATTCACTTGTTCTTCCAAAGAGCCAGCACAGGCACGATAGGCTGAATGGCCTCCTTCTGTGCTGTAATATTCTATGATTCTAATATCCCACCCAACAGCTCAATGTTACCTCATCCCCGTCGTCGTCTTCCTCACTTTCCTCCTCACTGTCTGAACCCGAGGAGTCATCCCCGTCCTCGGATTCGGAGGAATTGGCCTTTTCTTCTTCCTCCTCTTCCTCATCATCATCATCAGAGTCCTCACTTTCCTGCAGGAACCAGGATTGAAACTATGAGCATGTGGATGGAATAAGCCCCTTTTTTTCCAATAAACAGCACAGAGCTGGAATAGGGTTACAGGTACAGCACTGGGTGACCACTGCATTGCCTTTCGGGGAGGATGTGAAAGATCCCACTGCGCTATTCGAAAAGAGAATGGATTAGATCATGGGGGGGTGGGGGAGGTCAAAGAAGACCCTCACATGGGTCCTCTAACTTTTCAACTCTCAAAAAATCCCAAAATAAAACTGGTCACTCACTTCATGGCTGTGCGTGAATTGGCTGCCCGCATTCACCTAACAAAATATAGTCGTTCCACTTTACAGTGAATTCTGTGAAGTGCTTTCAGAGACTTTCCCCGACATGAAAGGCGCTGGACCCAACGCAGGTACGATATAGATGTGAAGGCCCTCGAACACAACCACTGCAAATAGTGACTTGCAATGTAAATAATATTTTCCAGAGTTAACCTCCTGTATGTCAGGCAGCTTCTGAAACCTCAACTCCTAGAAGATCTCAGAGCAAAGGAGTGACTAGGCATGCTCAGATATGTTTGTATCTCAACCTGCTCGGTACTGCAATGAGTGGCAAGCCCAAGGGGTACTTACCGTCGCATTCTGTGTTTGCAACGTGACTTTCACTTTGGGATTCGGAGCCTGGGGCTTTGTGGTGCTCTTGCGTTTCTGCCAACGATAATAGAGTAAAGATTCAGTCTCTGGTCCCAGAGCACAAGCTACCAGCACCAATCAATCACAAGACCCTTCCCCAACCCCCAATATATATGAGACAGTAGTAGACCTTAATAGGGAGAACTTCAGGTGGATTCATCCTGCCCACAAGCAATGGGTCACACAACAATGTAAAATAACTGGTCTTGCCACGGCGTTAGTGAGGACATTTTATGTGATTGCGTGGCGAAACACTGAAGGCAGAAGACATCGTAGAACTTGCCAACACAGAAGGAGGGCATTTGACCCACTGTCTCTGCTTTGAAACAGAAATCCTTCATCACTCTCATTTACCTGTATCCCCCCACTCAAGGCCAATACCCCTGCATTTTATTCTGGTGGAATGGAGAGCACGAGGGACATGCTGGAGCCAATTGAGCAGCGGCTAAGCAGGTCGGGTTGGGGGCTACGCAGGTCGGAGACGTAGGGATGTGTCAGGGCATGAAGGGATTTTAAAATGATTGTAAGGATCTTGATATCGATCCGTTCGGCAATAGGGAGCCAGTGGAGCCTGGCTAGAACTGTAGATCTAGCTAGATTTACGAAGAGAGAATTGTGGTTTGGCAAAATGTGGCTGAATGACTTACGCTTGCAGTGTATTCCTTGTAGACTGCTCTCTCCTGTGGAGACAGACTCTAGATGCAGGGAAACAAAAAGCATAAATATCCAGAATTAAATACTGTACGAGATTACAGATCTCGGTGTGTTGTTAGAGGTTCCCTTTTAAGCCCTTGGCCTCATTATCTGTCCAACCTCAACGAAGCAAAACATCTCCATTACACTTAAATATCGTACAGGTAACTAAGAGTCCAAAGGGCAACCTTTGATTCAATAATACCTTGTACCCTTTATCAACATAGAAACCCAACTTGTGAATGCTTCAATAATGCAAATTACAACAAACACAGCACATGTTTGCATGGATTTGAAAGAGTGTCTTAGACTGCAGTTTTATTCAAATGTATTCAAAAATCAAAATGTGTTCACTGCAGCTTGAAGGGCATCACAAATATTGGATGAGTATCTGACAGCACAACTATATTCTCTGCCTGTTGCTGCTCTGCACAACCTTTTCTTTTGTTCCTGCAACTCAAGGATGTTTTGGAATCTGTGTCCTTTCTCTCATGATGTAAAATTAATTTCAATGCAGGGGTGGGAGGTGCAAAAAGAGAAACCACTACATTGTTGGAGGTCCCTCCTTTGGATGAAATGTCAAACTGTTTGCCTGTTCAGATGGATGTTAAAGATCCTACAGCACTGTTCGAAAAGAGTTTCTCCTGGTGTCCTGGCCAACAATCCCTCAAATAAAATAAGACTGTTCACTTCACGGCTGTGTGTGGGACATTTGCTGTGTGAAAAACGACTGTCCTGTTCGCCTACAAAATACAGTCACTACAATTTACAGTCACTACAATTTACAGTATATCCTGTGAAGTGCTTAAGAGATGTCCTCCTGATGTGAAAGGCGCTGCATCAAATGCGAGGGTTATTCATAGAATGTTACAGCACAGAAGGAGGCCATTCGGCCCATCGAGTCTGTGCCGGCTCTTTGACAGAGCAAGTCACTTTCACTAACCCCACTCACCAGCTTTCTCCCCATAACCCTGCAAATCCTTCTTCCCCAGATACCTATCCAGTTCTCTCTTAAATGCTGTTATCGAATCGGACTTCACTGCCCTTTCGGGCAGATCATTCCAAATTCGAACAACTCGCTGAGTGAAAAAATTTCTTCTAACCTCCCCTCTGCTTCTTTTGGTAGATATCTTAAGACTGTGACCACGGGTCACAGACACACCTACCAGCGGAAACAGCTTTTCCCTATCTAGCCTGTCAAAACCTTTCATGATCTTGAAGACCTCTATCAGGTCCCCGTGTAACCTTCTCTGCTCTAATGGGAAAAGTCCTAACTTCTCCAGCCTGTCCTCATAGCTAAGGTTCCCCATTCCTGGTATCATTCTCGTGAATCTCCTCTGCACCCTTTCCAGTGCCTTAATGTCCTTCCTGAAGTAAGGTGCCCAGAACTGGACGCAGTACTCCAGCTGAGGCCTAACCAGTGTTTTGTATAGATTAACCATAACCTCCCTACTCTTATACTCTATGCCCCTACTAATAAAGCTCAGTACACCAAATGCCTTTTTTACTACCTTATCTACCTGCCCCGCTACCTTTAATGATTCGCTTACTTGAACACCCAGATCTCTCTGTACGTTCACCCCCCTTAAGATTGAGCTACCAAATCGATATTGCCTCCTATCATTCTTCCTACCAGTGTATCACCTCACACTTATCCACAATGAAATCCATCTGCCACATATCAGCCCATTCCACCATTCTGTGTATGTCTGCCTGCATTTGGTTACAGTCCTCCTCACTATTTACTACCCTACCTAATTTTGTATCATCTGCAAACTTGGAAATAGTGCTCTCTATGCCCAAGTCCAGATCATTAATATATATTAGAAAGAGCAGTGGTCCCAATACCGATCCCTGGGGGACACCGCTGCACACCTCCTTCCATTTTGAGAAACACCCATTAACCACCACCCTCTGCATTCTGTCACTCAGCCAGTTCTGAATCCAAACTGCCACTGTCCCCTTAATACCGTGGGCCTCTAATTTTTTTATTGATCTCTTATGCGGTACTATGTCAAAAGCCTTTTTGAAATCCATGTAAATAACGTCCACCGCATTTCCCTCATCAACCCTCGCAGTCACCTCTTCAAAAAATTCTATTAGATTTGTTAGGCAAGATTTGCCTTTAACAAATCCATGTTGGCTGTCTCTAATTACCTCATGTTCCTCTAAGTAGAGATTTATTCTGTCCCGCATTACGGTCTCCAGTAGTTTTCCTATTACCGAAGTTAGGCTGACTGGCCTGTAATTTCCGGGTTTGTCTTTCTGCCCCTTTTTGTAGAGGGGGGTAACATTAGCCACTCTCTTGGCACCACTCCTGTGTCCAATGAAGATTGAAATATAATGGCCAAAGCCTCCGCTATTTGAACCCGTATCTCCCACCGCAACTTTGGGTGAAACCCATCTGGTCCTGGTGACTTATCAATTTTGAGCCCAGTCAATCTTTTCAGAACTTCCTCTCTGTCTATAGTAATCTGATCTATTTCCTCTACCCTGTCATCCAATACTGTGGCATTTGGGGCATCCGTTTCCGTTGTGAAGACAGATGCAAAGTACTCATTCAGTACATCAGCCACGCCCTCTGCCTCCACAACAAGATTGCTGTCATTGTCTTTGATTGGCCCCACCCTACCTTTAACTAACCTTTTTTCCTTTATGAGCTTGTAAAATATTTTACGATTCCCCTTTATGTTACCCGCTAACCTCTTCTCATGCGATCTTTTAGCCTGTCTTATCACTCTTTTAAGATCACTCCTGCATTCTCTATAATGCGCTTTGCTATCCTCAGTATCTTGCATCTTCCAATTGTCATACGCCGTCTTCTTCTTTTTCATCCTAGACAGAATATCCCTGGTGTTGTCGCATATTTCCCTTTTGTGGGAATATATCTATTTAGACCTTGAGCTATCATATCTTTGAAGATCTCCCATTGCTCATGAGTTTTATCTGCTAGTCTTACTTGCTAGTCCACCAAATCTAGGTCCCTTTTTAGCCCATCAAAATTAGCCCTTTTCCAGTCAAGCATTTTCACCCTTGACTGTACTTTGTCCCTGTTCATGAGTAATCTAAATCTAATAATATTATGGTCACTGTTACCTAGATGCTCCCCTACCGAAACCTGTTCAACCTGACCTATTTCATTCCCCAGAACTAGATCCAGCAATGCTTCCTTCCTCGTAGGACTGGAGACATACTGCTCAAGAAAATTTTCCTGTACAGTCTATGAATCTTTCTCCTGCCTTGCCCTTAGCGCTGCTATTTTGCCAGTCTATATTGGGATAATTGAAATCCACCATTATCACAACTCTGTTCGCCTTACATCTATCCGCGATCTGGTTGCAGATCTGCTCCTCTATCTCCTTTCCGCTGTCTGGTGGTCTGTAGTAAACCCTATCAGTGTAACCACTCCTTTCTTATCTCTTATCTCTAACCAGATGGATTCTATTGTCGGGCCCTCCAGAGCCTCCTCCCTTTCTACAGCTATAATTGTATCCTTAACTAATATTGCCACCACTCCTCTTCTTCCTTCTCTATCCTTCCTGAACACATTATATCCTGGAATATTTAACTCCCATTCCTGTCCTGGCTTGAGCCATGTCTCGGTTACTGCCACCACATCATAACCCCCTACGGCCAGTTGAACCTGCAGCTCATCAACCTTATTCCCTGAGCTACGTGCATTTAGGTACATGCATTTGAGGAAATTGTCCATTTGTACCTGCTCTACACTTCCCACTTGTCTTTTTCCTCTAATCTTTAATCCAGTGTTTATCCTTGGATACCCACCCCCCCTCGACACTAGTTTAAATCCGCTCCTACAGCATTTGATAATCTCTTGGCAAGGAAGCTCACCCCTGCCTTGCTTAAGTGCCGCCCATCCTCAAGATAAAGATCCCACCTCCCCCAGTAGTGGTCCCAATTGTCCAGAAAACGGAAACCTTCTTTTCTGGACCATTTCTCCAACCAATCGTTCATGCGCCTGATCCTTTCATTATGGTGCCTTGTTGCCTGAGGTACCGGGAGTAACCCAGACATCACCACCTTGGATGTTCTGGACTTGAGTTTGCTCCCCAGCTTTTGATACTCGCCCTGGAGCATCTCAGCCCTCTTCTTACAAATATCGTGGGTACCCCACATAGACCACAACTTCTGGACATTCTCCTTCCCCCCGAAGAATCTTGTCCATGCGCTCTGTGAAGTCCACTACCCTTGCACCAGGAAGGCAGAAAACCATCCTAGCTTCACGATTCTGATTGCAGAAGATCCTGTTAGTGCCTCTTACTGTTGAATCCCCTATCACAACTGTATTACCCTTGTGAATCATGCCCTTGTCCTGTTGGGACAGAACGTCCACTGCTGTCCTCACGAAAGGCTTCCATGCTCTCGGTAGCTAATATTAACTGTTGGTTAAGTTTCCCAGCAGACTTCCACCCTACCTTTAGCCAAGTTTCCAGAGTGATTTTGTACTGACACTGCTGCTCTTCTGCCATTTTCTTGTAGCGATCCTTCTGAGCTTGAGTGACCTTCCTCCACCTTCTCCCAATCTCTACCATTCGCTCCTTCAGGTTCAGATGGTTCAGCTCACCACCTGTGAGAAGCTCTTGCGAAAATTTTTGGTAACCATTCCTGAAATACAAGAGCCCCTACTTAATTATTTTCTTTGGCGGGGGGAGGGGAGAACTTTCAAACTGAATTACACAACAATTCTATGGCAAATTGACCCTTCACGTGACTTGCATCATTTCTGGCTCTATATTAGTAGTACACACACAAGGGATGGTAAACTTATCCCAGCTGAGTAGTGATCCTGACGGAATATTTTTAAGTCTGAATAAATCTAGAAGTTCCTTAATATATTGCTCAAGACATACCAGTTACAGAAATTGAAACAAACAACTATAATTTGCATTTATATAGCATCCTTCATAGGGGATAGCATCTCGGAGGGCTTGCAACAAACATTTTGCAGGTCCGAAGCCCTCTCCCACTGCAGAAAACCATGCTTATAAAGGTTTGAGTACATTCTCCCCTTCCCCACAGTGCGAGAGTGAGCACTGAAAGATAACTTCGGCAATCAATACAAGTACATACATTGGTGCTTTTTTTGGCTCCCCTTCAAACTTCATTTTCTTGGGCATGGGCGTTGGTGCCGGTGACCGCAATTCACTTAATTCTCTCTGAAAACAAGACAACATTTGTTAAAACAAAAGCAAAGCACCCAAACAACATCTACGCTATGAAAAGCAGGACACAGGAGTTTGGTCTCGAGCATCAGGTCATGAAATCCGTGGAAGTGCGTTCCTCAGTGGTGCTCGAGGTTATAGGTCTTCAGATGTTCGCTCCTCAATGAGATTCCCTCTTCTCAGGAAAGAAAACAGGTACCTAATTACCATCATATAATATCCCCATACCAGTGTGGTTAGATTTCTTATCTTCCCTTCCCTCTTTTTTTTTTGTTAAGAAAGCTGAAAGAAAGACATCTTCAATTTCCAGTGTTAGCATCAAGCACTGCCACACCAAGTGCAGTATTGTCAGATGCAGCGATGACTCTGTCTATTGATCCCAAATCTCAAAGTTTGCTTCCCCACCAGTGTCCCTTGCATTTCCCACGTCAGCCATCCTTGTAGCAGACATTGAACCATTTGTGCAAAATCATGGGGCGGTGTTGGGGTAGAGCAAGACCTGGGATGAGATTACCCCAAAATCATTTCACTCAGAAACGTTAGCAATCGTTGACCCACCAGCCTTGTTGGAATCGCAACCCACAGAAATTGACAGCAAAGAAGATAAGTCCATTAGAACCATTGTGTCAAACCAGGGCCACAAAATGTATGGATTCGCTCCCATGGTTCCAAAATATTGAACAGAAAGTATGAAGTTTCATAAAAGGCACCAGCTATGAGAAAAAGATTCAAAAGAATTTCAATCGAATATTGCAGAGATTACAGCCAAAATAAGAACATAGTCTTATGGATCCCATTGCGTTCCCTCCTTCCTCTAATATTCTCCTCTCCCATTCTGAAGGCAGAAACTTATGTTGGGATATGGTTGCAGAGATGCCAGCTGACCCACCCGCCAATTCCTTGCCCAAGTAGCCATTCTTCAAATGTGAGCCTAGAAAGGAGTATTGGTAGGTTATTCAACCAACAGTGATGCCACTAAGATTTCAGTAAAGAGTAAAGGACACGTGAAACTTTTGTGCTACGTACATTTCCAGCTGCGAAAAACACAAACATAAAAGTGTAGGTCTCTTTTTTGTTGTTTAACAAATGCCTGTGGAAAGTGCATCAATTTCAGGTGGTGAATGAAGAGCATCACACAAGCCAAGTATTGCAACATTAAAGTTTATTGGCTTAAGTAGAATGTTCCTGTTGTGTTTTGGTACCAATATGCTAGTATACATGTGCACACTTTTTTTCAGAAAAGTTCACTAGATAGCAACCAAGGTAGAAGCATTGAGTGATATTTTTCTGTTTAGCTCAATGGACAGTGAGGTCAGCGGCAATGCCTCCAACAAAAACCCAGTTGAAATAAGCCAACTGAGCTAATTCAACACAGACAAGTAATTGAACTCATATCCCTGGTACAAGTAGCTCAACATCACACTATGTGGTACATTTACCCAATGGTAGGCGACACCAGAACTGGTGAAATAACTAACAGGAGAGCCGACTAGTAGTTTGGGCACTGAGCATGGAGTGGTACAAAGGCACAGGCCAGTCGGTCATTTGACTGGAAATGTTGCAAGACCAAAATGAGTTCTAGTTAGACCATTCATTGACTCGAAACAGTACACAGTTCTAGTGTAACTCACAGGAGTTCTAGACGGAGGAGTTGAGTTGCCCAATAAACAATCTAAGATTAGCAGTCAAGAAAAAAACAGAAGAAACTCCCCCTAAACCCTGATTAATAATAATCCTTGCTTATCACGTCTTCGAGACATCTCAAAGCGCTTCACAGAATATACTATAAAGTGAGTTGACTATATTTTGTGGGCGACTAATGTGCAATACACTTAATTATTTTATTCAAAGGTATTTCTACCCAGCAAATGTAAACCGCTGCCGCACCCTTCCCTAACTTACCTAACTTTTTAAAGATACTTTACCCTTTGATGCCCACTACAAAAACTACTGCAAATGGCAACTTAGAGGAACTGAAAGATTCAATCATACTCACAGCATAGGACAAATACTGCCCACCACCAACAACAACTTGGATTTATATAACGCCCTCCACGCCGGACGGACAGCATCTCAGAGCGCTTTACAGTAACGGATCCCGGGACCGAGCCAGGGGGAGGGGGAGCAAGGTGACCAAAGGTGCGGCTCCTTGTATACGAACAGCTTAGGAGGAATTTACCATATTTGAGTCAACATGCTCAGCGAGGTTAAGGAACATCAGTGTTGGGTAATTAATGCTTTTTTCCCCCCCAATTTTGACCTTACTGTCAACACCAAGGACTTCAGGGTAGGATCTGCCTAGATTGGATGTCACATATAGAGCCCTGCTCACTACAAACTCAAAGCCTTAATCTCAACTTTCAAAAAGCCAATGATACGCCAACATTTCTAGTCATTCCAAGATCCCTGTAGGATAATTATTTCTGAGAGTTTCTGAGCTCTCAGCCACATCCATTAGGAACTGGCTTGACACTGCCCAAACTCACTCAACTTAGTTACCTACACCCAGTACGAGACGGAGGGAGAGAAAACGTCATCCCTCCCACTGGCCGAGGTAGTTATATCAAATCCCCAAGGCAAGTCTCTGAGGCAGAAAGCAGTGTCAGTCCAAAGTGCTTTACAATTAATCCCATGCAAGTGGTGCAATGGGTAAGTGGGGGTGGGGTGCTCCACACATTCTCCAGCTCACGCAACAGATGCAGAACTACATTGGTGGGGGTGGTGGGTGGCAAAACCAAGCCCGAAGCAGAAATTAAAGTCTAGTGATCCAGCATGAGAAGCAAGTGCACGGCCACATTCAACAACCACCAAACTGAGCAATGGTCTGCAAAATTCCCTAGGCCAACAATGGAGCAGGTCTTGTTGGGGAGGTGGGGGAGGGGGAAGGGTGGTGGCTCAACGTGATGCAAAAGGAACAGAGAAGAGTGTACCTCGTATCGCTTTTGATCTTCGGCTGCCTTTTTAATCCACACTATTTTCTCCTTTTTCTCCATTGCACTCCACGTGGACTCCATTGCTTTTATAGCCTTACTGCGATCATTCTAAAAAAAACAAAAGGACACACCATGAAGCCCAGCATTTCTGCAATGTCAGATGTAGCTGAGATCACACCAATCTGATTACACTCCATCTGCCTACATGTTTTCCCACATGTGTGCAAAACCATCTCCACTCCAAGTTCCTGCAGATCGTAGGCTAAACAAATGGCAATAGAATTTCCTGGCCACAACTCGCGTGTCTAAGAAATGGGAAGGGGGGCGAAAAAAAGGGCATTCCCCCCCAAGCAGGCACTTGTGAGAAGTGCTGAACGTTGGAGTGATTTGGTACATGTTCTGGACTATATCATGCGTATTGGGCGGGGGGGGGGTTGCACAAGTCATCCAGTGCCGATGGACAGCACGTGATAATACCAAAAGATGCTGTGAGATAAAGTTGGTTGTACCAAAAAAGAAGGCATCTTCAGTTGAATTTGCAAACTGCACAAAGCTCAAGTAAATCAGATCTGTACGACTGATGGGTGTGAACAAGGAAATCAAAAGGATCCAATGTTGAACCGCGTTTCCTACTTCCAATTTTCAAATGTTCTTCAAAGTGTTGAAAGTTTTTGATTGATGAGGAATTGGTAACTTGAGAAAAGGTGAAAAGTCACAGACTGAATGTGGGCTGACCAGCCCACCCAATGGAACTGATTTGTCAATCGAAGGGCTGAGGCAACTGCCCCAAAACGACAGAAGAGCCAATGATACCGATTCCAAAAAGTCAACCTCATCAAAGCTGGAATGGTTCGTAATGAAATAGGGAAGGGGGAAAAAGTTCTCATAGAGATCATCTTCCAGACCAGTCTTCTCAACTTTGGGAACACCTTTTATACTGTAAGAATGCCCCATTGATCAAATAAAGGGTAGGAAGAGAGAGAAATTGAGAAAGACAAGGAAATTACAGGGAACTTGATTCTTTTCCATCGGAGTTTCGGGCACTTTATGGTCAACGTGATGAATTCAAATTGTTACTTTATGGCCAACATGTTGAATTCAAATCTTTGTGATGCTGTAAAATGTGCAGCTAAGCACTACATAAATTTTTTTTCTTTAATGCAACGATCTCTCAATTTGATCAATTTCAGCAGAAGGGACAGCAACTACAAATGCAACGAGAAATTGTTGTATTCAAAAGTTCTGAGATTCCAGCAGGTCCAGATTAGGGCAGAAACCTGAGTAGTGTAGAGAATAAGCCATGTTCAAAGAACGAGGAAGAATCATAATCAAGCATAGCTAGTCCAAGCCCTTTTCATTTATTTGCCAGCCAACATGGAAACTGTGCCAATCTTAACTGTACAAAGGCAATTTGAAGTAGGTCCTCTCTCAAATGATCTAAGGCATTGATAACAAAGCATTAGAGTTCTTAGGTCAACCAAAGGCAGTAGGTACATTTACGTGACACAAAGCAGCCATAGATCTGCTTCATCATTATCCAATGGCTGCCACCAGTTCACCAGTCCATTCACCAAGGTGCATTTTTTTTGAAGACTTGGTTTCGAAATCCGTTCACCTAAAATGCATTGTTTGAGCCACAAAGTACCTTTGGTTCTGCAAGCAAAATGATTAAATAAAAAAAACCTTTGTGCAACATCAGCACGGTGGAAATATCCTGACTCCCAAATCAAAGGAATCCTATAGGAATTGCAAGCAAATCTCTCCTTGGGAGATCCACTAGTGTTCAAGTCCCTCGTTCAGTGCCATACAGTAGTAGAGTTTGAGAACATGTTTTGCTCCTTGCGAAGGCCCTTGAAGTAACTACAAAAAGATCTATAAACTGGGACATACATGAAGCTTTGTTGCTTAAACAAGATATCGGGTATATCCCTATAATCAGACTCAATTCAAAAGAAAGTCCAGTCTGAACAATCTTAAATCATCTATTATAGTTAAGGTATTCAGTTAAGGTATGCTGGATACAGCAATTGATGCTGTGTGTAAGGACCCAAGGGCCCTCCTCTCAACTGTATGTCAGTTCTCGACTGGAGAGGACAATGAGTAGACAGCGTTGAATAATGAATAAGCCTTTGCACATACAAAAGGTCAAGAAGAAGCGAGCTTTGTGTGCATGCCACGTACAAACACAACCAAAGAATCAGAAATCACAGTCAATACGTCTGATCTACAATTTTCAGTATCACACAAAAAGCAACACAAAGCTGACAGTAAGCACTTCTACAACACAACTTTGATCTTACAAGGGTTAAGGCAGCAATGTATGGTAAAGCCACGCACATCACTCTTGGAACTGCTTTGTAGACATTGCAAATAAAACTCCATGAATATTTGCCCCCCAAAATGACTATTCAACTTGCACAATAGTCACTCAAAACTAATCAGACAAAACCCTTTAGGCCCACAACACAGCATAAACGCCTTGGGTCGATGCTCACTTTGTGTAATATCAGACACCAAGCCCAAAGACGTGAGTGGTACCTCCAGATCAAGTCCCCTATATTTTGTTGTGGTCACCATCTTAAGGTGTTGCTGGCCATCAGATTGAGATGAGACCCCAACATCCCTCCATCCCTAACATCCCTCGGAGTCAACGCAGAACAGGGCAATTGGGGGGGGGGGGGGTCATTCCAGAGAATAGTTGAAGCTTTTGAATTGATGCTCAACTCAGTGGACAGCTGGGTGAATAGCTGATGGCTTCAGCTGGAAGCTGAGTAGGTAGTGGCCAGGTTTACAGCTGGTTCAGTGATGGTCTGGCTCTACATGCGTAAAAAACGAGCGAATAAGAACAAAGCATCACAGAGACGCTCAAATCACTTTGCAGTAGTCAGCATTGGACCAAATGAGTCTTTTTCCAGTTACTAACAAGTCGATCTGACCCGCTTCAGAACAAACCAACAAGACTTTAGCGGCGTCATCAATGATCAGACTTGGATTAATTTTATCCATTAGTCACCAATGGATGAATCAGCAGGAAACCACCACTGCAGGCTAGGTAATCTTGCGACAGACACCATAAGAGACCCCGCGAGACTCCAACATTCTTTGAAATCAACGAAGAACAGGGCACCATCTTTTGGGGTAGTTTCCAGAGAATAGATGCAGTTGAACTAAATTTGACCTGATGTTGGATGTGGGGGTGGTGGAAAGATTCTTTACAAAAGGAAGCAATTCCAGTCTGGAAAAAGTACATCCAGCAAGTTAAATGCTTCGCAAAACTGGCGAACAAATTTTTTTAATATAATTACAAAAAATGTTCAAAACAAGAGTACCCAACAAAATACGCTAACCTACAACTTCACCAATTAAACCAGAGTAGACTAGAAAACTGCCCAAAGCACAAGGTCCTTTATATGGTATATAAAATCAATAGGACAACTATTTGCCCAAGTTATCCCAAATTGGATTCTCCCCCTATAATAATACTGCTGGAGTATCCATGCCTATGTGGAGAGTATACAAATCAAGAACTATTTTCAATTGAGACTTGAAACTACTTACAAGGTACAAGGACTTGCGGTGCAACACTCCACGTTTCAAACTACGAGTTTACTGCCGCAAAATATCTGAAACATATTTCGGAATACTTCGCAACAACTGCTGAGAAATAAAGCCATGAGGTCTGCACTATAAAAATCATACTCCAAAATCCAGGCAACCTCCCCTCCAGTTCATGACCTCTATAACAAACGTAAACAGTAAGTCTTCTGCCCTTTGCCCACCCCAGTCCATAGCCTGAATGTAGTCAATCTCATCCCTTGCACCTGCCCCACTCCATACCCTGAACTTTGCCAAGTAGTCTCCAATCACGTTCTGCTGCCAGATCTCTTCCGCAGTCTTGGGTGGCTCGGGCAGCTTTCCTCGGATATCAGCACCTTTTTTGTCTTTCTGCTTTTTCTGTTCGGATTCAGCTTTTGCTTCGGTCTCCATACGCCGATACTTCTCCTGTTGCAGCAAAAAACTCATTTTAGACTCCTCGAGAAAACAGTTACACAACAATATCCATCATTAAAGGCAGGAATGGCAATTTGTCATTACACAACCAACATTCTTTTTGAAAAATAAAAATCAGTCTCCACATAAAACTGAATGGGCAATCTTCTATGGGAAACTAGAAGTTTCATTCTTATTACAAATAATGTCATAGGAATTACATTGCTTCTCTCCCAAACCACTGTGTACAAAACTACATTGTAGATAGAAGACAGTGAGCCTGAAAATCTTGAAAAGCTCCAGTAATCAAGGTCGGGCACAATAGAAAGGGCGTTTTGGTAGATTGGGGAATTTTGTACATAGGAGAAAAAACTATTTACAGAAGGCAGACCAGAAAGAAGTAGGAGAATTGAACATTCTTCTGTATTCTTTCCAACTACTGGTGTATAAAATGAATTATGGTAACAAATTTCACAACTCTAATTTTCCAATAGCAAAACGTAAATATTTGATGTGGGATCGAATCCTAAACCAACTGAGCATTTGTCAGACCCAAAACACAGTAATGATTGGGATACGTTGCTCTATGTAAATCTTGATTTACAATCTTGTAAATCCGAGTGAAGAAAATCCCTGTTTTAAACAAGATGAATAGCTTGTCAATGTTCCAGGAGGATTCCTGATCAGGTGCAATATTGAAGCACTACAATAAGAGGGGGCAGTGGGGGAAGACACAAAGAGACACGCTTTTCATCCAAGCATTCCTCTTCCAGAGCTGTTGGATCAAGAAATTCAAGGCTTTGTAAAAGCACATGGACTCCAAAGATTTATTTTTTATTTTTATATTTATAATAATAATCCTTGCATTTGATATAGCGCTTTTCAGGTCGGGAGGACGTCCCAAAGCGCTTCACAGAATATACTGTAAAGTAAATTGAATGTATATTTGTGGGCGAACGCGGCAGCCAATTGCGCACAGCAATGTACCACAAACAGTCGTAGATTGAAAATGACCAATTTTATTATTGTTTTTGGAGGGATTATTATTAGTTGTGTGGAGTAAGGAAACTTGCCCAAGGTTTCGCCCTCTGCCTGGAATTGAACTCAGGTCTCTCACTTGCAAAGCGAGTGCTCTAACCACTGAGCTACAGGACTCCACGATTTACACGATTTATATATTTACACTGCAAAGATGCTTTGCAAAGAAATATCTGCATATTGATCAATAAAGTGGGCTTCTCTGTTGAAGACCAAATCTTAACATTTTTCCTGGTCAGTAACAGCCAGATAAAAGCACAACAGAGAGGGTTCCATTTAACCCACTGCCCAAATTTGCGTTGTAAGGAGTTTGACTGAATGGGGCTGCTGCCAAGGATTCCAGATTGGCCAATGTCCTCTCTCTGTAGAATGACACTTCTTTTAAACAATGCTAAAGGACTTTCTGGAGAGGAAAGATGGTGGGTTAGGTATCATTTTGCTATCAAAGTGACCAGATATAAATTTATTTTTCAGGTCTTAAGGCAGCCATATCTGAAATGGCATGGCTTATGCATCAACAAGGAAGTTAAACATCACGTGAAGTAATCGGTTACCAAGCAAGAAAGCATTAGATACAAGTTTGGGATCAGATTCCAGGTCGATCTGGATGAATTAGGTTAGTCAAATATCTGGATGTTACAATACTCAATTGTTATTTGTGTGAACCACCACAGCGCTCCGAGACTTGTTTTATGTGAAGGGCGCCAATATAAATACAAGTTGGTGTAATTGGATAACTAGGGCTTTTTCCCTCAAGGCATTTGTTCATTACTCTGGCAGTGCCACAGATTGGGCAAAGTCCCATGTATGTTCTTCAGTTTTTTTGCCAACTGATCTTTCTTCATCTCTGACACTAGATATTAAATAAACTATTTGACCATGGGAGATTACATCCAGAATATGTTCTAGTCATCACCGAATCTCTGTTCATATGCCTTTTCTGTAGTGGTTACTGGGTAGCAAACAAGAACAATCAAGAATAGAAGACCTGGTCACAAGGACAGAAGAGCAGGGTATAAGGCAAGGTAAAGATAAGGTAGCAATTTCCAAGTCCAAGTGAACGTAAACCCTGAGATTGAGGGTTAAGAACAAAGCGCCATTGCACAGCAGGCTTGCAGTAAACTGAAGTCACTCCCATCTGAAAATAAACTTCACTGCTAACGTTGGCACAATTTGCAACTTTTCACCTTGGACATTTGATATTAGCAGAAAGCTGCCAGAGACAGTCTCATCAGCTAGGGAGGAGTGTGGCGAATCTGCCTTGTGAAGATGAATGAAATAGAGACTGAATACGATGGAAGATCACAACTACAAGTTGACTGCGTCCCTCAGTCAATATAAAATAAAAAGTTCAACACTTCTGCATCAGTTAGACCTGAAGAGTTTCTTTCACTTGGTCTTTGCCTTCAACCAATGTCACAGACTAAACTTAAAAACTGCATAATACTGTTGGGAGTTTCTCTTTTTTTGATAGGGGCAGGGAGGGAAATGGAAGAGGAGGAAGAAATTGTGTAACTTAGGCCCTTAAAAATAACCTCATCTAATCATTTGGTTAAAAAGTGTTGAATTTTTAAGGGTGGGCAACAAAACCTCACCGATCAATTTGACAGTCAAACAAGAGACTCCCAATTCCAATGGTCACGTCGAAATGAAGAACTGTAATGATGTCCAGAAAGTTGCAAAGGAATTATCCACTCCAGAGCCTTTTGCTTATCAGCTGCAGGAAAACCCTAACTTCCCTAAACAGGTTGGGGATGTGAATAACTTAGTTCAGCTAAAACTTTTCAAGAAGGACCGTGCTTTCAGCAATTAGATACGTTAGAAAACTAGTGCCAAACTCGTGCCAGTTTCCTCCCACCACCCTCTTCCCAAATTGGTGACGTGTAGTGGTATGGACCCAGCAGCGTATGTAAGGGTTACCTTTTTCTTATCGGATAGTTCGGTCCACATCCTGGCGAGCTTCCTGGTCAGCTCGCTCTCCGACAACTCGGGCTGATCCTTCTGCAGTTTCTTGCGCTTCTCTTCCGAGAAAATGAACATGGCAGAGATTGGACGCTTTGGTTTGTCAGAGGCATTCTGATAACAAACGTGAGAAGAGATCCTTTATAACCATTTGCTTAAAAGTCTGCCAGCCGGTCTTCCACCTCTCTTTTTTTATATATACCATTTCTACCTTCAAGCTGCCGGACGGAGCTCATAGTCCTTAAGATTTAACACTTCTCCCTTTGGAAAGAGCCCTGCTTGGATGGAGGTGCCATTTGTCAGGGAAGAAACGTTGACTTCATTTCTGATGTGTGGTGATGATGGAAAGGTGAAGGGAAGGGGGTGGGAATTGGTCAATCAAGGATGCACCATCTAGGCCCGCCTCATAGGGAGGTTGTTTTCAAAGAGGGAAAAAAAGGTTTTAATTTGAGGATTATCTGGGGGCACAGCTTCACAGATCATCTCCTCGAGCTACAGCAAAATCTGCTTCTGGTACCAATTCCACGATGCAGCTATCAATAGGGAAGGGGTGAGGTGAGGTTGCAGGAAAGGAGTCAGTTTTCTCTTCTCCCTAGAGGTCCGTTGAAACGCCAGTGAACTTGCAAAGTGTGTTATTCTCGTCTCAACCTGCAATCCCCAATGATCAATAAAGCATTAGGTCTATCATGATGCACAGATGAAGAAGGCCCATTGGATCTCATCCTTCCAGAATACCTACCCTATTATCTTCCCATCGCAGCATTGAATCAGTTCTTAAATTAGTCCATTAGATATTCTCAAGACCCATTTAACAGCTCTTTACAAGCAACCTAAATGGAAGTGGAGACACTGGCATTTATACTGAATGAGAAATGTTCGTGGCACCTGGATCACAGCCCTTGAATTGACCATCAGGGTTCGAGTGGCATCACTGAAATGCAACTACGGCACCACTCACTCGGCTCTTCCCACCCAAAGAGGCTATCGATCGAGGAATTCAACAGGAATTCAATGGGAATGTCCAAAGGAAATGGCTTACATCGATTATGGAAATGGCACAACAGTTGTGGATTGTTGCCCATGCCCGCACTCACTCTAAATGACCACAGTCTTGCGGTTTCCTCGGTGTGGCCATTCTACACGTCTGCCTAATCTCTCACTTGGGAGCCCAATAAAATCCATAGCTCAGGAGACGGTGTTGGAAGACAATAAATAACTAGAATTACCGGCCACCACTCCCCCAGCCCCAAACCCCAGTATCCAATTACATACACACGTATGTAATGGAAGTCTTCTAACAAACTGAGTCACAGGTAACTCACTCAAGCCTGTCCTCTAGGATGGGCATACATTAATGAGATGGGATCTACCGTAGGATACCACAGAGCAAACCGCCAACACCAAAGGCACGAAACCTACAGTGATACGAGCACAATCGCATCAACTCAACCTCCGTCCAGATTACACAATGTGATTGATGAACGCGATTACGCAGTATTCCCCCCTCCCTGGCTTCTGCATAAGAAGGCAGATTAGACATTACAAACGGCTATAGCATTGTGCATGGAGTAGACTAAGAGACCTATGCAGTTTGCAGGTAAAAGAATTGATAGAATTAGTTACATTAAATACTTTTCCTCCTCCCCCCAGAGACTTCATATTCTGAACATAAGAATCAGTTGGCTAAACCAAGATAGCCACAGGCTGATTTTTTCCTCGCTCACCGCTGCAGCGCACATGTACAAAGCTGCTTGTGGTTGCTCTGAAATACTTGAAGACTGCCCTCCAGCCAGCAAAGCTTTGCCAGTTGTGGGTCCAAGATAGAACATGAGAATTGCTATACCTAGTTCTAGTTAATTGCTACGAACTAGGTGGACCTTGCTACACCAAGGTCCACCTAGTTCGTCTTCAGCCGTGTGCACATGTCATGACCCAAACTATATCCTGTATCCCACAAACTTATCTCCTAAAAGAAATCTATCTAATTTGCTTTTGAAAGAATCAACACTTTCTGCTTCCACCGTTTCTCTAGGGAGCTTGTTTCATACATTTACTGAAATAGTGTTTCCGCAGATTTGTTTTGAATTTCACCCTCCCCCTTCAATGTCAGGCCGTGTCCTCTGATTCTATTATTCTGGACAAGATAAAACAACTTATTGTGGTCTATGTTATCTCGTCTCTTTAAAATCTTAAAACTCAGTTCTGAAAGAAGACAACACTGCTTGACTTGGGTCTCCGCATCTCTGATAAAACCAACAAAATGCACTTACAAAGAGCTGCTGATCAATTACACATTATTCCCGAAAGATCTTAGTAAAGCTCATTCCCAGCGTTTATAGTTAGCTTCAAGGAAATTCAGCAGAATCTCTATCCGCTCGAAGGATCAGTAAACCACTCTCTCCAGGGTCACAACCGGGGCTCAGCAATCTCCACAGGAATTTCTAAGCTCTCATCATGGGCTCACGGCTTCCTAACAGAAAGTTGTAAAGCTTCCAGCTGTGTTGACTACGGTTAACCTTGAAACCAGCAGTAGACTACCATCAAGACTTTGGGTAAAAGGGGACCTTCTTCTCTTCAACAGACCACTCAACTGTAGAATTAGTAGACAGACGTATGCTTGAGATGCACACAACCATTGGCTCCAGTTATAAGATCCAAATTCTCCATTGCATACTACCTACTGGTTTAACCCGCCTACCGCTCGATTTTCTCCGCAACTGAATAAGGTCACTGCACATCAGACGGGAAGCCCTTTCCATTTTTTTCACCTACTTAGGTTGACGGAATTCAATATTACTGCACCAAACACATGGAGACTGCGAGATGTCTCTGATTCAAGATACAGTTGTTCAAACTTCCTGCTCTGTGTAATCATTTCAATGCCTTTTCCAATTGTCAGATTAACAATGAGCAACCAGAAGAGTATAAAGAATCAGGAGTGAGGCTGGAGTTACTAGGAGCAGCTGAAATGTGAGAATGTGGCTGATGGATATAAAATCCCTCCAAAGCAGGAGAGATGGTAGCTATTAAATAGCAATCTTAGTTTAGAGTCATTTATCTAAGCCGAGATAGCCGGAGGCTGATTTTGTCTTGCTCAGCAGTACAGTTTACATGTCCAAAGTAATGTAGCCACTCTTGAATATTTGAAGGCTGCCGTGTGCAGTATTGCCGATTGTAGGCCCTTGTGAGGAAAGCAAAGTATTGGGTTTAGTATGTAAATAAACCAAATGCAAATCTGCAAAAGCAACCAAGGCACACACCACAAGGAGATGACCTGGAAAAGAAGGTAAACAACATCCGTTCGGCTCAGTGGTAAAAAATACTTGGGACATTTCTACATGCGGCCTTGGGGTTTCCATCAATTGGAATTAAATGACGTTAGCTGTGATATCAACAGAGGCTATAATTAAGAAAAAACATTAGAGCTGTGTTTAACACACCCTGCACATCTCTGACAAATGCAGGGTATAACGAACAATACACAGGGACAGAAAAAACAGCAGTGTTTGTGATTGCTGATGGAATGTTAATACCATCAAATCCTCCTACTGAAGGATGCAGCAAGCTCCATTGACACATCAAATGCTACAACTTAATTTCCAGTTAGACATTTCTTTATCTCGGTCGACTTCGAAAAGGATCAAGTTCTTCCGCCTGGTATAGATTCAAAAATAGCCCACGCTTGGCCAGTTACACCCCTCCTTCCTCTTTGTTGTACAATTAGTCTTTAAAGTTATCTTTCAACGAACTTCATTACGACACCACCATCATCACAGAGTCCATCAGCCTGACCAGCTAAAGGTCAGGTCTATATCCAGCAGATGGACTGGACTACGTAGGATATCCCCAACACCACAACAGGAAATGCATTGGAAACACAAGTCATCTACAACATGGGCTCTTGCAACAATGGAAATGATTATGTATGGAGAAGCACTCCGGGCCCACTAACCCGCAAGTTGTTGTTATGTAATGGGTCGTATGGCATTTTAATGTTCAGGCATTGGAACTCTAAACTGGGTGTGGTATCATACTCCGCACACCAGCTAAATATTTCAGTAATGAAAAACAGTGACATTTTGTCCATGGATACCAAGTTAAGGATGTCCTGAAATGAAGACAGAAATTTGAGGAGTGAAAAGAGATTCTCCTCATCTTTAAACTTTCCCTCTTTTCAAAACATTGGAATGCATTTGCCTCTTCCATCTTTTGCTGCTCAAGTCCCTCCAGCCTGGCTTTTGACCTGCCCACAAACCAAGACCAGGGTCACTAATCTTCAAAAACACTTGCAGCCAAGACTCCCAACTCGATCAATCTACCAACAGCTACCTATCCTTCCAAACAAACAATTGCTTCATTACTAACACTGCCTCTCCCCCTGACCAGCTCATCTCCGGAACATTGCCCAAATATAACCACACTATGTTGCTGAAATCCCCATTCATGCTTTAGCCACCTTGAAGATAAGGCATCATCAATGCTCTTCTCTCTGGCCTCCTGAGTGCCATACTCCACAAGCTCCAATCCATCCCAAGCTCTGTTGCCCATATTCTCTCCCACACCAGTCTCTACCTCACCAAGATCCACAGGCTCCCAGCACACTAATGGATATCATTTACACCATCTCGGAGTTCTTCCGACTCGCACCCTCCCTAGAATCATGAATCTTACAGCACATTTGCCTGTGCCAGCTCTTTGAAAGAGCTATCCAACTAGTCCTACTCCCCCACTCTTACCCCATAGCTTTGCAAATGTTTCCTTTTCAAGTACCTATCCAATTCCCTTTTGAAAGCTACTATCAAATCTACTACTCCCTCTCCACATTCAAAGCCCATTTCTCTGTCCTCTTTCCACTCTCTTCAGCTCCCAGCCCCCCAAAATCGCAGGTGTCCAGCCAAAAGTGTGAAGCACTTTGAAACATCTTACCAACACGAAAGGCACTATATAAATGTAAATCATATTGTATTAACCTAAACTTTAAATCCCTCCTCAGGCACATACATCCCGATTTATACAGGGTGACCAAAGTCTTAAATTTTTTTTAATATAGGGTAGATATCGTGACTTTTTGGTCACCCTGTACAATCTCTCCTAGCCCATTCTCTTGCCCATATACTCCGCCTATCTGATTTTTCTATTGCTTGCACCACTTTCACATATACCTCTGAAAGTCTCTTAAATCTCATTGCCTCTGCCTCTCCGCATCTTCGAAATCCAGGTTAAAAACAAATAGGTCACCGTGCTTTTGGTCGACATCCTATTTCTCCCCTCGGTGTTCCCACTATGACCGTTATATTACTTGAGAATCACTGTACATGAAAGGGGTTAGGTCCAAACTGTGGTTGACCACAATAGCTATCCAGCAGCTGTGCAGAAGTGAAGATATTTGCGTAAGATTTGCAACCAGGCTTGTTGAGCGATTCCCTAGTCAGGAACAGCCCTGATCCCACTTATCCAGGCTTGAACATGAAGAATGAATACTTGAGCAAGAGAACAGCTGGCACCTGAGCAACCAAACAAACTTTTTGAGGTGTTGGCAAGGAAGAAAAAAAGAGATGAAGTACAAATACTAACTCAGAAAATAGGAGTTGTGTACCTCCCACCTGCTGACACAAAGGATTGGGATAAGATGCCAGGCACTGCAAATACGACTTTCATGCCAAACTTGCACATTTGAGTTTTGCTCCAGCTGACCCTCATCTCAGCCAATGGAAATATTGACTGGCATTTCATTAGCAAAGGGCTATTTTCCACCGCATCAAAGGTAGAGGTCACTGCACGACAGATGAGAAGCCTTGAGGTTGCTGGAAGGAGTTACCTGGAGTGTGGCTTTGGGAGCAAACATATCTTGTTCCAGAATGTGCCATGTGGTTTGTATACTGAGTGCTAAGCACATTTGTGTTAAGGCTATGCACGTCCAACTGATTGAGTCACCATGTATTGAGCTGTGTCGTGTGTCCTGGCTGGGGGGGGGGGGGGGGGGGAGTTGGGTGTATGGAGAATGATAACGATGCGTGTGTGCGCAGCCCACTGGAAACAAGCTGCTGGTATTGACTGTCCATCCAGCGGGTTCTCAAACCCACGCTGGGCATCCCTCTGATGACCAACATGTGACTTTCCTTTTTGGTGGGGAGAAATAGCTCCTCTATAGGGTCGACATATCTAACAAAGGGAAGCAGAGTCAGTCAACTCTTTGATATTGACTTGATGATTCCAATGCCGTAGCCAGACTTCAATGGGACTTGGGAGGGGGTAAACATCATTGGAAGGTGGGTGGGGTTCATCACACTCGGCTCATGAGAAACCTGCACCTCTAACGGTGGCCCAAGTAATGAGAAGCTTACTTACCACTGCCTCATATTGGTGAAAAACAAGGTTGACATTGTGTTTTGCCAAATTATTGACGTCGTGCAGAAAGAACATGTATGCACATACATGAGTCATCAAGTGCGTGGCTCCATGCCAGACTGAGTCAACATCTTTAGAGGGAGCCTCCATTAGCAAAATCGCATAGAGGTGACAAGGCCACACTGAAACGGTCAGAAGTACGCACCTTGGTCGCTTCTGTAGAGGATGGGGTACCTTTAAGCCCACCCTGCTTCAAGTTGCTCGCTGCTTTCTTGTTTACTCCAAACATCTTCTCTTCACCAAGGACTCGCTGCTGCTCGTGCACAGGGAGGCTCTGTGACAGAATTTTTAAAAAATGGTGATTTCACAATACATTAAAATAACAGCAAAATGGACCCTAAAACAGCTACTACCCAAACTTATTTGCAGCCCCACATATACAATGATAGAATTTGGTACAGTGCCTATCGCATTGTCAAATTGTCTCAAAGCGCTTCATAGGATATTACTGTGAAGTGCAGCGACTCTGTATTTTGTGGGCAAATGAGGCAGTCAATTTACGCACAGCAACGTCCTACAGACAGCCATGAAACAAATGACCAATTTTTTTGGGGGTATTGTTAGTCAGATCACCAGAAGAAGCTTCAATTTCAATGCCCCCACTCATTCTGAACCACATACTCTAACTGGACAGACCATTATTGTCACAGAAATGTCACTTTCCACAACAGAAGACTGAGAATGACTAACTGAGGAAGACACACAAGGAACTTCACTAGGGAGGGCAGTGCAATACACCACTGGCTGAAGTTAGATCCTCTGTACAGACAAGACAGTAACAGGAGCACTAATCCACAATGTTGTTGTACGTTAGAGTAGAACGGTGAATTGTATATCAATTAAGCAACCCATATTGGCATTTACCCCAGAATGTAGCACACCTACCTGCAAAAACCGATGGAGGTCGATCTCGTATTCCTTCTTTTTCTGTTGGGGGGAAAAAAGTAGATTAAATCAAGGCAACAATTCTTTATAATCTTAACATTGGGGTTCAGTAACTCAAGATCCTTAATTCTAAGACATGCTCCAGGCAATAGCTGGGTCATTGGAAATGGCAGAAAGTATCATCGAGGCAATAATTAATACTACTGATTAATGCAAGATCTCACAAAGCTCAAAGATAACATAAGCAGGCAGCTTTGCCAGGCATCGCCAGAGCAACCATAAGGAATTGGTGCTAAGCTGCAGGATTTGCTTAAGATCAAATTTGATGTGTCCAATTTACTCCTCTATGGCATATGCTTATCTGCTCCTAGTCTAGCCTCCTCTTGTTGGGTGCAGTTCAACAATGCCCTCAGGCACTCACTTCAAATGTCCATTCGGCACCTTGGGATGTCCTCCCGACGTGAAAGACGCTATACAAATGTAGTTTTGTATTGTATTGCTCATGTCGGCAGGGGTCACAGTTGAGCCTAACCTCCCAACAGCTGCCACATGTGAGTGCAACCAGTAGAGGGTGCTATAGAGGGATTGGAAGTCAGAGCCCAGTCTCGTTTTACTCTCCCGAGCCCTAGAAAGGCCGCGGACAATTGAGCCCAAAGACCGGCAAATTCAGCATAGATTCAAACCTCTGAGCCTATAAACAGCAACTCTGTCCACTGCACCTATATCCACTGTACCATCCGGGATGCCCCACAAAAGTTATTTGTACTGTGATATTCACAAAATTAATCTGATAAAAAATGAACCATTTTAAAAAATGAAACCCTCCTTTGTGGAATTCAAATAGAGAACGTTCTGGTCCTAGGTTTGATGCCCAACCAACTGAGCTACTCAGCAACAATAAGGACAAGTAACCCTGCCAAATTGCCCCACCTTCCTCTTTGGGGCACCAGTTTCACGAGCGCAATCAGAATGAAGAAGCAACAACAAGTATTCATACAGCACCCCTCACGCAGGGTAGCATCCCAGAGCGCTTTCTAGCGTTCCAGAGCAGATGTAGTTTGAACCAAGTATCATAAAGAGGAATACAATTGCCATTGAGGTTGATTTGCCGAGCAGCCGCAGTCAGTACCTGTTCACAGCGTTTCTGATAGGCATCTTTCTCTTTCTGAGACAGCATTTTCCACTGTTTGCTACAGAGGACCATACGCTCTGTGCTGGGGATGTCCTTCATGTTGGACATTAGCTCCGCACAGTATAGAGAATAGCCATTCCTAAGACCAAAAAAAACCCAATAAAAGTAGTCAGGTGTGAGAATCGTGATTATTCACATAAAAGCAATATTCCATCTTTATATAAACTCCTTAATATCTATACAAGATGATACAGAATACACTCGCCTCCCTCCCGCACATTCCCCTTCATACCAACCGAATACTCTAGTGGTGCTCTTTAAAGAGCCAGCACAGACGAGATGGGACGAATGGCCTCCTTTTGTGCTGTAAATTTCTACGATTCTGTAATAATACTTACATTTAGCATAGCACCTTTTACATCAGGAGGACATTCCAAAGCACTTCACAGGATATACTGTAAAGTGCAACTGTTTTGTGAGTGAAAGCGGGAGTCAATTTGTGCACAGCAACATATTACAATTGTCTTTGAAGCGAGTGACCAATTTTATTTGGGGCCAGATTGTTCGCTAGGCCACAGGGAGACAGAAACTCTCTTCTCTTTTTCAAAAGTGCCACAGGATCTTTAGCATTCTTTAGCTGAACGGGCAGACGGACCTCAATTGATGTCCCAATTATCTACAATCGTCGGTCAATCAATTTCCCACAGGAAGCAAAGGATTAGACTAGCACTTACGGGGGTGGTTTGGTGGGTCGTCCATCAAATCTATCCTTCAGTTGCCGCTCAGCTTTGGTCAGCGTGTTTTTGGTCAAATCGTCCATACTAATACTGAGCTCTGGGTGACGCATGATGTAATCTCTCATTGCTTCCTGTAATCACAATAAGTGGCAATGATGGCTGAACTGATTTGAACAGTGGATCGATATCATCCCTCCCCTCCTAAAATCTTAACAGAATGTGTACTGCTGTTTCTATATGGCGGTATAGGTCTTTATTCACTGCATAAAATATCCTCTCTAAACTTCACAACTTAGCTAGCAGTAAATATGGTCTCACTCTCCACTCACACCTCTTTGCCAAGATTATGCCGATCTCCATGGAGGTCAAAAAGGAGAGAAGGAAAATAAAAAGAACAAGCAGTAGACTATGTCAGGAACTCAGAACTCACGATGCCTGGAATGAGTGCCGAAGAGTTCAGTGGGGTATACAAACTGTTAAGGTCACACCATCAGCCACGAGGTACTTGCCTCGTATACTTCACGCTGCTCCAAGCTTTTGCCAATCCACTTCAACCGCTTCTTGTCAGACAGCTGGGACCACTGCTTGCCCAGTGCATCTTTCACATCCTTCATCGTTGCCTGAAAGTCGAGGGGAAATTATACTGATTCGTTCAAATAATAATCCTTGCATTTGATTATAGCGCCATCAAAGCGTTTCCCAGAACATACTGTAAAGTGTAGTGACTGTATTTTGTGGGTGAAGCACAGCAGCCAATGGTGCACAGCAGTGTCCCACAAACATCTGCAGATTGAATGTCCAATTTTTTTTAAATATAGAGTGATAGTTAACCCAGGAAAAGCAATCCCCCAATCGACTAATAACCGGGTTCCTACTTACTGCTAAGTAAACAGAGGCGTGTGTGTGGAGTAAGGAAACTTGCTTTGGAAGATTTTGCCTTGTCCCGCCTACTCAACATCCCCTGCCAACTACAACATGGAAAACATTTGGAAGACAGGCAACAGAACAATCTCACTTTGTTGCTGTAATTAGCGGTTAAGCAATCACAAATGATTTAACGCTTTGGTCTAAAGTTTTGTCAAATCTTTATTTACACTAAATAAAAGCCCCTTCAATTAGATAGTTACTCAGCATAATATCAAAGAACTTTAAAGCACAACCTGTGGCTGGCTCAGAACTTTGTTTAGTTCCTCCTCCCATCTCCATACCCTCTGATATTCCTCCTTTATGAATATGTATCTACTTCCTTCTTTGGAGTGACTATGGATTCACAAACAAATGGGAAGCCAGGGCAGCTCAGCTAAGCAATGCTGCGCTCACCTGCTCAGGAAAGATCAACCAAAGTTAGGGTAGTTGTATCAAGACAGCAGCTTTTGGTCTCTTTCTCTGCCCCAATTTTTACAATAGCTCATTGGAGTGGCATTGCTCAATTCCCTCCCCGTGCACAGGTGGAGCAAACCAAGGGGCAGCAAACCAAGGGTCAGCAATAGGATGCACCACACAAAGAGCTTTGTCAGTCTAACCGGAACATAGAAAACAGCAAAAAAAGTCACGTTGTATGCGTTTCTTATACTCTGAATCGATCAGCCTTCATATACAAAGGATTTAGCCACCACCTCAGAGTCTCTATCCTTTGATACTTTACTTGTCATTGTAGCTACTCAAGTACAAAATGACCAGGTTAAAATGTGACGATTGGGACTCATAAATGAGTGCACCCTCAAACCCTGAGCTCATTTGATTGTAAGGAAGCAAAATCAAATCCATTAATAACAATTGTGACTTTAAATGCCGAGTCACATGGGGGGGGGGGGGGCAGGATCCATGTCAAGCCGACACACAGACACTGCAGCGCATTTACCTGCGGGTGCAGCTTCATGAAAGCTTTTTTCTCATGGAGGTACCACAGCTGCTGGGGCGTTTTTGGTTTTTCTGGAACATCAGTTCTCTTTACCGACTCCAACAGTTCTGGATGGTCCTCTCTGAGGAGAGGCAGAGGAATGAGGGTCCAATTACACAAAGACCACTCACATCCGTCTCCCAAAACAGCAATGAGCAGCATTACGTCTTTAGTTTTGAAGAGGCTAAACCCACTCAGTCATTTGTTTTCTTGGGAACTCTTTGATTTTCTCCTTAAGCTCAAGCCCTCCGCTTACCACCCCACCCCGCCAACAGAAAGACAAAGAGTTTTACCTGAACCTGGCCATGTTATGCTCAAAATCCTCCTTCTCTTTCTGAAACTCCTGAATATATTTCATCTGAAGAAAAACGCAAAATATGATAGGAAAGAAACTACCTCAGTAATAAAAAGCATCTCCCCTTCTCATTACTAGGTCAAGTGTAAGGATGATCATTTGCTTCACTTCTTTTACTCCATATGCACCCGCCTGTCCCTCCAGGCTCTCTTCCCTTGATTCACCAGCTACCCTTTACTGTGTGGACTTCTGCTTTGTTATCATTTTCTGGCCTCTTATTTGCAGGGCATTTGTGTTGGTAAACCAACAATCAAGTTACTCCCAAGTCCAAACCCATCCCGATTACTCAGGCCACTCAAAAGGTAAAATAATTACATTGCAACTTCGATTAGGTAGTTGGCATTTCACTCAGTGAGCGACATTACCTCAATGTGGTGCTACAGTGACTTTCACGCTTTAATAATAATACTTGTATTTGATAATAGTGCTTTTTCAAAGGGATATTAGTAGTAATATACTAAAATAGTATATTTTTCACGGGATATACTGCAAAGTGTAGTGACTGCATTTTGTGAGCGAAACATTGCACACAAAGTCACACAAACAGCCATTGGATGAGTGACCAATCTTATGTTGGGGGATTCTTGGCCATGACATAGGGAGAGAAAAACTCCCTTCTCTTTTCAAATAGTGCCATGGGATCTTTAACATCCATCTGAACAGGCAGATGGGACCTTGGTTTAATGTCTCATCCAAAGAACGAGAATCCCATACCCACATAGTCTCCCAAACATTAGCCTAGGTAGAAAACCCAGTTGAGTATGCATTGAAGCCAATCATAGTGGCATGCTGTGCAGGTGGCTAAGTTAGTGCACACTATTTGAACAATGCAAGCCATCATATTTCATTGCCCCATTGGATTATATCCAGGGAAAAACAGGATTTTCTAGCCATCCAACCTTTGAATGCAACATAACACTGAGCAGAAAATCCACACCCCGGCATTATTCACCTTTTTCTTCTCTGGCAGCTCCTTGTATTTCTTAGAGAGAATTTTGGTCAGATCCAAGTTGCTCATTTCAGGGTGAAGCTTTGCATATTTTGCCCTTTTCTCCATAAAGAATCGAAAATAGGGAGTGAGTGGCTTCTTGGGGAAATCGGGATGTTTCTGTGAATGAGAGAGTCGGCCTTTTCATATTAACACAGTGCAGCCCATCAGACAGTCAGACCCAAAGCCACCGAGCTTCAAAGTGGGAAAAGACAAAGAGATTATTGCAATGTCGCTAAGGATTTGAGCTGAAATTGTAACCCTGCAAAGCATACCGGCTAACCTGGGGAGGTGAAATCAATGAAGGGCTCAGTTATGGCACAAGTCTTTGGTCAAGGTGGAACAGAAACTTGGCATTTCACTTAAGACTAAAACGTACATAAAGCAAGAAAGGTGAGATCATTAATTACCTGCAGGACAGCAATGTTGACAGACCTGGTGAAAACGTGCTATTATCACTCAGGTTCGCAATGAGGAAGTGCGTATATTTGAGAGAAATGAAATGTATAAAACCAACACAGAGAGACAATTTGTTCTGAAAATGCCATTGATTACATTGCTCAAAACAGTGCACTTTTTCTTTCCCGCTATCATTGGATGTTAAGATTAAATTCCAAGCTTGTTCAGTACATCCAACAATCTACTCGTGCTGATGCTGAGCTAATGTAGCATATTGGTACCAAAAGAGTAGAGGAAATACCTTGAGCCAAAAATGATTCTTCATCGACTCAGTTCATCACTTTAATTTGATCCACCTGTCATGCTAGTGTTAAAAGCCTTATTATCTTGTTTAAACAAATCGAGTTTAGAAGGATTAAATCTGTAATAGTCCTGCTGCGTGCTAATCAACGTTCAAGCAGATACAATGACGATTTCACACACCAACTATTACACTTTACTGAAATCACATTCACAACACTGTACTGCTTGCTTGCTGTTAATTATCTTCAGACCTTCAAAACTCCGACGAGGTAGCAGAATTAAAGGAGAGGTGGGGAAGAGATTTGGAATGTTGTGTCAACACTCGTGAATAGAAGCAAAATATACATATTGCCATTTAGTTGGCGAATCATACAAGCCAGGCCCCATGCTATTCCATGATCAAGCTCCATCAAACCCATCGGCAATGTAGTCAGTGAGTGTGAAAAGCTGTTAGTGGAAGAGAAAACGCAGCTCTTACAATTTGTGTGTGTGTAAACTAACCGAGTACCGTCAACGGATCAAATTGTATTTAAAGGGCAGGAATTTTTTCATCGCAATTTCTTAAGAATTGGAGATCCTAAATGAATACCTAGAGATGTGCTTCTTGTGAGTTGGGGAGATCAGTAATCAGAGGGAGAGAAAGAACAAAATAGATAACCAACTTCATTGAACTGCTCAGGATTTCCTGAAGGATCGATCGATCTACCGTTGGCAGAAAGCATTTCACTCTGCCCTGTCACACTCTGCGTATGCAGATTACAAAGACTATAACAGGTTTGTGAGGGTGTAATCGGTGTAAACCGTGTGCTGAGGTTTCCAGAACATATTGTATCGGTGACCAACACTCTTCTCCTTTGCCAACTGCATATCATCACCTGAATTCGGGTTTGCTCCACCTCAATCTCACCTTCAGCTTTTTTCCTTTGTATGGATTCCTCACATGTTCCTGCGCGTCCATAATCAGTTCTGTTAATGTGCGAAATTTCCTCACCTGGAGGCAGAAATATGGGAGGGGGGTGTTTGTAGGAAACGGAGCACAATAGAACACACTGCTTCACAAAGAGGTTACATGTTGGATGGGTGTTGGAAGTTCAAACTTTATATACTGTAAAGTGAATTAACTGTATTTTGTGGGCGAAATGAATATGTGAAGTTATTGTGTTACAATCGTTCTTTCTTGTTATCCTGACAGCCTATGCAGCACACTCCAAAACCCGGGATAGATGAGGAAGTAGGGCTTTTGACATTTCTCCAGTACCTCCCGACGTGAAAAGCACTATACAAATGTAATGTTGTATTGTATTCTCTCCTTTTTTCCTCTTCAAAATGCCTTCATCACATTGATGTATGGTCCCACAATCAAAGAACCGGATCGAACAACAAAAACTTAATCTGCAGAGCTGCTTAAATGACAACCCCCACCACAACTGAAAGCACTCCTGAGACCTAAACCTGAATACTGCAAACCTGTAAAGGCTTGAAGGAAACATTCATTCCCAGGGTTTTATTTCCTCTCCATTTGGTAACTGCTCCAAGGCACTACCCCATGTGAAGGTTGCAAGTAGTTGTTGTTGCTGTGGCTGTAATTTCAAATACAGGAATTTCTGAAATTCGTGCAGAAGGTAAAGAAAAGCAATTTGTAAAAGGATTCCATGCAATAATCATCACACTCTCAGGTGTGCCAGAGATTGCAGATAAAATAATCCTTAAATTTGGCATAGAGTCTCTCAGGTCATGAGGATGTCTCAAAGCCCTTCACAGGATATACTGTAAAGTGTGGTGGCTGTACTTTACCAGCATTAGAGTTTAAAATAAAAATAAATCACTATTGGGTGTAGCAGCTAGACCCACTCTTACTTCATGTGAGATCTCACTCCACTTCTGTTTGCACATCTCTCCGGTGAAGTTGCGAAATGTCACCTTGTTCCAGTCTATGTGCGATTCAGTCGTCTTAAACTTCATGACGTCATTGTGAGGAATGATGGTCTTAATACTCTCCAGCAGCATCAAGAGTTCCTCTTTGGTCCAATCTGTGAGGAAGAAAAAAAAATCTGATATAGCGCTTTATCTCAAAGTGCTTCACAGAATATACTGTAAAATGAATTGACTGTATACTTTGTGGGTAAAATGCCCACAAAAAACTCAATGTTTGCAGTGGTATAACTCATTTTAAATGAAGCCTATTAAAAAAAATCAAAACTTTTTACTCCCCACCCTTCACCTTTTTTCCTTTCCTGAAAATATTTTGGACTGAAAACATTATAGTGGTACATGGGCAGAAAATCTGGTTTGCTATAAAGTTCTCGAGCTAACACGGTTTACACAGGGCTGCCGTAGATGCAGGTTATTGGAAATTAATCCCAGTCATCTAACCCTTTTGCCAAGTTAAGAGGAGAATCCTCATTTGGTGTCCAAGCTTGGCTGAATTCTATTATCCTTAGGGAGGTGACGGGGGAGGGAGATAGTTAAGCAGTTCAGTTGGCGATATGCCTGGTAAAAAAATGGAATATCAGTCTGTCTTCTCAACTAAAAGATTGCTCTTAAAGGAACCAGCACAGATATGATGGACCAAAAAATTTGCATTGTAAATTTATATTGGTTCTATGGCAGTGTTGATATTCCAGTTCCTAAACCAGGCAAGGCAGCAGTACTGCAAGGCACTGTTGAGAATGATGAGCCAGACTGGCCAATCAGCAGGATTTGATAATACAGACCAGTTAATAAGCAGAAGTTATTTCTATTTGGCTCCCATTAACCCTACAAGCCAAAGCCCTATTGGATAAGGTGGTTACAAGCAGCAGGAAGTTTGCCAGTCAATATTTGCAATGTATGACAAATTGTGTAGGTTTAAACAGGTTACACTCCAGCAATACCCCAAACACATGCAATAGAATCCTAAGCCTCATCTCCTGCCAAAATTTTACAGGATTAAGTTGCGCAGGGTGCATTTTTCTGGGAAGAGCACACACCACAACAACTTGCATTTAGTCCAGATAAAAAGAAATGTTGGTGCTGATGTGAGTTGGATGCTCTGACCAAAACTAATTGGCTTATTTTCTACAAATTTAGTGAGCTGGACAAATTCCACTTCTTGTTCCTTGACATGATGTACTAAGTACTGACATTTGGGATTAAAGGTTTTGCAAGTAACCATGGTATCTCTGGGGAGCAGAGTAAATGTGGAGGCTTAGTGCTTTGAGTGAGAGTAATTATGATGCAGTTATGTGAAGATGGTATGTTGGGCTTTGATGAAAAATGACATCAAATAAATCTGAGTTTTCTTCACCTGTATCTTTCTTGTGAGTACTCGGATGCTAGGTAACATTAGCGCTATTCTGACAATAACAAGTTTTGGAGGGATTGGTGGTGGTTTGGGGGGGGGGGGGGAGGAAATAGAAAAACCAAAATCTCCCTCAAGCCTTTGCTGTCAGTACAGAACGTGGCGTGAACAGACTTTGGCTTAAAGTGTGGCGATAGGCTTCCTTCTGCAAGCCTCAGCCCACAAAATAGAAGGGTTATTCATGAGCTATTCTCCATACAATCTGGCAGCCAATTGCACACGGCCGTGTCCCACAAACAGTCGTGAATTGAATGCCCACTTTTTTTGAGGGATTATTACCTCCGGAAAGCCGATCGATTAACCACGGGGTTCCTCCTTACTGCTGAGTAAACAGAGGCTTGTGGAGTAAAGGAAACTTAAGGTTTAAAAAGTCTTGAATTCAGGTGTGAGCAAAAATTGAAACAGCAGCGATTTCCCTTCCTGGTTTGAAACCAACCAGCCTCGCGTTTATATATATATACACACACATACACACGAGTTAGAGGTTAAATAAGCACTTCCCTTCCTCCCATTTACAACCCGTAAACCAACCACCACAGTGTAGGTCCCCATCAATAGGCTCGAGCCTGAACATAATGATTGTGCCTTGAAAGGCGATTAGTTAACGCTGAGCGGCCAATAATGTGAGGCACACTCACATGATGTTCTTTCTCTAAGCTTTTTTTTAAAAAATATATAAATATCATGCAACGATCCCTCCTATTTCTTCCCACCTCCCCCCCCCCCACACTCCTTCAAACCCCCCTATATTCCCCCAGTGGCATACACCGATCTTTTCTCTCTGCCTTACATCCACCCCGTGTGTGTGTGTCTGTTGTTGCAGAAGAACACAATCGAGAGAAAACGCGTCGCTCGACACACACCAACTCACCTTCCTTCCCTGAACTCATTTGAACAGTTGCAGCCATCGCCGCCTCCCCGTTCATACTGTTCCACAGTCGGCTCTGGGTAAGTCACCTCCTCCTCCTCTCGTCCACTCGCTGATTTTTTTATTTATATATATTAAAACAGAAAAAAATCAATTTCAAAGGAAAAAAAATACACCAATGGATGTGCTGAACACCAAAAGCAAATTACAAGAAAGAGGGAAAGACATTTAAAACATATATATATATATATTCAGGGCTATAAGCAAAAGACCTCTTGTTTTGTGCGTTGTGTGGGGGTTGTAAATGCATGGACTGTGTGTGTGTTCCCAGCTCGAGTCTACAGCACAGACGGGGGCTCCTATTCCGATCCCCTTCCCCCCCAAAAACACCTGAGTCTTCCCCCCTCTCCAGCCCCGCGTCGCCAGCAAAGCCCGAGCCACAGCCGCCTGCAATGCCCTGAGCTGCCGCAAGCGATCGCCTGAGCAACACTCCCCCACCTCCACCTTCTCCTCCCAGAGAAAAAAAACAGACGCACCAGTGCTCACCATCCCACTGCCCGTCTGTCTGTCTGTCCGCCATCCCTCCCTGACCGCCTGCAGGGGCTCGGCTCAGCTCTCTCCCCCCGAGCTCAAGGTCAGACCAGTTTGAGAGGCAGTTCTGGGGTCTTAAACAGCGCTGTGCAGAGCAAAGCAGCAAAAGGCGTCTGTGTGTGTGTGTGTGTGTGTGCGACATGTGTGTGGGCTCCACAGCTCCACAGCTCTACGCCACTGCAGTTGGGAGCAGCAAAAAAGGGTCTTTTTTTAACGATGTATTTTTTTACCCCCCACCCCCAGTATGACTAACTGAGCAAATTATACCCCCCCCCACCCCCTCACTCTGTGTACACACACACACACACACACACGCGCTTGGCTCAGCTCGACCCCCACCGGCGCGTGGCTGCAGTGTGGCCCAGACATGGCGCCTGGGTTCCGGCTGCTTCCCCACATGCAACAACGTGGGCTTCCAGCCCAGAACCATGTTTGTTTCCAGCGCTTCTCCCCCCCCCTCCCCTCCCCTCCCCACACACTGCACACAGCTCGGGCACGGCTGCCACAAGCACTTATACATAATACACAATCAAACATCATCGCGAATTACATCATTTTAAATACATAAACACTAAATATATTCCAAATTATTAAAAACCTTTGCGTTGGAAAAGCTGCAAAACAAATCAACACATTTTCGGTTTTTTTTTAAAAAATAATATTTTTTTTTGCAATTGACAAGAGAAAGCGAGGAGTGGGGGTGTAAAAAATACACGGATTCCCCCCCCCCGACGGTGTGTAGGAGAGGGAGGGGAGGGGGGGGGTGTAGGTGGCGATTCGAGCCGACCCTGAAGCGCCTGAAAGGCAGATTTGAGCTGACGGTGGATGGAGGAAGTCGCCGCCATGAGACAGAGAGAGAGAGAGAGAGAGAGACCCAGAGCCGCAGCTGCAATCGCAATCCAACACCAAAAACCCCACCCCCGACGTTAAAGCTTCGTCCCCCCCATCTCCTTCCTTTACAACAATTAAATACATTTGTTTGGGTTTTAATTAAAACAAAAACAACAACAACAAAAGATCCGACTGCAACTCACCCGAGAAGAGCCAAGGCTTCGGTCTCTCTCCGGGTGTCGCCGGGATGGACCCGGGAGGCTGTGCTGTGCTGTGCTGTGCTGTGCAGTGCTGAGGGCGAGGCGAAGCCAAGCGAAAACCAGACCGACCGACCCACCAGCACTTCAGTGGGGGAGGAAGAGAGCCGCACAGAGGGGGGAGAGGGAGAGGAGAAGAGGGCAGTCAGACAGAGACAGAGAGAGAGAGGAGAGAGAACGAGCGAAAAGGGAGAGGTGGATAGAGGGAGAGAGAGGGGGAAAAGGGAGAGATCAGAGACGCACTGTTGGGGAGTCTCTGTCTCTCTCTCTCTCTCTGTTCCTCCAACCGAGAGATCCACAAAGCGACAACTCGCTGCTGAAGCGAGTTCTTCACAGACACACGCACACACACAGCAAAAAATCCGCATTAAATTGAACCGATTTCTCTCTGTTTTTATCTTATTCTATTATTGTTGTGTTTATATATATATATACAATTTATAAAAAAAACAAATACGCTACAAAAATTGCACGCGCACACAGTAGTATATAACCCGAGGCCGGGTCTTGCCTGTATAGTTTTTTTCTGCTGCTGATCGCACAGCCGACAAAATGGGAGCCGGAGAAGGAGAGAGAGAGAGAGACCACATACACTGCACTACACTCACAGACAAAAGGGCCGATCCCACAGACAGACACTCACTCCGAGACTCCGGGGCTCCGGGAGCGGCGCGGAGCAGCCGAACCAACCAGCTTCGTGCTGCCAGCGAGAGGCGGCTCCACACACACTGTACACAGCACCGCACTGCACTGCACTGCCCGGCACTGCCCGATCATCGCCTCCCTCCCTCCCTCCCTCCCTCCCCTTCTCCTCTGCCCCTCTCTCTCCCTCTCTCTTCCCCCCCATCTCGCCACAACGCGCTACGGTTTCCTTCCCGGTTCCCGGTGCAGCATGTCTCCCCCCCCCCCACCCCCCCACCCATGTCTCCCCCCGATTATTTTCTACATCTTCTCGTGGGTTTTTTCCCCCCAAATATAAATGGATGTAGAAACGTGGCGTGTGCGCACCTCTCCAAACCCTCTCCATAACCGCGCTGTACCCCCCCCCCACCCCCCACACCCCGGTCCCGGTCGCAATGTTCTCCCCTCTTTGATTCCTCAATTATTTAAAATATGTATTTTTTTTGGTTTGTGCATTTTATTGTATATATATATATTTTTCCAAACCATATAGGATTATAAAACCGTGGAGTGTGAGCAGAAGGGAGGGAAGGGGGTGTGCAGTGTGTGGAGGGAGGGAGGGAGGAAGGAGGGAGAGGACACCTTACCTTCTCTCCAGTGCTTTGCGAGCGAAGCTCGGGGCTGAGTCCCCGCCAGGTCCTGGGTTCCTGGCCCCGGGCGTGGACGCCTTCTTGAGAGCCGCCATTGCTTCTCGATACTTCCTACCTCTCCATCCCTGTTTTTTTTCTGGATCAGCCCCATCCATCCATCCATCCGCCCACCCGCCTCTCTCTCTCCCTCTCTCTCTCCCTCTCTCGTACAAGGCGCCCCAAAGCCCTGCAGGATTCCCCGGGCAGAGAGGCGGGGAGTCAGCGAGAGAGGGACAGGGAAAGAGGAGTGAATGTAAACTAACAGAGAAAGGAAGGAGAGAGAGAGAGAGAGGGAAGGGGGGAAAAAACTGCCATAAAATATCTTAAGCAGGAAATGCACCAAAAATAAAACTTTTTTTCTCTCTCTCTCTCCGCTTGAGGTCTCTCTCTCTGTCGCAGAAGCAAAGCGAGAAAAAGAGGAACACAGAGCAACAGCAGCAGAGTTTGGGCTCAGGAGAGAAACACAGAGAGGGGGAGAGGGAGAGGGAGAGGAAAAAACAGCTACAAAATATCCAAGCAGGAAATGCACATATACAATCACAAAAATAAGCGTTGAAAATCTTTTCTCTCTCTCTGATAGAGAGAGGGAGAGAATGGGAAAGGAAAATAAATTGTAAGGTACGAAATATCTTAAGCAGAAAATACACAGAAAAAAATAAATGTGAACGTTGAAAAGCTTTTCTCTGTCTCTCTGTGTCGCTCTGGTGGAAAGAGAGCGGAATGAGAGAGAGAGAAGGAGAAAGAGAAAGAAGGGGGAAAAAAGCAGCAACAAAATATCCAAGCAGGAAATGCACAAAAAAATAAAAAGTTGAGAAGGTTTTTTTCTCTCTCTGTCTCTCTCTCTCTCTCTGTGTCGCTTACTGGAGGGGAAAGTTGCAATCAGCTCTGCTGGTAAAGAGGAGCAAAGAGATCTCATTGCCCTACAGTTTGACTGGGAGCTAAACTCGATGGCTGCTCTACTCTCTCCCTCTCTCTCTCGTTCCATTTGCAGCAATGAGCGAAGCAGTCGCTTCTTGATTTGGTTGGGCCTCGCTTACATTTTTATTTAATCTTTATACTCTCTCTCTCCTCCCAACTCAACTCCACCTTTGTTGTTTCCACACGTCATCCGCCACCAACCCCCAACCAACCCACATTGCAATTGCCTGCAATAAATTCATGGTAAATCTACAGTTACACGCGGGAAGCTTCAAATATATATATATATATACATTCACTGCATATATACATATATATATACATATATATATATATATATAAGTCCCCTCTCTTAGGCTGTCTGTCAGGGGCAAAACTAACTGGGGGTAGTTTTCTGCAGGATTTATGGCTGCTCTTACTTCATTTTGGCTTATACCCACTGGAGGCAATGGGGGAAACAATTCTTTCTTTCTGGGGCTTCAGAGTACCCACCACCCACCCCCGGACAGTCACTGGGGCTGTCTTTAACTAAAGAGGCTAAAATAATTCATCCTCTATCACACACACACACACACGGGGCCGCCTCTACGGAGCAATGGGATGTGAGGGGTCGATGTATTTGGGTACTTTTCCTCGGGATCACTAGGATTCGGACATTGAGAAGGGCAATTAAGTACTATTTTGGACGAGGTTTGCTGCAGCCGCACAGTGTACTGTGGTGAAGCAGCATTCTGTGCTGTGTGGGGAGTGAGGCTCACTCTGTCCCTGTTGGTCGGGGTTTAATCTGTGGGTCAGACCGAGTCCGTGTCGCTGTCGCTTGAATTTCTGCGGAGGTCGGACTCAGCGACTCGCGATCCACCCGCTGACTCGCTGATATTTTGTTCTTTTTTTTGTCGCTGCAAAAAAACAACAAATAAACACTTTGAGAATAACAAGTCGATCTGTACCCAATACAGAGCGGAAATCACACCGTGTGCATCAGGGGCACGAAATGACGCATTGGAAACACTAACCTACAGTCAGGAGGAGCTCTGTCGCTCTGTGTCTGTCTGTCACTGACTGCGCTGTTATTGGGAGGATTTTAATGTAATGTAACTGCTCCACAGCTCACCCACACGTACTCAATACATTATTCCAATTAATGGTACATTAATGCATTAATGATACATTAATGAATCGATTGGCAGATCGCTTTCCGGGGGTAATAATCCCTTCCAAAATATATATAGTAATAATAATTTGTTCACTCAATCCACGACTGTTTGTGGGACACTGCTATGGGCAATTGGCTGATAGACTAATTTATCAGGTGTATGTATATTTCACCCCCACGAATAAACTGGGATAATGGTTTCACAGGTGGAAAAAGATTTTTTTATGTAGAGTAAATATAATGTTGTCCTTAATAAATCATCTCCACCTTAACAGTATTGTGCTGCCGCAACTTGATTTGATGCCCAAAGTAGATGAGGCTTATAAATAGAATATATAGGTTATAAATTTAATACCACTTTAATTTGAGGAGTGAAACAAATCCATTTACTGCTGTGTATACTGTTTTTCTAGTGTGCTCAATTGGCTATTGCATTTCGCCCACAAAGTATATTCTGTGAAGCGCTTTGTGACGTCTCAACAATGTGATAAGGTGCTACATCAAATGCAAGATTATTATTATTTACGGTGTCATTTAAAAAGGCGTGTTTTTTAATTAAAAAGGAAAAAAATCCTTTTCATTTAATAAATAGGTTGAAAAAAGTGTTGCAACCTGAGCTGTGGTTTCTCATAGTTTGAGCATTTGGTCACTTCAGTCAAAAGAAGAACAATTTAGGGAGGTTATTCTAATATAGGTATGTCCTGGAGGACATCAAGACCGAGAGAAAAAAAGTCTCTCGGTTTCAAAACTCTCTCTCGTAGCTGTAACCACTTGGTTATATTACTCCATGTTGTAGTCCAACAGCCATCTCACCGTATCTCACCCTCTGCACAAATCTGAATTGCTACAAAATGGTGAACATACCAACATCGCCATCGTGTGGTTGGTGCTCTCAACCGCAGCTCAGTGTCTACCAGTTTGGGAAGATTGGCAGCTCCCTCTTCATCTTCCAACCGGTTCTCAAACGGATGACGCTCTTAAAAGGTCATCACACCCTCTGTATCTGTCTCTGAATCATTGCTTGCAACGTACGAAATGGACGAGGAAAGAAAGAAAGTTAGGACTGAAATTAGTGACAGCTCCTCTCAGTAGGTAAGACTTCGAAGGTATCTTCCACAGCGCATTAGCATGGAAAGTGATATGTGAGCAGCAAGTGTATGTGTTTGTTTTGTCACTAGAATAGCTCTATTTGCCTCTCCTTCAAACAATAGCATTTATGGTGATTTAAAGAGCAAATTAGTCACAGTAAATTGGCTCCAACCTCCAGAACTCTCAAAGTCTCCAACCTGCCCATAATAATATTAACAATAATAATCCTTGCATTTGATATAGCGCCTGATCATGTCTGTGAGACGTCTCAAGGTGCTTCACAGGATATACTGTAAAGTGAATTGACTATATTTTTTAAACAAAACGCCAGTGTCCCACAAACAGTCATGTATTGAGTGACCAAATTATTCAAAATAATTTTTTAAAAGGGATTATTACCCCCGGGGAAGCTATCAACCAATTGACTCACAGGTAGGTTCCTACTTACTGTTTGGTAAACTGAGGCGTATGGAGTAAGGAAACTTGCCTAAAGTTTCACCCTGCCTGGAAATCAAACCCGAATTCTCTCGCTTGTGAGGCAAGTGTTCTAACCATTGAGCTACAGGACTCCACACAACCCTTGTACTATCTGCACCCTTAGGTCTAGTACTATTGGATTATCCCAATGGAGCTGACGGAGCAGGGTTAGGCCTGATTTCCTGACCAATGGGTCATTTTTCTGTCAATTTACCATCAAGCATTTCAATGATGGTCAAGGCAACGGGTAGTATGTGAGTGCAAATGAGTCTGTTTTGCAAATTCCAATATAGGCTTAATCCATTGGATAATAATTTGTGAGTGGACAAAATCCACTAATTTAACAAATTACTAAGGAAATGGGTCTAGTGCCTTTCACGTCGGCAAAATAAATCAAAGCACTTCAGTTGATATAGTGTGATTGTATTTTGTAGGTGAACGCATTGGAAATCAGATGGTGCTGAGTGTCAAAAACGTACAACAATAATTTATATGACGTCACGTGGAGCATCTTGGAGTGCTTAACAGTGGTGTAGTTTGACACTGAGCCAGTGAGGAAAGGTAAAGAGGGGAGCGAGGCAGGGGGATTAAAGCAAGGATATAGCAGCCAAATGATTGTTCGAAGACGCTTTTATTAAAAAGATTCAATCTAATCTAAAACAAAATCACAAAGTATCAGGAAATGACCAATTTACCAATATAAATGTCTGCCTCCGTTCCTTTAAGCTGACTCTTCCCTCATGCATGCACCAGCGTTTGCAGGGCGTGTAAGACTACATTTTTACAAAAATACATCAAATCCCTTTCAGCAGATAGGTAGGTAGTCAGTTTGCCACATTCCTAACGCTTCACCACAATTATATTTAGCGATCTTCTACAGATTAAGCAAACTTTATTCAAACGGCTCACAATCAGTAAATGAGTTACAATTTATCAACATGAAAATATGTGGCATGTGATAACACACTTGATGTGCTAATTATCACATTGAATCTGTTATAAAACGTTGCATTGTCCCACACCGTTTATCCAAAGACCAGGGCTTCAAAGGAAAGTCCTTTCTGATGTCTTTAAAAAATCAGCTAAGAGCAATTTTGTTGCTAGCAAATTTTGCAAAGCAAATCAAAGTCTTACAGGACTCGATCAGTATGAAGTCTACGGACACATAGAAAATGCCTCTAACCCACAGAGAATTGGAGAGATACACAAATGAAATCGTGCAGTGTTTATCAGTGTGCACGTATGCAATGGCAATAGTCAAAGAAAATGAATAACGTAAAAGAAATGTTTCAAGGTATAAAACTTGCCGTAGAAAAGGATCAATCGATAAAAATCAATAACTGACAATTGGATTACAAAGTAAGAAAATATAACAGGCTAACTGGATCTCAATCAAAGCAACTAGCCTATAAAATTCATTTGATTAAAATATATATTTTTTTTAAAAAACAGCTTTTGTTTTTTATTGCAACCACCTGTTAAACATTCAATGTCTTATTGAGCTGAGGGGAAAGTTTATGAAGCCGGGATAGCAATTTGCACGTGTTGGAAATGAATAAAACTATACAATCCAAATTCCTTTAGGACTAAAGCACCAGATTGGTCTATGCCTATACTACCCAGGAGGGAGAGAGAGAAGAAAAAAAGGTAAACCCAAGAGATTCTTAAAGGGTTTGTCAACATAACTTGACCATTCCATACCCGAAGGTTCACATGACCCTTGGTCCTATTCTGAAGCCAAGTCTGTCAACTAACAATCAACGCAATGAAGTGATTTCACCACGGCCATTTGTAAAATCTTCATGCCAGAGTTCAGTTAAAAAAAACAATGAATCCACAAACCTGAGGCCTGAACAAGATAGAGAAAGTAGTTTTGCAATCTTCTGAAGTTCAATTCGAAAACTCAGCAGGATTTACATCTGTGGACTGTGACCCGATGTGCTTTGTTTTGAGTAAGAAAATGCCTAACAACACAACAGTAGGGCTTTGTTTATCACGCAGTGGTTGTGTGTGTGTGGGTGGATGTGTGTGTGTGGGGGGGTATGGGTGTGGGGGTCGTGATAAGGCGCTTTATCAAATGTAAGCATTATTATCATTATTATTGACACCTGAGATATTTTAGGTAAAATACATGATATTGCATCTCCTGAAAAGGAGGTCTCCACATTAGGATTAAGGGTAACCATCGAATTTATGAATTGAGTCATCAAGTACACAATGGGATATTTTTCTACTTACAACTCCCTGCCTCTGCTGTCCTTTAACATTTGTGCACCTCTAAAGCTTGACTAGAGAGGCTAAGCAGCAAAGCAATGATTGAATGATTATATAAAGCGATTTAGGGAGCTACTCATCTCCCCTTTAACTATTGTGCAGGTTTCCGTTCCACTATTAAACAGGAGAAATAAGTTGCAAACAGGGGTGCTGTGCTCTTCATGGGCCTGAGGTCCTTAGTTGGGCATTATAGTCTCATCATAAATATCCTGTCCTTCCTTCTCATCAAAGTTGGGTTCAACTTCATCGCTATCCAGCTGCAACAAAAAAAATCAATTAGTCACCAGTTTGCTGAGTATACTAACAATAATCCTTATCATGTCTCTGAGACATCTCAAAACGCTTCACAGAATACACTGTCAAGTGAATTGTCTGTATATTTTGTGGGTGAAATGTGACAGCCAATTGCACACAGCAGTGTCCCACAAACAGTCGTGGATCGAGTGACCAATTTATCATTTTTTTTGAAGGAATTATTACTCCCACGAAAGCGATCTGCCAATCGACTTAAGAACCGGATTCCTACTTGCTGCTAAACAGAGGCGTGTGGAGTAAGGAAACTTGCCCAACGTTTTGCCCTGCTGGGATTTGAACCTGTGTCTCTTGCTTGCAAGGCGAGTGCTCTAACCACTGAGCTACAGGAGTATGTGAAGATTACACATCCAGCCATCCGATTGAAAGACTAAACATTCTCTTGTTTCCTTTTAATAGGTTGAAGGGACTCTCTCCCTATGACCTGACTGACAATCGCCCACTTAAAATTGATCATGGCTGTTCACTTTGTGGCTGTTTGTAGGACATCACTGTGCGCAAATTGGCTGCTGGGTTTGCCCACAAAACACACATTCACCGCACTTTACAGTAAATCCTGTGGGATGTCCTCCCAAATGGAAGGCATGGTAGGCCTATACCAAATGCAAGGATTATTATTATTATTTCTGTCTTGCAGTGTCCAAAATACATTTGTTTGATACTAATGGAAGAAGACCTCAGATAGTAGCAACACTAGGTTACAGCAAGTTGATGGGAAAAGGATTTTGTTGACAATTCCAAGAGAGTTTCTGACCATGAAGGAAGGCAAGGGAGGGGGGGGTGAGGTGAGGGGACTCTGGGTTGGAGTTTTAGAGGGTGGAGGCAGAAAGGCTGAAGGCCCACTTGGCAATGGTGGAGGGACATGGAGTATGCCAGAATCCGTCGAGCGGAGGGAGTGGACAGGTCAGTATGTATGGAGTTAGCAGGTCACAGAGGTAGTGAGGAGTAAGATAAATAATAATAATAATCTTTGCATTTGATATAGTGCCTTATCACGTCTTTGAGGTGTCGCCAGACTACGGCACTACCTCACCCCTCATGCTGCTGAAACTCTGGTCCATGCCTTTATCACCTCAAGGCTGGACTATGTGAACTCTCTCCTCGCCGGCCTTCCCGGCCATCCCTCCACACTGCAGGTCATTCAGAACTCTGCAGCTCATGTACTGTCCCGCACCAGGCTTCGGGACCACATCACTCCCACCCTCGCTCGCCTCCACTGGCTCCCCATCCCCCAGAGGATCGAATTCAAGATCCTCATCCTCACCTGCAAGGCCATTCACGGCCTTGCTCCCTCCTACCTCTCTGACCTACTATCCCCCTACTTACCTGCCCGTAGCCTCCGTTCCTCTGGCTCCGGTCTGCTCCACATCCCCCGCCCCAACCGCCCTACCATCGGTGGATGGGCCTTCAGCCTCTCAGCCCCTAGGCTCTGGAACTCTATCCCCCAGTGCCTTAGCCGCCTCCTCCCTTTCCTCCTTCAAGGCCGGTCTCAAGACCTTTCTCTTTGACCGTGCCTTCAGCTCCCCTCTCGACTCTCTACCCCCTCCTCGCTCCTTCCCTTCCCTCTCCTTACCCTGACCATTTCCCCCTTGCTCGGGTCCTGACCCAACTGTACAGCGCTTTGGGACGTCCTCCCGACGTGAAAGGCGCTCAATAAATGGAATTTTGTTGTTGTTGTTGTTGTTGTCTCAAATATACCTTAACGTGAATTGACTGTAAATTTTACGTATATGCAAGGTGCACGGATCAGCTCACTCAGCACAGATCAATTCTAAGTGGCTTAGAATCGGAGTTACTTACACTGTTAAGTTCTATAGGAGTGAAGATCTTGTTGAGCACAAAGTATCTGATGGGTACGGTCATGATGAGCACGAAGGGGAAGGCCAAGGAAGCTTTGGTCAAGTTCACTGCCCACAGGATCGCGAGGAAGATAATTTGAATAAAAGTGAAGACATGCATACGCCAAGTCTTGACCTAGAAAGAAACACAAGCAACAAGAGGAGAGTGTTGAGATGTGCCTTGAAGGAGGCAAGGGAGAGAGCGAGGTGAAGGGAATGTGGGATGAAAGTTCCAAAGGGTGGGGGCAGAAAGGCTGAAAGACTGACAGCTGATGGGGGACGTGGACAGGAGCGGAGGGAGTGGACAGATTCAAAGCACTTCACTGCAAAGTGAATTTGTGAAAATCAAGTTTTGCCAGGAGGAAGCATGAAATGCTTTTTGAGAACATGAGTGTTCAATGTGGCATTGGTAGTCTCGTCAATTGTTCCAAGCGTTTCAAAGCAGCTACCCACCTTGCGAATATAGGCACAGTCAGGGTGGTACTTGGGCGGAACTAACAAAAGGAGTATGCGATCAAACAGCTGGATTCCGTTCAGAGATGTCACTCCCATGTACAGGAAGATTCCAAAGAGTACAGCAAGTGGAATTTTACTCAGAATTGGTCCGATCACAATAGAGAGGCCTGAAAGGGAATCCATTTAACACAGTGAAAGGACGGTACATGGAAAATCCACTTGTAAAGTCAACACAAAGATTAAGCTCTCCTGGACGCTACCCTGCGTGAAGGGCGCTATATAAATGCAAGTTGTTGTTGTGCATGAATGAGCCAGCATACTCTCATATCATCATTGTATTCCCCAATCCCAAGGTTATTTTCGTGGGGCTGTGCATGAATTGGCTGCTGCTGTTATCCGCAAGATACAGTCACTACCCTTTGTAGCATAACCTGTGAAGCGCTTTCAGACTTGAAAAGCTCTATATTAATTGCAAGGCGAATTTGTTGATGATTCATCCATTATTTCATGCCGCGTTCCACCCACAAAATATACAGTCAATTCACTTTACAGTATATTCTGTGAAGCGCTTTGAGACGTCTCAACGATGTGATAAGACGCTACATCAAATGCAAGGATCAATATTATTATAACCTAATTCAACAACTTGCATCTACATAGTATCTCAGAGCACTTGACAGTGGCACAGCCCGACAGTGAGCCAGGGGGTGAGGGGAGTGTGGGGTGACTATAAGCACGGTCGAAGAGGAAGGTCCTCAGGTGCGACCTGAAGATGGGGAAGGAGGCAGCAAGTCGGAGGGATTGAGGGAGAGTGTCCAAATGACCATCCATCCTGTGTGTCCGTATCTACATCTCACCAGTTCTGGTCAGGCTCCACTGGCTCCCCATCACCGAACGGATCGACTTCAAGATCCTCACTCTCGTGTTCAAATTTCTTCACTCTCTGGCACCTCCCTACCTCTCCAATCTCCTCAGTCCCCAATCCACCACCCGGTGCCTCTGCTTGACTGGCACCGGCCTCCTGCTCGTCCCTCACATCCTTCGCCCCACCATCAGCGGTCGGGCTTTCAGTCACTACGCCCCAAAACTCTAGAACACTTTCCCTCAATCCCTCTGCTTTGCCCCCCCTCTCCCCTCTTTTAGGTCCCATCTGAAAACTTTCCTGTTCGACCATGCTTACAGCCACCTCCCCCCTCCTCCTGGCTCGGAGTCAGGTCCGCCTCTGTTAAGCGCTCTGAGACGCCACCCTGCGAGAAGGGCGCTATATAAGTGCAAGTTGTTGTTGTGAGATCTACATTTAATTGTCAAATTAAGTCAGTCTTCACTCACCTACAAGAATGGCAACCAATATTCCAGTTACTCTCTGTTCCTTCACCTCTTGAATCTGAGGCTTCTCCCCCGGTGCTACGGACTTGCTCATCACGGTCAAGGCATTGCAGTGGGTGATGGATCTAACAGTGGTGGCGCTGAGCCAAGGCAATCCGAACATGGCACTGATTCCACCCATGCACACAATCAGCAACAGGTCCACGTGGAACCCAGAACCTTTCACCATCTTCCTCTCTGGTTTACTGACAATGAGCCTGAAACAAAACACAGTCACTACACTTTACAGGATATCCTGTGAAGCGCTTTGAGATGTCACAAAGACGTGATAAGGCGCTATATCAAATGCAAGTATTATTTTACAGTCACCTCCTTAAGGGGAGCTGGGAGAGGAAAGCACCTGAAGAGGACTACAGCCAGTCCTCTGAACACAGGGCACCCACAGATCCCGCCCCCGCCCCTCTCCCAACTCGTCATCAGGGCCCGCCCATTTCTGGTCACGTCAGCTGATTGTCTGCCTCTGATTGACAGATGGACCTGTCAATCAAGCCAATTACCTGTCTTAAATGGGACCAACCCTTCAACTGAGCTTTACTCAGCCCCTTTCCACCACCCCCCCAAACCCCCACCCCCACCCCAGGATCCCCCAACAATAACAATAACTTGCATCTATATAGTGCCCCTCACGCAGGGTAGCGTCTCGGAGCGAGTAACAATGCTAGAGCCTAACGCCGAGCCGGGGGTGGGTGGGGGGAGAGGGGAGATGACTGTAGGTACGGTCAAAGGGGAAGGTCTTCAGTTCAGGATCAAAGCCTATAGTTCTGATTGTTTCATCCCCTTTCATAAATGCTTACGTTGTGATTTGAGACTCCATGAAAATGAGGATGAAAATCAGGATGGCTGGAACAACGGAGGCAGGCATCATCCAGTAGGGGAACTTCTCATGAATTGGAAAGATAAACCACTCTCTCTTACTAGGTTCGGTGAGTGCAAGGCCATTTGGCACACTGAGTTTCTGCAACAAAATCACAAGTTCAGCTAAACCAATGCTATTCTAAAGGGTGCGTATTAAAGATACATGACTGTAAACACTCAGTCAGCTCATTATAATAATCCTCTCATTTGATATAGTGCCTTATCATGCCTTCGGGACATTGCAAAGCGCTTCACAGAATATACTGTGAAGTGAATTGACCGTTTATTTTACGTGAAACACCATCCCTAAATCCAATTATGGGACACTGCTGTGTGCAATTGGCTGCTGCGTTTCGCCAATAAAATATACAGTTCAATCCAATTAACAGTGTATTTTGTGAAGCGCTTTGAGACATCTTGAAGACATGATAAGGCACTATATCAAATGCAAGGATTATTATTAATATTATTGTTATAACCTTCCAGTAACTCCGCTGACCTGTGTGTAGGTATCTGTGATGGAGATATCGACCAGCACCATGATGAGGATGGAAATGGGAACACCAAAATCCCCAATTACACGCCGGATCTGGAGGAGAAAAAGAGAAAAAGTGTAAATAAAATTCTGCCAGCACTTGAGACTCCATTAACAGTCTAAATAGGAATACAGCATTTGAAAGTGAGCAATGACACAATTGAGTCAATACAATGCAATGCAAATCTACATTTATGTATACAGTATAGCGCCTTTCATGTCGGAGGGAAGATCACAAGTTAAAAATAAAAAGATGTGGGGAAAGGGTAGTGAGTAGACTAAATGGATAACTCTGTCAGGGACCAAATACAAGCACTATTCCTTCATATGTGTGCTGCACAATTCTATGATTCTAGGTGTCATTAGGGACATCAGTTTCAGATTGGTGGTTTCATCTGTAGTTTTGCAAAGTGACCATTTGATATGGAACAGGTTAGAACGGCTGAAAGGCCTCCAGCCTCCCCAGGTTTATGGAAAGTCAGGGGATGCTCTCTTCGGCACTCTACTGGTTGTTTGTGTGTGTTGTGTGTGTGTGTGTGCATGACAGCTGGATGAGAAGAGGTTAGGCTCAGCTGTGACACACTCTCCATCATCTGCCAACACTCAATGTCAAGGCTGACACAGGAACAATGGTCACTTGTTCAGGGTACTAGAACCAGCATTTGTGGGAACTGCATCCTAGCAAGAGGAAGCCAGACCAGGAGCAGAAGCATGTACCAGTGGAGAGAAAATTAGATTAATTAATTTTTGGTGAAGTGAGTTCACTTGCACTGCAACAAACACTTCTCGCCCATCCCCTCCACAACCACCAATATCAGCTTTACTTACAGTTCCTGGAAGGAATCGACTAACTTTCAACATCCTCAAGAAAATGGCCATAAAGAAGGTACCAGCCATCAGCAGTAAGGAGAGGAGGGCGGTGTTCGGCTGTGGCGCTGACCAATCTATGGTGCCATTGACAACTGTCAAGTTGTAACTCTCATTCAGCGGGTGTGCTTTAAAAATCTGTAGGACAGTAGCATTGGGTGAATAAAATCCTCCTCTTTGACTGTGCCTTCGGCCACCCTCATATCCTCCACCCTCCCCAATCCTGACCCCCAACTCCAGTCCAAATCCCTGACTGTCCAGAGCTTGTGACGTCCTCCCGACATGAAAGGAGCTGTGTGACTGTAATTTTGTATTGTATTTTGTAATTTTGTTTTGTAAAGCTTCCCCACTTCCCCATCCACAAAAAGTGCCTATGTGCTTGTAGCAGCTACCTCTTTAGCAATTGGGCATGGCTCCCATTCAATCAGTGGCAACCTGCAATTAAGTCCACCCCAATTTTCCTTCACTTTTTTCTATGTGTACATACATATATATATACAGGGTGAGCAAAAAGTCGTGATATCATTAAAATGTCTAATAAGTGTTAAAGAAATTATGTTTTTTTGTTTTTTTCCAGTAATTATTATTAAAAATGAATATTACGACATTTTGGTCACTCTGTATGTATATATGAGGTGCATCAAACACAATAGTTCCTTACAATATCTTGAAACATTCTGAGAGATAAACTAACCACTGTCTTCAAGCTATTTAGAGTACGTCGGCAGCAAATAAACATTTTATTGAAGAGCTTTCTAGTTATAATAATCCTTGCATTTGATATAGCAAGGATTATTATTATAACTAGATAGCGCCTTATCACGTCATTTTATTGGAAGGGATTCTTACCCCCGGAAAGTGATCCACCAAACGACGCACAACCGGGTAAACAGAGGCGTGTGGACTAAGGAAACCTGCCTAAGGTTTTGCCCTGCCCAGGAATTGAACCCAGGTCCTTTCGCTTGTGAGCCGAGTGCTCTAATCAATGTACTACAGGACTGTAGTGTAGTATTTAAAATCTACATTGTATTAAACATGTGAATAAGGAGAGGCTTTTGTTAAATGCTGTAAACCTTCACCACTTCTATGATCAGATTGTTCTTACTCCAGTTGAGGATTAGCTGCTATTTTTAAAGCTGAGTTTCCAGGTGTCCAGGCAACTCACAGATCACTCCTTTGACTCCTGACTCCTGGATCACACAATATAATGATCACAAGAGGATAATTGGAGCATTTGTGATAAGTGTGTTCAGTCTGTTTATGTTTCTTTGCACATTCACTCTCTGTTACAGTCTGTTTCACACTCACTCTCGGTTATTGTCCTGCACACACTCACTCACTGTCAGTGTTCCTCATACACCCACTCCCTGTTTGCATCCCTCACACACTCGCTTTCTCAGAATCACAATCTTAGATCCCTCTCACCCGGTTACTGTTCGTGCCTACGCACCTTTACCAGTTTGGCGAAGGTTTCGAAGATGAAAATCAAGGAGATCAAGAAGGAGAAGATTTCCTGGGTGAATCGGGAAATATAGCGGACCAAAAAGCTGCCCTCAAAGGCCACAAGAAGTATCACAATGATAATCATCCAGTAGCCAATCCAAACCCGGCCAACCAGGTAATTCAACTTGAAGCTCTGGCAGAACTGAAAGAGAACAGTGGTCAAGAGAAGATGTCGCATCAATACTTTGTGAGAAATAAAACAACAACTTGCATTTACATAGTGGCCTTGATCCAGGATAATATCTCGGAGCACTGCACAGTGGCTGGGTTGGATGCTGAGCAATGGAGAGAAAGCGGAGATTTCCACAGGCACCGTCGAAGAGGTAGGTATTAATGTGGGAATTATAGATATGGAGTGAAGTAGAGTAATTGAGGCAGCAAACTCATAGAATCATAGAATATTACAGCACAGAAGGAGGTCATTTGGCCCATCATTCCTGTGCTGGCTCTTTGGAAGAGCTACCCAATCATTTCTACTACCCCTCTTTTCCCATATCCTTGCAAGTTGTTTCCTCTTCAAGTATCTATCCAATTCCCTTTCGAAAGCTGTTATTAAATCTGTTTCCAGGCAATGCATTCCAGGCCGTAACAACTCTCTGTGTAAAAAAAATGTCTCCTTGTCTCCCCTCTGGTTCTTTTGCTAATTATCTTGAACTGGAGGTAATATTCTTGTTTGAAGTCTTGAAACTTACTTTGTAGTACGCTTCCTCAAACACTAACAGGGGACCGGAGAAACCCAGCACCAGCAGGGGCTGAGCACCGATCAGGCAGAATATAATGCACTGGATTGCGGTGGAAATAATCAGCTCAGAGACACCCATCAGACCTTCCGTCTTCTCACCTGGAAGTGAAATGACAATAATAATCCTTGCATTTGATATAGTGCCTCATCACTTCTTCGACACGTCTCAAAACTCTTAACAGAAAATACCGTAAAATGGAATTCACTGAATATTTTTGTGGGTGAAAGGCGGCAGCCAATTGCGCACGGCAGTGTCGTGGATCGAGTGACCAATTTATCATTATTTTTACTGAAGGAATTATTAGCCCTGGAAAGAGAACCGCCAACGACTGACAGCCGGGCTCCTACTTGCTGCTAGGTGAACAGAGGCGTGTGGAGTAGGGAAAGTTGCCTAAAGTTTCACCCCGCCTGGGAATCGAACCTGGGTCCTCTCGCTTGCTAAGCGAGTGCTCTAACCACTGAGCTACAATACCCCACAGTACCAAGTGGGTACCAAATATTATTAATGGGATAACCGTGGGGTGAAAGTTCAAAGCGTGATCATCACAAAGGCAAATTTCACTCGTGTTTCAGATTCTCTTCATAATAATAATAATAATACTGGCATTTGGTGTAGCGTCTTATCATGTCTTTGAGACGTCTCAAAGCACTTCACAGAATTATACTGTAAAGTGTAATGACTGTGTATTTTGTGGGCAAAACATACTGAGGAGGCCTCCAAATGTGATGGCCGGAGACAAGGCAGCAAAGTAAATGAAGATGACAGCTGCCAGGCACTGTGCATTTAGGGCATCAGTGATATCGCTCAGGTATTTGGGGTAGCGACGCTTTATATCCCGAACGAGGCCCCCAAACGGCTTCCTTGTCCTCCGCAGAGGGTCATCATCTTCTGGCAGCTTTGCTTTATTTTCGCCTGAAATGACAGCCAGACACAGTGATATTTAGTTGCAGAACAACAACAATGACGACAACAGCAACTTGCATTTATATAGTGCCCTTTAGACCCTCTCTCTCCATAGATGCTGCCTGACCTGCCGAGTGTTCCCAGCAACTTCCCACAACCCCATGTAAAGGGCGCTGCATAAATGCAAGTTGTTGTTGTTGACTGCGGTGGCCATTTTCTTGACGTGTTTCTGTCAGGGTTGTGCTCTTTGGATATCTCAGATAAACATCTGCAGTGCATCTTCCCTCATCACCCCTCCCCCCACTCTTCCCCCTCCCCACCCCGCTGCGGCCTCCAACTAAGGTGCTCAGCCAACAATGAATACCAAGCGCTTTGAGACATCCTCCTGCTGTGAGAGCGTTGTGTAAATTGAATTACATCTCAAGACTGCTGTTTGTTCCTTCACTGTGTGGATAATAATAAGAAGAATAAAAATATTATTATTATCTCTCACCTGACTCCTGGAGTTTGCCTTCTCTAGCCAATTGGTCCTCGCGCTGCCCCAATCTCTTCTTCAGCATCTCATGCTGAAAAGGAATGATCGATCTCAGTAGCTCCTTGCCTTGGATTTCCAAGGGAGGAATGACAATGCTGCAGTCCAGGAACCCGTTGATTCCATTAAGCAAGTCATCGCGGCTTTGACTCTCATAGGCCACTCTGTTGAATTCCTGGGGAAACATTGATCCATAGAATCATAGAATCGTGTGGGCTGCTGCGTTTCACCCACAAAATATGCTATCAATTCCCTTTACAGTATATTCTGTGAAGCGTTTTGAGACGTCTTGAAGATGTGATAAGGTGCTACATCAAATGCAAGGATTATTATTATTATTATTGAACCTAGTTTCTAGCAAACCATGCGGGAGGGGTATAATATAATAATATAATAGTACAACTACTAATAATAATCCTTGTATTTTATACAACAATAACTTGAAATTATATAGCGCCCTCCACGCTGGTCAGCATCTCAGAGCACTTCATCACAGCGCCTTATCACAGATTTGAGATGTCTCAAAGCACTTCACAGAATATACTGTAAAGTGAATTGACTATATTTTTCGTGTGAAACACAGCAACCAATTGCGCCCAGCAGTGTCCCACAAACAGTCGTGCATTGAGTGACCAAATTATTTTTTAAAAACATTTTTTTTGAAGGGGTTTAGAAGTAAAATGGGGATGCAATTTTTCACGCAGCGGGTGGTGGTGAGAGTGTGGAATTCATTGCCCCAGAGGGCGGTCTAAGCAGAGTCAGCTGAAGAATTTGAAAGGCAAATAGATAAATGCTTGATAGACAGGGGTATCAAGGAATATAAAGAGAGGAGAGGTGCGGGGAGGTGGAATTGAGTTGCGTATTGGTCACAATCTTCGAAAGTGTTGGTTGGGACGGCACAATGGGCCAAATGGTCTATTCCTGTTCCTATGTTATCTGGTCCCAACGGAAACTCCCTTATAATAAGTAAAGGAATTCAATTCTGATTAACAACAAGCCCTTTGCTGGTCTACATGACTTTGTAATAACAAGGCCAGCCTGAATGTGTTGAATGAGTCTCAAGATCAACATCTTTGAATGCACTTTCCCCTTTCCACACACCAAGGCTACCACCTATTAAATGCCTTGAGACTTCCTGACATGAAAGGCTCTGAATAAATGTAAATTTGTGCTATGTAGTATTGTATGGTGTTGCATTGTATTGTGTTTCAATGTACTTGTTTGTCTACAAACCTTGTCCGACATTAAAGTAGAGATTGAACGTCCAATTTCGTGATAGTCCATTTTCACAGACTTGGGTCCCAGGAGCACAAAAAGGAACCGAACGGGGATGGAAACTTCTAGAACTGTCTTGAGGTCAACAGCTTGGTCCAATCGCACAAAGGCCATGGTTGGTTTAGTTAGAGAATTCTCACAACCTGCCAAAGGAAAAGTAATGAATCGTTCTTCAGAGGGGATTTTTAGGACATCAAGATTCACACACAGTTTAAATTCACACCAAACTAAGGTGGATACATTGGGAATATTATTATTACAATATAATATTACTATTGTAGTATGGTGGTACATATTGATTGAGGTGACCAAATAGCAGATTTTGACTGATCGAGATTCTGGCCAGGGATCTTAACCTAAAGGTTGGTCAACTCTCTACTGGCCATTCCCAATTCACTTTCACTTCACGATCATTAAGTTACGCTTACAGACTGACAATAGTTCATCATTTTTTATTTCCCTTCCAAAATTTTATAGCTTTGATTCCAAAGTGTTGATTCAACCAGTTAACACTTCTGGATTACTGAAGGCAACTGATGTGCATGAAAAATACCAATAATTTGTGCTATTTCAGATATTTAAGATTTTTTTGGTTGTTTCGATTTTAAAACACTTGTAAAGCTCTCAGGTGGGAGCTCTCTCACTTACCCACGAGAACAGCAGTGGCTTCTGTGTTTTCAGGGATTTTCTCCATTATTTCGGAGTAATATTTCTTCTCCGTGCCTCCCTATGTCATAGTCACAAAGAGTTACATTTCAGATTGGCGGAGTTACCAGGAGCTGAGGGGGACGTCACTGGTCTACTGTATGAGCCAGGCTGGCTCGTCTATCATCAGCAGTGCCCTGGAGTACTGCAGACTGCCTGGCTCAGGAACCACACTACCCAAAGCGACTACAACAGAGGATTGACTCGATTCTGACATTCCATCATCAAGCATGCAGCCAGCTTAGCTTCAAAGAGCCCCCACTTACCTCCATCCCCTCAACGTCCCCGTCCCCCCACAAAGGAGGATAGATATTTGATTATATAGCGGAGAACAGTACCTTTTCAAAGATGGACATCTGTATTTCAGTATCTTTAGTACCCAATGAGAGCTTTGATACTTCTATACCAACTGTGTTTGGTCTGTGGGAAGAAAATGTTCAAACCATTCAATATAACCCTCACCTGAATACAATGGCTCCAACATCCCTTGATAATGACACTTTACAAGTTACAAGCTTCACAGGTCTAATCCTTTAATTTGCTGCTTTGTCACTTTGGCTCGAACGATAGCAATTTTGCCTTTGGATCAAAACGCTGTGGGTTCAAGACCCCACAAAAGGAACTGAGCTCACAGTCTGGGTGGACAGTTTAGTACAGTGTTGGCAGGTCAGTGTTACATTGAATGTTTCTACTCTGCAATTAATTTAAAAGCTTTTCATTGATGTTCTTATGTATTGACATAATCCATTATACAGCACCAAGACTGTACAATCAATCTACAGCTAGCTTGTCACACTCGCTGTCTTCTGAAGAGATGAAAGATTAAATGAAGGGAGTTTCTCTGTTCCGGTGTCCTGGCCAACAATCCCCCAAATAAAATTGGTCATTCATTTCATTATTGTTTGCGGTTCTGCGCAAATTGGCATCCACTTTCGCTCACAAAACGCATACAGTCACACCAGTCCATGGTATATATCCCATGAAGCACTTTGAGACGTCTTGCCAACCTGCGCCTAATACTTTCCAAAATTAGGAGAGGGAGAGAGAGAGTGTGTGTGCATTCCATTCCCAACAATCTTATCTCTGGAATTTCCTTGTTTAGGTGGGATGCTTGGAACTCTCCATTTGGTTTGGATACTCTCTCCTGATCCCAATCATCAGCTCAGGTGTGGATCCCTGACTGTACAGCACCTTGGGACATCCTCCTGACATGAAAGGCACTGTACAAATGTAATTTGTTGTTGCTGTTGATGGGTTTACGCATGTGTCAAACACTTGGCTAACCTTCCCCCACCCCACACACAAAAAAAAGTTGTGTACGTGATAAGGCGCTGCATCAAATGTGAGAATTATTAAGATGAGTAATGTCCATTCTACCTGTGTTCCAGGAACAAGGCTTTCAGCACACAGGATCTTTGTTTTGCTTTGATCTGATCCACAGCGATCATCATCTCCACCACCTGGACAGCGATGCCAGGTAATGTGGTCTCCTTCAGGTCAAGCATGATGGCACCTGATAGATAAAGAACATGTTTGAAACTGGCTGCCTCTGTTCCAAGTCACTACAACTAGCACTGACCTAATCATTGGATCAGGACTGTCATCAACAGAATATTGTGCGTTAGCCTGGTTCAGATAATAGCACTCTTTGCCTCTCAGTCAGAAGGTCATGGATTCAAGCTCCACGTCGAGACTTTGAACTCATAATCTCAGCGACCAGTTTGATGCATTTCTGGAGGTGTGGAGCTTTGGATAAGATTATTAAACCAAGATGCTGTCTGCCTGATCGAGTAAATGTTTAAGATTCCATGGCACTATCTGAAAAGAGAAGTGAGTTTCTTTCTCCCAGTATCCTGGCCGACAATCCCCCAGATAAAATTGGTCACTCACTTCATGGCTGTTTGTGGGACACTGCTGTGTGCGTGGAAATTGACTGACTGCTGTGATTGTCCACAAAATACACAATCATTACAGTTTACAGTAAATCCTAGGAAGCGCTTTGAGACGTCCTCTTGAAGGCAATCATAGAATCATAGAATATTACAGCACAGACAGAGGCCATTCGGCCCATCGTGCCTGTGCTGGCTCATTGGAGAGCTAACCAATCATTCCCACTCCCCCAATCTTTCCCCATATCCTTATAAATGTTTCCTCCTGAAAGTTGTTATTGAAACTGTTTCCACTGACCCTTTCAAGCAATGCATTCCAGACCGTAACAATAAATCAGGTGTAAGGGTTATTTTATTTTATATTTTATTCTTCTATCCAAAGTGCTGAAGAGTGGACAGATATAGACTGTAGACAATGAGGTGCTCACCTTTGGTAATTGTCCTTCGGAGTTCCAGGAGACTCCTGAATGTGAGAAAAGGAACATGGGCTTTGCTCCAGCGGTTTGTATCTTTGTCCAGATTCTCCTCGTACTTTATCCACCGTCCAGACTCTTGCCAGTAATTTTGTAGGTTTCCGTCCATCATCAACTCATTCATCTGAACAAATACCTGAAGGCAAATACCAGGAGGAAGAATGAGGATGGTGGTAAAAGGACAGACGTCATCTACCTTATGGAAGTCACGCAGAGGTGCTTCTAGGCATCTCATCTCATCAGAGATCATCCGGAACTCTGCAGCCCGTATCCTCTCCCACACCAGGCTTCTTGACCCCATCACCCCCATACTTGCCCAACTCCACTGGCTTCCCATCACTCAGAGGATACAGTTCAAGATTATGGTCCTCACCTTCAAAGCCCTCCATGGCCTTGCTCCTCCCTACTTCTATGACTTCCTACCCCTACCAACCTGCCCGCTCCCTCCGTTCAGTGGGCTCCGGTCTGCTTCATGTCCCCGGCCTCGCCCGCCCCATCATTCACGGGCAGGCCTTCAGCCTCTCTGCCCCCATCCTCTGGAACTGGAATTTCATCCCACAGTCCCTTTGCCTTGCCCCTCCCTTGCCTCCTTCAAAACCCATCTCAAGATCCTCCTCTTTAACCATGCCTTTAATCACCCTCCTACTCCTACCCTATCCACCCTCCACCCCTCCTAATACCAACCACCAGCTCGGGTGTGGATCCCTGACTATCCAGTGCCTTGGGATATCCTCCTGATGTGAAAGGCGCTGTATCAAATGTAAGGTTTATTATTATGATCAATCATGTTTCAAGTTTGCACGTGACCAATTTGAGATCAAGCCTTACTGGGGTTGTGAAGAGCTTTAAAAGGTTTATAGTTTCCAGCAGACTGTAAATTGCTTTTATTTTTTATTTAGCTAATTTGGTCACTCAATACACGGCTGTTTGTGGGACGATGCTGTGTGCAATTGGCTGCCGCATTTCGCCCACAAAATATACAGTCCATTCATTTTACAGTATATTCTGAGGTGCTTTGAGACGTCTCGAAGATGTGATAAGGCGCTGTATCAAATGTAAGGATTATTATTATTATTACCTTGTTGGCAATGTTGGGTTTCCAGTGGGAGAGGATCGTGGTTTCTCCTTGCCCTTTGCTGCTCTGACCTGTGTCAGTTTGACCCACTGGCTCTGTGCAAGAAGATGAAATGATAGGCTCACTGTTACAATTTCAATGAAAACCACATAGATTTGCAAATTGCATTTTCTCCTTTATTTTAGTAGCCTTCCCCCTCCTCCCCAAAGGCAGAGTATTGCTGTATTATGTACCATAGTTCATTCCCCCACTGCTTGCATTCACATGGGAAACACACAGTCACTACACTTCACAGCATTAGTGGCCAAACTATGCAAGGCTCATGGGCCAATAGTGCTGGTGCCTTCGTTAAATCAATATTTTGTTTCCAGTAACTACTGAGCAGCAATACTTATGGTGCAGCCATAAATCAAGAACTATTCAATCAAGAAAAATGTATTTGGCTGGCTGACGAAGAAGATTGGCTACCATTACTTTACAGTGTATCCTGTAAAGAGTTCTGAGATGTCCTCCTGATGCATAAGACATTGTACCAAATGTAAGGATTATCATTAAAGTTCCTCCACGACACAGATTTCCCCAATTATCATTTCCCTCTACAATACCCCATTTTATCCACATGATGCCCATCTCCCTATATTTGCTGAAAGTTGCTATATGAATGCCAGTTATTGTTGATGTTGTTCTTTGATTGGTTGAATGCTTGATCCAAATTTGACCACAGCAGTGATCTATACAAAGTTACAGTAACTGTTTTGGATATCGTAACATCAGATTTATTCTGAAATCCTGAAAATTCCTCTCCGTAACTTTGAAGAGCAGCCCGATTTGCCTTGTTGATATCATTGCCTGGATATTGCCATTAAATTGTCATGAATCGCTCAATATGTCTCGCCTATAAAACATACTTTCAACTCACTTTGCAGTGTATTCTGTGAAGCGCTTTGAGATGTCTCGAAGACGTGATAAAGCGCTGTATCAAATGCAAGGATTATTATTATTATTATCATTATCCCTGGCTGTGGCCTAATTCAATCCTGAAGCCAACTCTGAGCTCTTGCCCTTCTTGTCCCGCATCCACTGCCAGATCTTCACGCAGTGATACAGTGGCCTTGTGTTTCCTGTAAACAGACCTCAATGTTTCCATAACACAGCACCAATGATAGAGACGAGCCCAAGAATGACTAGCGTTCAGATTTCATTTGAGCTGCTTGTTAAATAGGTTAATCATGGGATTGGCCAGGTACCAGATAAGTAGGATTCAGACCAGCTCACTCGTCTTTTTTTCTCCAAGAAGAGCCTTTGATCATTTTGTTTTGTATAAATATTAAACAGCACACACTGTGTGGCCAATAGCGCTTTTATTACGATTTTATGGTACAATTCAGGACAGTTTGTGGGACGCTGTTGTGCGCAATTGGCTCCCGCATTTCGCCCACAAAATATACAGTCAATTCACTTTACAGTATATTCTGTGAAGCGCTTTGAGACATCTCAAAGGCGAGATTAGGCGCAATATCAAATGCAAGGATTATTATTATTATTATTTCCCTACTCTAACCTAACACCACTTCGGTTGCGAGATTTACTGATCCACAAGATTTCTTCACCTACTGGGTTTGGTAAATACCAATGTTCGCTAACAACGTAGGTTTGGAAACTTGCTTCAAAGAACGTTCTTGCAGAACAGGCTCCGTTGGCCTGCACCTTCTCCTGTTACTAACTAGCAGAATGTACAGCTCATTTTACAGTGGGGAAGAATGGAAAAGTGTGTTGATGGCAAAGTTTTGGTCTAGTTGCTGCCTTTATATCATCAATAAAATACCAAGTCCAGTTCTTGACCTTCTAATCAGTGAATGCCATCCATGTAACATACTGTATAAATGTAAATTGTATGATCGAGATTACAGAGATTATTATTATTACAGAAAAATGTGACTGCCACAGGCTACATTTATTCACTGGTGCCTTATCACATCTTTGAGACTTCTCAAAGCACTTCATACTGTAAAGTAAATTGACTGTATATTTTGTGGGCAAAACACAGCAGCTAATTGCGCACAGATCAACTAACAACTGGGTTTCTACTTACTGTTAGGTATTTACGTAGAATTTCATAATGTTCAGAATTTGGCAAATTGTTGAATTGAGTCTTAACTTTGAAGCCGGCTTTCTGCGGCTCTTAAAAGAAACTTAAAGACAACTTTCCTCAATGAGTAAAAGATACAGTCGTTGGTCGTGTGATCTCAATACTCCTATTTTCATGTAAGTACACGTGGGCTCTTTGACCTTAGACACACAGTGTGTGCGAGTGTTATTTCATTGCTGTGTGTGCTTTACCTCCTTTGTTACTGCTTTTTGGCTATCTGCAAAAACGGAGTGTAACAAACCCCAGATCCTGCACATTTGGTCAAAGAAAATTGAGTAAAGAGAAGTCCCTTTCCTGTGTTCTCCATCCAGAATCCAATTGGATGCTCTTTGTCCTTTGATGTTTTGCTCACTAAATATATAGTCAATTCACTTTACAATATATCCTGTGAGGCGCTTTGAGACGTCTCGAAGATATGATGAGAAACTCTATCAAATGCAAGGATTACATTATTAGTTACCATGACTGATGAAGTCCAAGTACCACTCACAACTGCTGGACATAAAACTAGGAGCTGCACTAAGCTGTGAAGTTCAGTTACTTGTATTTTGTGAGTGTGTAAGACTTTTTCTACTAAAATCAGTGCATGTGGATAAACAATGTCATCGTGGTCACACCTGTGGCTATTCAACCAGTCTGTGCTGGTGTTTATTCTCCAAATTGGTCTCTGCCCCTGCAGACAGGAGGAATATTTTAGATAATAAGGCAACAGGTAAGTCACTTACTTTTCATTTTGTCCAAGCTCTCAACTTCAGATGCTTTATCTTCGTCTGCCTGGTACCTGACCTGTGTTGGCTTTTCCAACATCAGCTTCTGCTCTTCAGGATCCAAATCACTGTAAAATACAAGGTGCAGAATAGTGAGCTCTTACAGTTCAGCTCTTGAATCATGTCAGTTGATGGTCGTCCCTCTGCTTCGTCTCCTCCCTTGCCTCCTTCAAGACCCAGATCAAGACACTCCTCTTCGACCGTGCCTTTGGTCATCCTCCTACCCCTACCCTCCCCGCTCTCCATCCCTCCTGATCCCAACCACCAGCTCGGGTGCGGATCCCTGACTCTGGCGTCTTGGGATGTTTTTGCAACCTGAAAGGCGTTGTACAAATGTAATTTGTCGTTGTTGTACTTTGTATAAAAATGTGAGGAGCTCATTATGCCATGAGAGGAGCTGTCCATCACAGGCATACAGTAAGGCTCGGCAATGCTACTTACTCTGAGGAAACGCTGCCCTTTCCAACTGTATTTGTCTTGAACCTAGAATGAGGCTTTGGGCTTCCTCCTTCAGATACCAACACATCTCCAGCAGAAAGCTAGCGAGAGAGAGAGAGAGAGAAGGGGGCAGAAAATAACAAGGAAAAGTGAATAATGTAATGATAAAATAATAGAAGTAAAAAATGATCGCTTTTCCAAGGTACTAATAATCCCTTCCAAAAAATAATAATAGTAATATGGTCACTCAATCCACGACTGTTTGTGGGACACTGCTTTGCACAATTGGCTGCCGAGTTTCACCCACCCGCATTTTTCTTGAAGGATTATTATCAGGCATGTGGAGTAAGGAAACTTGGCCAAGGTTTCGCCCTACCGGGAATCGAATGCAGGTCTCTCGCTTGCGAGGCAAGTGCTCTAACCACTGAGCTACAGGACTCCACAATGGGACAGAGGAATAGAACATGCACCAAAACCCAAACCAGTTAGCAACATCTAAACCATAGGAACATTGCCCAGCGCCTGACCACTTTTATGTTACACTGCCAACTCTCTTTATTTTCTTATGGAAATTCCAGATCTTTCTGACCATAGCAAAGTGCAAGCACATGCAGCCCACATATTTCACCAACCATCTCCTTCCTTTTGACATCTAGTCGTGACATGGTTTACGATCTGCCCACAAAATACAGTCACTACACTTGACAGTATATTCTGTGAAGCGTTTTGAGACGTCTCGAAGACGTGATAAGGCGCTGTATGAGTTGCTTCTCCTAATAAATATGCACTTGACATCAACTACCGACAGCGCTTTGAGACTCTTCGACGCAGTAAGATGCTATGTTAAAAGAATGGATTATTAATCTATTAAACATTGCTGAAGGTAGGAAACTACGAGCTGCACAGAATGCAATCCAAAAGGTATTGGAATCAGAGCAACAGTCATATCCTTGGATACTCAAATATATTGTATCTGAACTAAAAACCGTACAAATAATACAATTATACATCTATAGCCTTTCACATCAGGAAGACATCCCAAAGCATTCACAAGGTTGAATGGGGGTGTGGAAAGGGGAAAGGTGACTGAAAGCACGGTCAAAGAGGTACGTTTGGAGACGTGCCTTGAAAGAGAGGAAGGAGGGAGGGAGGAATTAAACCAGTTAGAAGGACTCTGGAATGGAGTTCCAGAGAATGGGGGCAGAGTGACCGAAAGTCTGCCTGCGAACTGTAAGTGGATAAGGTGGGGGACATGAACCAGGTGGGTGCTCACTGAGCGAAGCGAACGGTCGGGTAGGTGTGGTTGAAGGAGGTCGCAGAGATGGGGTGGGGCGAGACCGTGGGAGGATCTAAAGGTAACTATAAAATGTCAGGATCAAGAAAATGTCATTTAGCCAAATAATATAGACTATATACACAACAAACAGGCTGTAGCCAGATACTCAACCTTCTCAATAACATTCTGTATAAATAACTTCAACACTATTAAAGACTCCAGAGGACATGGTCGGGGGCTTAAGATCATTGTCTTAAAATAGGAAAAATTGTCAATTCATAATCTTAAAATGAAGGCCAGATTGTCTTCAAAATTAAGATGAATTTAAGAATTTTCCAAGAAATGTACGCATGATCTTCAAATTTAAAGCAATCATCTTAATGTTAAAACCAGGAGAATTTTCCTGCCTCACGATCATCCAATCACATCCAAGTCTCCCACATTCCTTCAAAAAAAGTAGTAATAATTCATTCCCCCCCAAAAAATTGGTCACTCCACCACAACTGTTTGTGGGACGCTGCTGGGCACAATTGGCTGCTGCATTTCGCCCACAAAATATACAGTCAATTCACTTTACAGTATATTCTGTGAAGCACTTTGAGACTCTTGAAGACAATAATGCGCTGTATCAAAGGCAAGGATTATTATTCAGCCCTGACTAGCTCCGCTATCTCCACAAGTGACATTGCCTCTTTCCTGGTGTGTCAACATGAGCCTAAGACCACATCACAGCAGATCCCATGGAGGGTTTGATCATTGTGCTGTGCGTTCAGCCCTACGATCAAACCAATAGCTAAGCAGACATTTATACCATACAAATTGCAACGTAACCTCAGGCTGTAATTGGTAGAATTACAGAAGAATGAGAAATCCTAGGAGTTAATTGCTAGGAGTTAATAGCTCTGTTATTTGTTAGGTCAGGGTATTTAGGGACGGGGCAAGGGCTGGTAATTGGACTTGAGGTGCAGATCAGCCGTGATATTATGGAATGGCGGAACAGGCTCAAGCGGCTGAATGGTATACTCCTATGTTTCTATGGCTTCACTCTTAGCATTGGTCTTAGTGAAGCTAAACTCTGACTGTGTATGTAACAGAACAGCACGGACAAAATGGGCCAAATAGCTTCTTCTTTTATGCCGTAAAGTTCTATGGTTCTATGGTTAACTCTTCTCACTGCTCTTTCTCTCTCTCTCTCTTTCTCTCTTTCGATAGTGGAGTCCTGTAGCTCAGTGGTTAGAGCACTCGCTTTGCAAGTGAGAGACCTGAGTTCAATTCCAGGCAGAGGGCGAAACCTTGGGCAAGTTTCCTTACTCCACACAGAGCCTAATAATAATCCCTCCAAAAACCAAAAACAATAATAAATTGGTCATTTTCAATCTACGACTGTTTGTGGGACGTGCGCAATTGGCTTCCGCGTTCACCCACAAATATACAGTCAATTCACTTTACAGTGTGTTCTGTGAAGCGCTTTGGGACGTACTCCCGACGTGAAAAGCGCTATATCAAATGCAAGGATTATTATTATTATTATTATTATTATGCACATCATGTGGAGTCCTGTAGCTCAGTAGTTAGAGCACTCGCCTTGCAAGCGAGACACCTGGGTTCAATTCCCGGCAGGGTGAAACCTTGGGCACGTTTCTTTACTCCACACACCTAATAATAATCCCTCCAAAACAAAAAGCAATAATAAATTGCTCATTTCCAATCCACGACTGTTTGTGGGACATTGCTGTGCGCAATTGGCTGCCGCGTTTCGCCCACAAATATACAGTCAGTTCACTTTACAGTCTATTTATGAAGTGCTTTGAGACATCGAAAAGATGTGAAAAGCGCTATATCAAAAAAAAATGCACATCAGTAAAGTTGCTAACCTTGCGCGAGAGGCTCCATATAAATCCCAACGCAAAACAAATACAACAAATCCAAGTTGTCATTGTTGTTGTACCAGTAACACGCCATCAATCGCGAACCCCTGCCTCAATTTAAAACTCTCAAAACTTTGACTGAATCACAGTCTCTGACTGAATCACAACACAAACCAACATGTGAACAAGATGTTGATCTGGTACGAATTCAAGAGTTTTTGCTCTTTTTGTGAAAAAAAAGTTTGGAATACAGTCCTACAGTGATGTGGATGACAAGAACATAAGAAATGCTGGACGAAAAAAGTTCAAAGTCTCATACACATATGTCCCGAACTACCTACGTACAATATCCATGATAAATAACTGGTCTCACAGCAGACAGCTTACAAACTGACCCTGGACACTCTAAGGTACTATAATAACAAAGCACTTTACCTCAGCCCCAAATGATGTCTTCGTTTCCTGACTATCTGGAGCCAGACCAGTGGGGAGTGTTTGGGGACTGCAGGAGGGTGATTTACGAAGGTCTGCGAGAGATGTTTCAAAAAGGAATATTAACAAGAACATTTTATATTTATAAAATACTCTACTCTTAAAGGCACATTTCTGTTTTGCCCAGTACTGGTGTGCGCTTTGTTGGCTTGACCTGAGATTGCACACTCTCAGTCGTTCATCCTTTTCAATTGACTCACCAAAGACAGTAATAATAATAATAATCCTTGCATTTGATATAGCGCTTTCACATCTTCTAGACATCCCAAAGCGCTTCACAGAATATACTGTAAAGTGAATTGACTGTATACTTGTGGGCGAACGCGGCAGCCAATTGCGCACAGCAATGTCCCACAAGCAGTCATAGATTGAAAATGACCAATTTATTATTGTTTTGGGTTTTGGAGGGATTATTATTAGGCTCTGTGTGGAGTAAGGAAACTTGCCCAAGGTTTCGCCCTCTGCCTGGAATTGAACTCAGGTCTCTCGCTTGTAAAGCGAGTGCTCTAACCACTGAGCTACAGGACTCCAGTTTGAAGGTTTGAAGAAAAAGAAAATCAGTAGAGTCGGCAATTAATTCACAATAAAAAGTAAATGTTACACAAGGAGATACTTCTCCAGTGCATAATCTGTAACTTGTAAAATCCTCACTCTGTAGATGTACTTGCAATCTAAGGGTTACCTCCTGAGCAGGAAGTTATTGGAAGAATCTGATCTTGATAGAACATCAAGACAACACCCTAATAATTGTAATAATTGACAGATTTTGGAAGCATTCAAAAAACCCCTTTTCTGAATGAGTCAGCCAAAGCCAAAACCCAGCTGTGTGAACTGACCTATATTTTATAAACAGGTGGATGCTTACAAACAGCTGGAAAATCATGTCCCAACCCAACCCACTGCATTTTACCTGATGCGACAAACCACCACTCTAACGTTAAAGTAAACCTGCTTTCACTGTTTTACAGTATTTTTGTTTAAATGTTAGCGAAGCGTTGGCACAATCAACCCCTAGGGTTTTGGCCAGTGGAATTTACTTGCAGAAAATCAGAAGAAGGATAATTTACTCACAGTCCAAATCATTATCATCATCATTCCAGCTAGCCTTTGCAGGATCTGGGTCAAAGTCAATGTCCTCAAAACTCTCCACTTCCAAAGTTCGATTCAGATCATCTGCCTCATCATCTGTGAAGAATCTTTTAAAGGCTCTGGGAGAGTAAGGGTCCTCTTTCGCCTTAAGCAAAATAATAAACATCCCTTACTGTATAGAAAGGCAGCGGGGGACACAGTAAGGTTTGGAACATGGAGAGTTCATCCAATAAATTTATCCAATAAATCTTTTGTCCTGAGTTATTTTAGCATTTTAGTTTGTTCCAAATCCTCAGGACTTTTAATATATTACGAGCCTCAGTTCATTAATTCCTCAAAATGAGTGTGCACTCTCTCCCTGGAGGAACGCACATTGCTTTCCTAATTCCAGATAGTATGAGGTGCAAGGTGGCAAGAACCAAGGCTTAGGGATCTTAGAAAGTACATTGGAATACTGCTTGAGTTGAACCAGCTAAAACTGTATAGCTTGCTATTGAGAGCTATAATCTGGCAAGCTTTCCACTGCGACCAACTAGGACCACCCTACCTACCCATTTGGGTGTTGGCTTGCAGGTTGAACAGGAAGTTTCCATGTGTAGTTGGCATTCATAGATGAAACTGTCAGTCTGGTTTGAATACTCTTAAGCATGGTGGATAGGCTTTCATATGTGTCAGATACCAGAATCTACAAAATGCACCCAGCCATCTAGATGTCGCCTGACCCACACTACAATTTTAATGTCATCCCTATGTTGAGTTGGCAGCGCTGAATAAAGTTCTCCTCCCAATTCAAAGTCAACAGGGAAAGATAGAATGCGATGAAGGTTTTAAAAATACTTAGGAGCGTAGATCACAGGCACATTGACATTTATCTGACTTGATTTGCAATTGCAAAACTGGAGGACTTGAGAGAGAGAGAGAGAGAGAAAAACAGAAAGAGAAAATCCATCACCCACCCAAGTCTCAAGTGAATTTGTGATAAACAAAATTCTCTCCACAATAGGGTAGCAATGTGCAAGAGATTTGCCTTCACTAAAGGTTAAGATTACATTGTTTCACGTCCTTAAACAGGACCTGAGCAAATACTGCGTTGAGACGGGATTGGAAGCTATTTGGAAAGGGCAGACAATAGGTACAATAGGCAATGGAATACTCTATGAAAACTACAACCCAGTCCTGTTGGGTAGGCTGGGCTGGAATGTCCTCTCTTGAATTCCGACAATTGACGATGTGAATCGTAACGAGAGATTGAGATCATTGCACTATCTCCAATCTCAACAAAAATTTCACACACTTTTTCTGACATTTCTGTTAGTTATTAGTTTCTTTCCACGAGGTTAGATGAGTTGGACCGAGTCTCCTGTTCCCACATTTCCCTCTGTTCTACTGTTCACTTTTACCGCGTTCCTGACGCCCTCTTGCTCACTTGCATTCACGCTTTTGCTTGTGTCACCAGTTTGTGTCTGTGGCGTATCGTGCTCACACTTGCGCTTATGCTAACACCATGCTCACACTACTTCCTGAGTCACGCCATACTCACACTTGCGGCTTGTGTTACACAATATTCACTTGCGCCATACAATGCTCACACCAGTGGTCACTAGTGTCACATCATGCTCACACTTATATCACCCAATGCTTAGTTACACTTGTGCAACATTTGCGTACACGCCAGCGGCATGTTACCCTACCTGACATCTGTTGTTACAAAGTCACTTGGACTTCACCCAAAACACCCCCAATTACCCCACCTGGTTTCCACCCAGGTGATTAGAGGTTAACTCGACTTCCTGGAGTGGGAAGTCAAGTTAACCTCTAATCACCTGGATGGAAACCAACAACAGAAGAACCTCACACTATCGTAACATCATAATAATCCTTAATAATCCTTGCATTTGATATAGCGCCTCATCACATCTTCGAGACGCCTCAATGCGTTTCACAGGATATACTGTAAAGTGAATTGACTGTCCATTTTGTGGGCAAAGCACGCCAGCCAATTGCACACAGCAGCGTCCCACAAACAGTCATGGATTGAGTGATCAAATGTTTTTTTTGGCAGTAGAGGGATTATTACACCCCAATTATTATTGACATGTACAGGAATTACTCACTGCAAAAAGCACCCAGTATAGATCATGAATAATATAATAATAATAATATATTATTAGATCATTAATGAAGGAGTTTCACAAAATTGACCCCGTTATTTGTAAAATGTATGTGCTGTTTCAGTAGCAACAACTTGAACATGTGATATTGATTCCCTCCCCAGCTTCACGTACCTTTCCCAGATCGTAGGTGCCTCTCTTGGCCATGTTGTTCAATTCCGAAACACTACCTCAGCTCAATAGCCCAATCCTTCCCCTCTTTTTAAGAAGAGGACAGAGGCAGCATGTCCTAGAAAATACAAGCGTGTTTCATATTAAAATAAATGCTCAAACACATCAACCGATATCATCACCTAAACAGAGATTTGCAGTAATATTTCAGTCTAGGAATGTGAATAGCATCCTCCATCAGAACAGAGGCAAAGGGGAATGAAACAAAGTGTAGCATTGTTTTGCCATGGGACTGTCCAATTCTATCGTAGTTAGACTGAAGCAATTCACCAATCGACAGCTTATTAATGATCAGAAGGTAGCAAAACCATAGCATTTCAACAACCAGCCAGTCATTCCTAACAAGTGCCAAGCTAGCTGATCAATATGGCTCATCGGCTGACTACTGTGAATTCAGTCAACCGTAGTTGGGTTTTGGATTGGCTTTGTTAGTTGGTTGCATTGCTGTTTCTGGCCAAAGTTTGTGGATTTACGTCTCACTTGGATATATCAGCTCTCAGTCAAAGAGAGCAGTACTCGGGGAGTGCTGCATTGCTAGAGGTGACGACCTTTGGATGAGACATTAAACCAAGCTTTCAGGTAGATGATAAAGATCCCACAGCACTAATTGAAACTAATTGATCACAAGAAGCTTCTCCCAGTGTCCTGGTCCACAATTCACCTTGTGGCAGTTTGTGGGACCTTTACTGTGCAGAAGAGCTGCTGCTTTTGCTTACAAAATAGTCACGACATGTGACAATAATTATTTTAAATCACTTTGAGATATCTCGATTTACTGTAAAACAAATACAAGTCCTATCAGCTCAGAGACAGGCTCCTACACTGTTAAGCACTCTGAGACTCTGAAGGGCGCTATTTAAATGCAAATTGTTGTTGTTATTGTTGCTTTCTAACTCTTATAGAACTATGTGAATTTTATTTGCACTGTTCTGTAAGGCTTTTGTCACTGCAAGAGGCCAGCAAATGTCTTCATTAGATATCACTAGATAGGCTTGTTTTGGATTACAGATGTGATCTCTGAGCTGCCCCATGGCCCAGCGAGTAAATACACCATATGGGGTGACCCATTCAGACCAGGAGCCTTGATACTTGGTCTCTCCTGTTAATTGATCCCACAGTCTCTCCCTCCGCTTTGCCCCCTCCCTTGCCTCCTTCAAGACGAGTCTGAAGACCGTCCTCTTTGACCTTACCTTAGGTTACCCTCCTACCCCTACCCTCCCCGCCCTCCACTCCTTCTGATCCCAACCCCCAGCTCGGGTGCAGATTCCTGACTGTCCAGCACCTTGGGACGTCCTCCTGACACAAAGGGTGCCTCTACAAATGCAATTTGTTGTTGTTGTGAAGGGACTATACCTAACCTTAGTGCATCAGGGAATAGAGAAGATAAAACAGTCAGGGTTCCTCCTATTTTGCCATGATGGGACTGAACTGCGCTTATGACAGGATGAGCAAAAAGTCGTGATAACTACTCTATTATCTAAAAAGAAAAATCCCCATTTCTTTAAGATTTATTAGATAGTTTCGGACACCGCGTCTATGGAGTTCCATAGTGACATTGGCCATTCTACCCAACCAGCGTTTAAACATACTCTGGAGTATTAAGAAAGAACGTAAGAAAGAAAGCTGGGAGAAGCGAGAACTGTTTTGGTACATTGCTCTCACTGATCACAGACGTTAATCCCTGACACTTCCCTCCCCACTGTCGGACAGGACAGTCTTGTTACAGGTGCACAAAGGTGTCCAGGACTCAACCTGCTTTACTCTCCGCAATACAAGGCTTGGCCACTAGGGGGCAGGGCAGCAACACATTCGGGTGAGGCATCGGGAGCTGAAAAGCGGTAGACACTGGACATCAAGTTCGACAGCAGTTCAGCAAATAAGAATCATTAACAATAATCATATTAATAATAATAATCCTTTTTTGATACAGCACCTTACCGCATCTTGGAGACACCTCGAAACGCTTCATGGGATACACCGTCAAGTGAATTGACTGTGTATTTTGTGAGCAAAAACTTCTTAACTTATCTCTCTCAGGCAAAATAAAAACAGAAAAACGGTAAAACTGTGAAACAAGGAAAAAAAAACTATTGGCATCCCCTCAAAAGAAAACGATCCCCCTCACACTCTGCTACTTCCAACAAATTTGGACATATCATTTGCACCATCAGAGAAGGCGTATAAACTTCTACGAAAGTTAGAAGAATTCAGCAATCACTTAAAAATATCCACCAGAATCTACAAAACGATAGTTTCAATCCTTCAGCCTCACCAACATCGCCCATGCAGAGGAGTTGATCTTGTATGTTTTTACACTTATCCCTTCTGATCTTCATCTCATTCTTGCAGTTATTAATTTTTTTAAGCTAAAACGTTTAGAGACATAGAATTTTTTCAGTACCAATAAAGTCCATTTAGCCAATTGTGTCCACGCTTGGCTCCCCGTGTGTCTAGTCCCACTCCACCTTTCACCTACCCCAACCCCAACACCCTTTTATGCTTTTCCTTCTTAAATATTTGTTGAATTTCCTGTTAAACGCCATTCTAGATTATGCTTCCACTCACACCGTAATCAAAATGTCATTAATTTTGCTAAGAATCTACTAATACTAATGAGTCACTTTTGAGGCTTGTTCATTTTGTCATATCACCTCAGCGTTTTTGCCCCCACTTTAACGTTAGCTTATCACTTATGTCTGCGATGTCCATTCTTGGCCAGCGTTTTAAATACCTGGAATACGCCACCCGTCAGTCTTCCTTTCTCCAATAAAACAACTTCAAATCTGAGAGTCTGTGCTCATAACTAAATCTTGAAATCATGCTTGTTGCTCTTCTCTGAATCCTCAATACAATGAGTTATGCTGGGTTAAAATAACCTGTTTGAGAATCAGCTGCCCTCAAGACACATTCCAGCCCTCGATTAGCTTTGCAGATAACAGCCTAACATTGACTGGATAACTTGTGTGTGGTCAGTACTCACCCAAATCCTCCTTTCCCGCAATTCCTAACGGGCACCACTCATTGTTTGTCAATGTATCCTGATCTAAATTTGCATTATTTATTACACACAAATATTCAAGACTCTCAAGCAAGCTTTACTGAGTTATCCCATACAAAGCACTGTCTGCCCCTGTGCACTCTGCAGTCCTTAATGTTTACACGCACAGAGAACACAGAGCTAAGTAGAAAGAGTCACACACAACATGAAACCGTGTACAGTTTCACACCCCCTTTGCTTAATAAGGGCATTTGTGAGGTTCACAACTCTTTTTTGAAAAAGGTTCACAATTCCACAACTTTGAAAAATAAGAATTCATGACACAGAGTGACTCTGAATCATCAATAGTAACTCTTCCCAATAAATCTAAGTGCAGAACGCCAACCACAGAACGCCAACCAGCTCGATTTACAACTACTGGTTCGTGGAGTTCCAGGGGTCAACTTAAACACACAAGGAAACCAGCCAGAGTCTGTTATTGATCGTGACAAATTAGATCCTATTGAGAGAAGACAATATCAAGCTGAATGCCACGGTTCATTTTTGGACTCCGTGACAGATACAGGCACGGCATTGTCAAGCCTCAAGCAAGAGTTGAGATGAGTAAGATTTTCTTCTCACAACATAGTGGGTGATGGTCTACCAGCTCAGTATTGAGGATTAGAAGGATGAATCCAGCTAGAGATGGTGGAATATGATGGATCCTAAACTGTTGAAGTTTTTGCAAATGTCTTGCCAAGAAAACCATGTGGTTAGGGCTCTATGTAGAGAGATTCTCTATAGTGAGATGAGTTTGGCTTAGTTTAGTCTAACTTTTGGCACGCAGGATTGGGTAGAGTGCTTGACAGAACAGATTAGGCATGGTATGTTGTAGGAACTTGATGGACTGTGCGGCTTTTCGACATTCTATGCTTTCCTTATCTTAGTCTATCTAGCTGTTCAGTGCAAAGCTAGGCTGGACACAAAGTTAGCCAGTCTATCAACGCATTAATCAATCCACATGGATGAGAGATCAAAGTGCACTTCACAAAGCCAGGCAGCTTCTGAGCACAAAGAGTTAACAACAACTTGCATTTAGATAGAGTCCTTTACCAGTGGAAACCACCGGTGTATGTGGCAGCACAACCTTAGCACCGCATTGTCTGTGTGACTGTTGTGTCTGTATGCAACCTTATGAGTCAGAGGGGAGAGAGAACGAGAGTGAACCGAGTCAGACTGACACACACACACACACACATACACACACAGATCCCTGAACGAAACAATTTATTAGAATGAACCTCTTTAAAAAGAACTCCGTGTGAGTCACACCATGTTACACAATATTCACTAGTCCCGTGCAATGCTCAAAATGAATTAAATATAACCAAAGCGATGATCACTCATTCAGTTTAATCAGCGATGGTTTAATTCAAGTGGAAATTGAATTGATTTGTGCTTTTTCAAATGCATCAATAGGTTTATTTAAAAAATTGATCCAATAGTTATTAACATCCAAGGGACCACATGACTGAATTATATTTATAACCTATTCAATGATTGATTGATCAGTACTCAGATATTTCCGAAACCTAGGCAATACAGGTACTAACTTAATTATTTCTTAAGTGCTTTACAATCGACTAGTTTCGCATTTATAAATTCGAGAGGTATCTCTTTGACCGTGCTTTCAGTCGTCTTACCCCTTCCCACCGCTTTTGGCTCTTATCCCTACCCTCTTCCCCACCACTTTTTGGCTCTCACCCTCACCCACCCGCAGTGTATTCTGTGAAGTGCTTTGAGACATCTGCAGGCATCTGTTTTGCAAACACTGCAAACCAGTAAAAAGTTATCCCGTACCACAGAGCTCTCCTGAACACAGAGCTACCCACTGCACACTCTTACCCTGTTTATACACTGTTTTGCTCACAAAAATACAGTCAATTCCCTTTACAGTATGAGACATCTCGAAGACGTGAGAAGACACTATATCAAATGCAAGGATTATTATTAATATATATATGTAGAGAGAAATACCCAGTAAATAAAACTATTACAATGATAATCCTTGCATAATCATATTGCACCTTTTCATGTCAGCGAGACATCTCAATTGTCAGCTTCACAGGAATGATTGTGTATTTGCAGGTGAACACAGTGGCCAATTTACACCCAGCGATATCCTCAAAATAGCCATGAAGTGAATGACTCATTTTACTTGGGAGGATTGTAGGCCAGGACAGAGGGATAAATTCTGGGACGACATTTTAAATGGGATAAACACACCACAGTCACACAAGTGACAATGCCCTGAATGAAAAGGCTCCGGGAGTTTCTGGAATGGGTGCCAATACCCTGGGACAGCTCCTTGCGCTACTTTTAAACAACAACATGCATTCCTATCGAGCCCTTCACACAGGGTCTAGGGGTGCTTGAAGCACAGAAGTGACCAAAAACAATAAATAATTATTCTCGTCCCAAATCACCCGGTTCCGACTACTTACCTTCCTCTTGCAGAGTGATGTAGCCTTTCTGTGCTTGCGAGCTCCTCCAGTTAGGCAGGAATATTCCGCGGTTTCGATGAGTTGGTGGGGGGGGTCCCGTGAGTTGCGTAATTGGCAATGGTTTAGAGCCCAGCTCCCTGGGCTGTGAGAGGTGCGGTGGTCTTTCGTGAGTGTAAACCTAGGTCGGAGGCTAGCTCACAGCTTCGTGTTCCCCACCAAATATCTGAGTCACCGCGATATTCCTAATCTGGACTTCACCATCAATGCCTCCTGTGCTCCCCTGTGTGCTGACAGTGCTAGATTAAACATCTGCCCCCTCCCCCCACCGCCCCCCACTCCTCCCCTCCCCTATAGTAACCTAGTAATCGCTATCTGTACCAAACATTTTGAGAGTGTACAGGCTTTCCCTTGGTCAACCGGTCCCCACCCATATCCAGCTCTTGCTCCAGCCCGTTATTGCTGAGCTATTGCATGATGCAATGCCGTAAACACTTAACAGTTATTTCAATGAAGAACATATTAAATCTCTTGTCAAGGTAGCGATGGGAATCCCCAACTTTTATTTGAAAATACAATTTGTAGCGCTCCTGTTGAAGGAAATGCACCTTGACTTGCATTGGCTAACAAGGGGGCAAGTGTTTACATACAGGCTCAGGATATCCCTCACTGTTCTCTTCTGGTTTTATCATGACTCAACACATCACTTAGAACTGGATTAAAAGCCCAGTTTTTCCGCAATTCTGTGCAATTTTAAGCAGAATAATCGTACAGCTGTGGCCAGGCAGAATTTGGGTTTGCAGCTTCCTCAGTCTAAAACCCAAGGGATGTAATACAATGTGAACTCAAAGAGCAGGGTTTAACCATTTAATAATGATAATAATCGTTGCATTTGATATGGCGCCTCATCACGTCTTTGAGACGTCTCAAAGCACTTCACAGAATATACTGTAAAGCGAATATTTTGTGGGCAAAATTATTAAGTGAAACAGAGAATTTTAAAGGTTTATTTGAGGCGTGTGGTATGCACGTTTGGTCAACGGCAGGTATGTTCAGATATGCGGTGTAAAGACAGTACCTGCTGAAATATTAACACATTTCATAAGAGTTAGTTATCACCAGGAGCCAAACATTAAGTTGTTCAATGGAAAATTGATTGGAAATATTCACAAATGCCACTTAACCTTTAAAAACGAGTCTCATTTATTGTACTTTTGATAGTTAAAGACAAAATGACAGCTAAGAACTACGTACAGTGAATGAGACAGAACTGCAGACTCCAGGTAAACGATAAATTAGATGAAGATCAGGCACAGCAGCAAAAATATCAGTCAACGAAAATATTTTATGAATACTAATAATACTGTTTATATTTGAGATTTTACCTGTATCATCAAATAGCTCTTAAAGCTTTATAATCTTTATTGCTTAGTGGGACGTGACTGTATTTGTAGTTTGAACATGACAGTTAATTTGCTCATAGCCAGGGAATGAATGAACAGTTTTTCTGGTAGGATTGTTGACCAGGTCACAGGGAGAAACTCCCTTCTTTATACTTATTTCAATGAATATTGGTCAGGGTAAAGGACTCAAAAAGAACAACCACCTAATACTGTGTTTATTATCGGTTGTACTGCAAATCTCCACTTTTCGCCTGCATTTGATCCAGTGCCCTTCATGTTGGAATGGCATCTCAAAGCGCTCCACAGGATTTATTGTCAACCACATTGAGATGTTTATAATAACGATAGGAATAAGAATAATAATCCTTTCGTTTGATATAGTGCTTTATCATCGGGTTGAGACGTCTCAAAGCGCTTCACAGAAATATGCTGTAAAGTAAATCGACGTTTCAACATGTGGGCCACTGTATCAAAAATTGCAAGTATGACAACTGACACTTTAATAAGATTAACATCTGACAGTAAAATACCGGGCATGCGTTTGAATGTTTTACACATATATGTGTGTGTATGTGCACGTGTGGTTTTTTTTACAATGGGATATAAAGCGTGACATTTGCAAATAGGAAATTGTGTCTTTCATTAAATTGATTTGTTTTGCAGTCGTACTCAGAGCCTATTTTGCAAGAAGATAATATGGGCACAATACCAAATATAAGCAATATTGTCATTATTCATGAAATATTTTTGTATGAAGATGTCATTTCCTGCTCAGAAGAGAAGGCAGGCAGACGCTGACTGTGATGGTGGTGAGACATCAGCTGGGGGAAGTTAGTACAGACTGACTGGCCAGAGAGCTTTCAAATAGCAGGATCTTTTCCCAGGATCTTCCACTACGACATCTCTCAGTTACTGTAGCCTGGTTATTGGTGAATCTAGGGATAAAACAAAGACATCAGAACACAGCAACAGCGAACAAGTCCTCAGCTGCTAAAAGGATTTTCCATAAATTATCCAATGTCAAGCCAAGAATCCACTCCATTGATCATAGATATTTACAGTATTTTACCCATCAAGCCTGTGGCTTCCTCACAGCCTTTTCCCAGCATACTCTGTTATAATAATAATAATCCTTGCATTTGATATAGTGCCTTATCAAGTCTTCGAGGCATCCCAAAGCACTTCACAGAATATACTGTAATGTGAATTGACTATATATTTTGTGGGTGAAACGCGGTAACCAATTGCGCACAGCAGCGTCCCATAAACAGTCATGGATTGAAGTGACCATAATGGAATTATTAAGCCTGGAAAAGTGATCCACCAATTGACTAGCAACCAGTTTCCTACTTACTACTAGGTAAGCAGAGGCGTGTGGAGTAAGGAAATTTGCTCATCCTTTCACCCTGCCGGGAATCGAACCCCGGACCTCTCACTTGCGAGGCGAGTGCTCTAACGACTATGCTACAGGACTCCACGACTGTTATTACGACTGCAGACAAAGTTTCCACCTATGATTTTTGTTACTCTTCAGGACCACATCCAGGGAAGATGCTGTGACCCAAACCACATAAAATACCGACATGACAGGTGACTTTTCACCTGTCTATGGTTGTGAAAGACAAATTTAGGGTTTTTTTCTTACAGAAGCTGAAATGAACAAGCTCAACAAATTCCACGCTGAGGAATGTTGCTCGACTCGTTCAGGATGTGACCTCAATCACAGCTGAGACCCAAGCAAAATTCTCACCCAACCTTCACACCCGTTTCAGAGCAGGAGGAATCTTTTCTTTCTCTGCCTAATTAGAGACTGTCATTGGAGTGCTCAGCTGACCTTGCTTTTTCAGATAACTGGATTTCCCAGCAAATAATGCTAATAATATTCCTTGCATTTGATATAGCGTCTTATCAAATCGTTGAGACGTCTCAAAGCGTTTCACAGAATATATCATAAAGTGTAGTGACTGTGCATTTTGTGGACGAAATGCAGCAGCCATTGCGTACAGCTGTGTCCCAAAAACTAGTCGTGGATTGAATGACCATATTATTATTATTTTATTATAAGGGATTATTGCCCCTGGAAAGCGATCTGACAATCGACTAACAACCGGATTCCTACTTATTGCTACGTAAGCAGGTGTGTGGAAGTAAGGAAACTTGCCTAAGGTTTCACCGCACCTGGGAATCAAACCCAGGTCCTCTTACTTTCAAGGCAAGTGTTCTAACCACTAAGATATGGGATTCCACGCTGAAGTTTGGTGTGAATTAGCAGGATATCAAATGCAAAGATTATTATATGTTGTAAAGTCGGATTCAAACCAACTGTGAGGAATCAGCTGCATTTTCTTTGTTCCAATGTTTTACCTGTATAAGTCCTAGTATTACAAAGCACAGATTGAGAGTAAATCTTCAGACTAAGCATACTGTCCTGTAGAGCACTCGCCTTGCGAGTGAGAGGTCCCGGGTTTGATTTTAGGCAAGCTTTCTTATCCACAAACCTCTGTTTACCTAGCAGTAAGTAAGAACTTTGGTTGATAGTCTTTACACTATATCCTGTGAAGGGCTTTGAGACATCTTAATGACATGCTAAGGCACTGTATCAAATGCAAGAATCATTATTATTAACCAATCCCACTTCTTCCTCATACATAATTTGATGCACCTCATCTGCTTAATCCACGGAGGGAAAATGTTGCATAAACGCTGATTCCCTCAAAGTAACTGAACAAAACTCTAAAATATTTATCCATCCCTATACTGTACCTGCATGAATCAGCTACGGTTGACTGCTGATCACTGTTAACAGCCCTTATCAGCAGTGAAGGATGCATTGTGTTCTACGGAACACTGACTTTATTCTTATCTCTATAACCTTCAAGATTTCACGTGTTCAACCAGATTTTTATCCAGCTCTCTTAATCAATATCCTTTTTTTAATTGATCTTAGAAATTTTGGCACAGATTTGCCATTCAGTCCATCATGTCTATACCAAGCTCGCTCCTCACTGGAATAATCTGCTTTTTCCCTATAATCTTTTATACATTCAGTGTTCATCTAATTACCTTTCAACGATATGAGAATGCTGACAAAGCTATGGTAGTTAGCAAGGTTACACAGGGGAGATTAGGAAATAATGCTTCTTTCCGTAAAGTTGTCAAGGTGTATAACGCACCTTCTGCCTGCAACAGTTGAGGCAGGATCCATATTAACTTTCAGGAGGAAAGTAGATAGATAATAATAATAATAATAATCCTTGCATTTGATACAGCGCCTTATCAGGTCTTCGTGATGTTTCAAAGCACTTCACAGAATATACTGTAGTGAATTAACTGTATATTTTATGAACAATATCTGGTAGCCAATTGCACGCAGTGGTGTCCCACAAACAGTCAAGGACTGAGTGATCAAATTATTATTATTATTATATGGGGATTATTAATCTGCGTGTTATGGGGAAAAGGCAGTTAAATATGAATGGATTAACCATTCAAACAACCAGCAGATACGATGACTTTCTTCTGCACATTTCTATGGTTCTACACATGAACGTGGATCCTTCTACTTTGAACTGTGTCAGCCTGGCTCAGTGGATAGCACTCTCAACACTGAGTCAGTAGGTTGCAGGTTCAAGCCACAAATCATGACTTTGAACTCACGTACTGTACGCTTCAGGTGAGATATTAAACAAAGGTCCCTTCTGCTTGCTCGGGTAGATGTCAATTCACTTTACAGTATATTCTATGAAGCACTTTGAGACGTCTCAAAGATGTGATAAAGCACTATATCAAATGCAAGGATTATTATTAGGTTAAAGATCCCATGGCATTATTCAAAAAACAAAAGAGTTTCTCCCAGCACCTGGTCAATAATTAATAGCCGTTCATACGAAGTTTCAAGTGCTCTGGGATGCTACGCTACATGAGTGGTGCTATATAAACGCAAGTTGCCATTGTTGTATCCAAATTAGCTGTCGCATTTGCCTTTAAAATACAGTCACTGCACTACATCCTGTGCAGCACTCTAAGACATCTTCCTGATGTGAAAAGGTACTGTACGAAAAGTAGGGATTATTTTATTTATTATTATTGTTCAGTCCTACACTTCGAATGCACTTATCCTCTGAGCAATCAGAGCTACTGCTGTGGGTCGCTAATCTGTTTATGGTTTGTGGAATGAGGGTGTTGTGAGTAACTCTGAATAATTTCCTAATCACCAGCTGGCTGGCTTTTAACAAGCGATGGTGTGACCGTAACCAGCATGCGACATGGCTTTGCTTTTTTGCTTTCTCTCTTTTGATGACAACTATGTACAGTATATGAGTAATTTGTTAAATGGCATATAGTAAGTGGAAGAACCAAACAATTTTGCATCTAAGGTTCCCAAAACTTTCCACTCTGTTGGAGACTAATTCATACAAAATTAATTGCTACCAACATTTCCGTTATTGTAGCATGCGATTACCAGGATGGTAGGTGAGCGAACTAGATGGACCTTGGTCTTTTATTGTCTAGCAATTCCTGTTACGAAATACGGAACACTGCTTCTTGTTCCTACTATTTTATTTTGCACTGAACAGTAGAACCAGAGGACAAGGCCTGCGATTGAAGTGGGGTAAATTCAGAACAAATCTGCGGAAACATTACTTCAGTGAGCGAATAGTAAGCTTATGGAACAGAGGAAGAGACGGTGAAAACAAAAAATTTCATTTGTTTCAAGAACAAATTAGATAGATTTCTGCTAGAAAAATAATATGTGTATAGTTTGGGACACAATATGTCAAGTGACTGCCAGGATGGTGGAAGGCGAACTAGATGGACCTTGGTCTTCTTTTGCCATCAAATTCTTATGTTCTTATGTTCTTGCTAGAAGAAAACTAGCTTCGCCTGTTTCCCGCTTTCCACAAGTGTCCATTAACAGTGCCCTTGGAACCACAGGAGATCGATCTACCACTGACAGGCTGCTGCTCTGTTTGAAGGGAACAATCATGCAGTTTGATAAAGAAGACTTAAGTGGGGTTTCTCATTATCAAAGAATTGAAACCAACAATCTTTACAACGTACATAGAGCACAACCGCAGTTCTGATCTGTGGTTTGAGCTGTCAGTTTCAATTGCACAGGAATACCGAAAGAGGAATTTAGTACATTTCTTTTCGAAAAATATCAGAAACATCAATCAGTACTAGTTTGAACTGACTGAGAATGGTATGAACTCACATCTTCAGGTCTAAGTCTGAAGCTATAAATACCTGATGCAACTACATTCTATTATGACACATGAGTTAAAAAAAATCACTTATACTGTGCCTTTCATGTAGGAAAATGTCTCAAAAAGTGCTTTACAGAGGAGTTGGAGCTCGAGCCACGCAGTTGCATATCTAGTGCCTTATCACGTCATTGGGAAGTCTCGAAGCGCTTCACAGAATATATTGCAAAATGGATTGACTGTATTTTGTGGGCGAATATTCATCTCTCACCCCACTACTCTAGTATTTAACTCCAGCCTCCCTCCACCAGAACCAAGGTCAGGTGCCAAGCCCAAACTGTCCAGCACCTTGGGATGTCCTCCTGATGTGAAAAGTGCAACAGTATATAAATGAAAATTTTAGCACAGAAATCATTGGTTTCTATGGATTATTTCCTCATTTTAGTCTGTGCCTTTCCTTATAGTCTCCAATGCTGTTGTCAAACAATCTTCGTCCACTTTAGTCAGAGATAGAGAGGGAGAAAGGTAGGCAGACAGCGCAAGATAAAAAGACACAAAGAGAAAGAGAGCTAGACCAAACTGAGCGTGAAACACGGAAATATGAAATCTAAACCACAGAGGAAAACTATTTATTGAAGCTTTATTCGGGCAAGAATTCTCGTTTGCGTTAATAGTTTCACTTACAGTGGAAATTGTGCATCATTCAGGCTCAGCTCTTTCAGCCTAATCGTTACCAAGCCAGGGGACAGAGGACTGCAAATGTGAGATTAAAGAGAATTAGCTCTTTGCTGCATTTCAAACAGCCTTATCAAAGGAGAGCATCAGCACATCTCGTTATATCTGACTCAACAGGTTACCTGTGCGTACCCTGACGCCCTGTGTGACCTCACTAAACTTCAGCTTGCAATCCATTTAAACTTAAACCAGTTTGAATATTATATGGCTGTGTTTTTCCATTATATTTGAAGAACCATTTGAATAAATATATTGATTCAGCAGAATCTAGATATAAAGATCTGGGTAACACGCAAAGCTCAGCTCAGCACTCCGAAGCTAAGCTTTCAAACACATCATTGAATAGTGACAACCTGATGGTATATGTTCTTGAAACTGAACAATGTAAATGCAAGTGTTGATTATTTGACAGTGCCTTGGGTTCAAAGTGTGTAAAAAAAACTTCGATTTGTTTTACAGTATATTCTGTGAAGAGCTTTGAGACGTCTCAATGATCTGATAAGGCCCTATGTCAAATGTAAGGATTATTATTATTATGGAGACCAGTATGGCTCATTGTTCATTGAAATGCCCCTTTGGTTTTAGTCTGAAACCATTGTCCTAAAATTAGATGCAAAGTCTTTGAATTGTCTCAGTTTGGGACCCAGTTTTCTATCGCTCTTAAAAAATAATATATTTGTGTAAAATTAGAATTTTTGGGTCTCAGAACATTTAAATATTTTTTTCAAAATGAGGTGTGCCAATAGACTGCATATTTAGAATCATAAAACCATAGGAATTTACAGAGGTCATTCGGCCCATTGTCTCTTTGCTGGCTCCCTCAAGAGGAATCCTTTCAATCATCTTTACCTGCTCTTTCTCCTTACCCCTGTAGCTAAATCCTTTTGAGGTGTGCGTGGATCCGACTGTCCAGCACCTTGGGACATCCTCCTGATGTAAAAGGCGCTATACAACTGTAATTTATATACCTCCTCTCCGACCTACTCGCTCCCCAAACCACCACCCAGTGCTTCCGCTCAACTGGCACCAGCCTCCTGTTTGTCCCTCATGCCCACCATTGGAGGTCGCACATTCAGCCACGCCCCAAAACTCAGGAACGTTCTCCCTCAATCCCTCCACCTTGCCCCCTCTCTCCCCTTTTTCAAGTCCCACCTGAAAACCTTCCTTTTCGATCGTGCTTAGTCACCTCCCCTCCCCTTCCCCGGCTCGGAGTCTGAATTCGCCACTGTTTAGCACTCTGAGAAGCTACCCTGTGCGGAGTGTGCTGTATAAGTGCAAGTTGTTGTTGTTGTAATTTGTTGTTTTGTTGTTTAATTCTCTCTTGAAGCCAAAATGGATTTTCATCAAGCACTGCGATTGCCAGGTATTCCATAACTAAATAGTAAGCTGAAAAAAATTCTTCTATCCTCATTTGCTTGTTTACTAACTTAAATTGATGCCCTCTAGTTGCTGTGTTTAAATCAAAAAGGAGTGACTCTCACCCCGATAAATTGTAGGTCTTTTTCCAGAGCAATGTAATAATTTAGAAAATACAGACATTTTTTGCCAACAGGTTTGAAACTAAAAGGCACGGCTTAAGGGGTGGTAAATAAATAATAAATTATATAAAGTAAATAAATGATAATAAGTAAATGGAGTTTTAACAAAGGATGTGAATAATTGCTTCTCCGTGAATTAATTATGAGCAGTCATTTATCATTAAATATTATCATTAAATGTTCAATGAGTGTTTGTCGCTAGGATTCAGTAGTTTATTTGGAAACTGGAGTTTATTCAACAAGTTTTGTCGCATGTTGACACTCACCTCTAACTGAGCTAAGTGTTATCTTACAGCAACAGCTATGTGCTGCTATGCTATTACAACTAGGGTGGAGTCTTTGCTGCATCAAGCTTGAAGTAATTACGCAGTCCTGGGGTCGCTCTTCCAACTTACAAAAATAAGATGCTGGAAACCTGAAATAAAAAAAAGAAGTCGCTGGGAACAAACAACAGGTCAGGCAGCATCTACGGAGAGAGGAAAATGAATTAACCGTTCAGCTTGACAACCTTTTGTTACAACTTTCAACTTGCTCACTGGTCAAGGGAATCCAGTCCGACCATCACCAATTTCACTGCTAAACTGAGTCCAATCTATTGCCACCTCATGGCTTGCAGAGAATTACTCCTACGTCCTAACAGCTGACTATCTATCATACGTACCTAGTCACGCACATCAGCAGCTCACTCTCCTTAGTGCACCTGTACCTAACATACCACCAGCCACTCCTCTTAGAGAATCTACATCTATGTCAACACCACCAAACTCCCTTAGGGCACAAGATTTAGCTCATTGTCATGCTACTCATTTGAAGGGCATTCGTTCCTACACATCAACAGTCCCAGCTTGAAAAACCACCTTGCTTGGCAAGTATTCTGAATCTGAAGTGAGTTTAGTGACTATGCAAATTCGGGATTCATTACTTGACTATATCCTTACAATGTGCAGATTTGACAGCTGCATTTGGATCAGACACAGTGGGATGGATCCCTGCGCTTTGATGCCAGGTTCCTTTGTCTGTGATTCAATGAAGTTTGAGATAATAATAATCCTTGCATTTGGCATAGTGCCTTATCACGTTGGAAGGAGATCTCAAAGTACTTTGCAGGAATTACTGTGAAATGGAGACTGTGTATTTGTAGGTAATTGCGACAGCACAATTGTGCACACAATTCGTCCAACGTCATTTGATGGACAAATGCAATCTGGGGCTTACTTCAGAGAAAATTTAGAAAGTAGCCAGTACATTCCATGAGGAAGAGCCTGCACCGGAGTCACTGAAACAAGGAGACATTAAGCTGCTCAGCCTCTAGGTGGCAGCACAACACCAACAACACTGACCATAAGCCAATATTATAATAATAATCCTTGCATTTGATATAGCGCTTTTCACGTCGAGAGGACGTCCCAATGCGCTTTACGGAACACACTAAAGTGAATGGACTGTATATTTATGGGCGAACGCGGCAGCCAATTGCGCACAGCAATGTCCCACAAACAGTCATATGGATTGAAAATAACCAATTTATTATTGTTTTTAGTTTTGGAGGGACTATTATTAGGCTCTGTGTGGAGTAAGGAAACTTGCCCGAGGTTTCGCCCTCTGCCTGGAATTGAACTCAGGTCTCTCACTTACAAAGCGAGTGCTCTAACCACTGAGCTACAGGACTCCACCTATTGACCTAATTGGGCATTTCAAATCCAAAACACCCAATTATTTATGCATATTTTATCACTAGCTTTCTTATAGGCCAGTTCAAAACTAAACTGGATTCCAATAAAGTAGGATTTCAGTTTCAAAAGACATTTACGCCTTTTGCACTACCCATGAGATATGCAAAACTCCCATTAGATGGTACCAGAAAGGGTCTGGCTCAGGAGCAAATTTTTAGTCCCAAATACCATATTGTTGCAGAGTTCACAATGAACAACTCAAGCGTCTCTGGAATTCCAGAGACTACTTTGTCTTTAAAACTAAAATTTGAATAAACACAATCTTATATATTCTACTTATATGATTTGCTACCATGGATGCTGCTGGAAATGTGGAAGGCCATCATTATTAGACTTTACATGTTAATTCCTTCTGCTCTCATACTATGTTCCTAGGCGTTGAGGGTTCCCGGGAACACTATCCTGCCTCTATTCCTGACAGACCTCCAAAAGCCAAACTTCTAACGTATGGATATAGACAGAAAAGTGGTGTAGTGCAGTCTGATGGAAGTTTACTGGAGTTCTATAAATTTAGCATTGTAAAAGATTTGTTTTTTTACACAGAGAATTAAGACCTGTTGATGCCCGACCAAAAATATTGGTTGAAACAGAATCCACAATAGCTTTTAAAAGGGATTCAGGCAAATATTGGAAAACAAAATCTATGAAGGTAAATAGATAACAATAATCCTTGCGTTTGATATGACTTTCATTTTGTAGTTGAATCGCCCTTTCAGAGCCAGCAGTCACAATGGGCCAAATTGTTTCCTGTCCTGTAAAATTAATATAATGAAGGCTGGTGATGGGCCAGTTTCAAACCTAGATATTCACAATGCCAAGACTGAACATCATTGAAGGGTGTTCATTTTGTACAAGTCTATAGACATATTTAGTACATAAAAACTATAACACTGGTCTAGAAACTTTGCAAAGCACGCTTGAAATTCATCCTTTATTTTCCTCTCTGATTTCTCAAGCTTTCATTATTGCTCTTGGAATGTTATTGAAGTTCTTAGTGATGTTCATCAGTATTTCTCTTGATGCTTCATTCAGCTATTTGTCAAATGTTTGAAACATGCTGGGTGTGAAGCATGAAATCTTTGTAGCTCCTTCCTTGCAATGATTATCATCAATTTACATCAGCAAATAAATTGTCCTAAGTTCTGCCAACAAACGTATTTCAGGAAACTTCCAGTTTTATTTATAACTAAGATGACTTTATAATAATAATCCTTGCATTTGATATAGTGCTTTTCACGTCTTCTAGACATCTCAAAGTGCTTCAGAGACTGTAAAGTGAATTGACTGCATATTTGTGTGCGAAATGCGGCAGCCAATTGAACACAGCAGTGTCCCACAGTCATGGATTGAAACGACCAATTAATTATTGTTTTTTTTTTGAGGGATTATTATCAGGCGTGTGGAGTAAGAAACTTGCCCAAGATTCCACCCTGCCGGGAATTGAACCCAGATCTCACGCTTGCAAAGCGAGTGCTCTAACCACTGAGCTACAGGACTCCACAATTGATATTTTATTGGTACACAATTCATTTCAAAAATATAATTTCTGGTTCAGTCTTATTCGTCTATTACAATACCTCTAAATATGGATTTAATAATAATCCTTCCACTTGATGTAGCGCCTTTCACGTCTAGTGGGTACCACAAAAGATATACTGTAAAGTGTAATGATTGTGTAATTTGTAGGTGAACGTGGCAGCCAATTTGCACACTCAATGACCGACAAACAGCCAAAGGAGTGAATGACCAATTTTAATTGGGGGTTGCTGGCAATCTGAAATAAAAACAGAAGCTGCTAGGAACGCTCAGCAGGTCAGGCAGCATCTATGGAGAAAGGAAAGTGAGTTAATACTAACAATCCTTGCATTTGATATAGCGCGGCTTTGAAAGTGCTTCACAGAACATACTGTAAAGTGAACTGAGATTTTTGTGGGCAAAATGTGGCAGCCAATTGCACCAGTAATGTCCCACAAATAGTCGTGGATTGAAGTGACCAAATTATTATTGTTTTTTTTAAAAAAGGGATTACTACCCCTGGAAAAGGGATCCACCAATCGACTAATAACCGGGTTCCTACTCACTGCCGGGTAAACAGACGCGTGTGAAGGAAACTTGCCCCACATTTCGCCCCACTTGGGAATCAAACCCAAGCCTCTCGCTCCCCAGGGGAGTGCTCCAACCACAACAACATTCCACGTGTATAGCACCTCTCGTGTGGGGAGGACGTCCAAGGTGCTGGACAGGCAGTTGCGGACCCGAGCTGCGGGTCGGGGGGGTGGGGGGGGGAGCAGGGAGATTGAAAGCACAGTCGAAGGAGGGTCTTGAGGTGGGTCTTGAAGGTGACGAGGGAGGGGGCGAGATGGAGGGATTGCGGGAGTTCCAGAGGGTGGGGGCAGAGTGGCGGAAGGCCCGCCGGAGCCCAGCTGAGCGGGGGGGGGGGAACACAGGGTGTAGGGGGTTAGGAGGTCGGAGAGGGTGGGGGCGCGGGGGGGAGCGAGGCCATGGAGGGCTTTGAAGGTGAGGCCCAGGGTCTGGAACTGTATCCTCTGTGTGACGGGAAGCCAATGGAGTCGGGGCGAAGGTGGACAAACACAAACCCATACACTGTAGACTGACTGCCTGACCTGCCCCACCACTGTCACCGCGGTGTCCTTGCGTGAGAGGACGCTCCAGCAATGCGTTGTGTGTGTGTGTGGACACAGACCACGCCCTCCCTCCCTCCCTCCCGCCAGCGGCGACCTCCTGCCCACAGCTGCTCCCCGCGCGCTCTGAGCCTAACGGTCGGCGTCTCGCACCCTATTAGCTCTGCCCACGACGCCCACCCGCGAGCTCCCAACGGTTAAAAGAGGACCCACAAGAAGCAGCCGGTCCGCTGAGCGCCTTATATTTCCAGGGTGGGAGGTAAGGGAGACGCCCATCGGTGAGGTAAAATAACGTTTGTTTTGGGGGTGGTGGTGGTGTGGAGGGGAAGTGGAAGGATTTTTTTTCTCTTCCCTTGTATTCTGAAATAAACAAGGGAGAGGGTTGCGTGATTGTCGTTGTTTTTTTTTCTCAGGCGGTCTTTTGCCAGCTTTGTTGTTGTTATCGTCTCTCCCCCCCCCCCGTGCGCGCGGGTGGGGGCTTGCAGGGGCGCCAGGCGCGCGGGGGTTGATGGGGCCGCTGCAGTATGTGGCTGTGGAGGAGCCGCCGCCGCCGCCTCGTGGGAAGGACAGCGAGTTCCTAGTGGTGCCGCCGCCGGGCCTGACGGAGCAGGGAAGCGGGAAGAACGCCGACATGTTCCGAAACGAACGGACGAGGTTCATCGTCTGCTTCCTGGGAGTCTTCGTCTGTTACTTTTATTACGGCATCCTGCAGGAGACCATGTACGTGCTGAGGCTCCGGCCTCCCGTGTGTCTGTGTGTGCTGCTGTCCAGATTTGCCAGAGATCAAGATACACCTGTGGCTTAAAGTCCACCAAACACTCGTCCACAAAAGTAACCCGGTATTATGCATCGCCTCCTATGTGTGAGCAGCCGAGTGGCCCCGTTTAAATTAATAATAATCCTTGCATTTGATTTAGCGTCTTATTGGATTGCTGAGAAATCTCAAAGCGCTTCACAGAATGTACTGTAAAGTTAATTGACTGTATTTTGCTGGTGAAGTGCGGCAGCCGAGTGTGCACCGCAGCGTCCCACAAACGGTTGTAGATTGAGTGGACCAAATTAGGGTTTTTGCATCCATGTATTTGGACAATTATGGAACTAACTTGGTCAACAATATCACATTTGTCCCAACTACGGACTTCCCACGACTTACTAAAAGTGAGCTTGATTCCTGCAGTAAACGTGCACTCTGGCAAGAGGCATGGATGACAATACTGCTGAAGTTAATTTTACCCCAGATCTTATTTTTAAAAGCAACTGAAAGTATTATTAAAATAAAAGATTTGCAACTGGGTTTCATCTCTGCAACCAAAATTTCATAGAAAGTGCCATGTGTCTAGACACAACGATTCCAACTAATAATTAAAACAATGCGGGCAAGACTGTATGATTATATTAAAATGCAGGGGGCGATGAGAATGTGGACCTAACTGCCGGAGGCTGTGGTTGTAACAAAAAAAATGTATTTAAGTAGACACATGAGGGGATATAGGAGATTTAAGAGATTGCTGTGAAGTATAAACAACGACACGGACGGACAAGTTGGCAGAATGGTCTGGTTCCATGCCATATCACTATATGATAATACTTGCATTTGATAGAGTGCCTTATAACACAACAGTTTGCATTTATATAGCAACCTTCATGTAGAATTGTGTCTCGGAGCACTGAATCACATCATCGAGATATCTTGAGTGCTTCACAGAATTTACTGTAATGTGGGATGACCCTGCATTTGTAGGTGAACACAGCAGCCAATTTGTGTACAGCAATATCTTACGAACAGCTGTGAAGTGAGTGACCACTTTTATCTGGTGTCAACCTGGCTCAGTAGGTAGCATTCACATCTCTGAGTTAGGTGGTTGTGGGTTCAAGCCCCACGTTGTGACTTGGAACGCATATGGTCTAAGCTGGCACTCCAATGCAGTGCTTGGACCTTGGATTGTTCCACTCTCCCTGGAAAACCTAGGGACACTTGAGGATAATTGTAGGTTTGCCTAAAAATAATCACTTACACTTCACAGAAACTTTATGAAGTGTACTGAGATGTTCTTGATGTTCTAGATGCTTCAGCAAATGCAAGGATTATTAGATATCCCCACCATTTGGCCAGTAAACATAAAATAATTACAGTACAGGGATTGCATCTAGGATTCTTGATCTATATGGCTGAGTACTGACAAACTGGAAATTCATCCTCTAATATCTAATTTTAATGTGTAGCTTAACTCTAAATGTTACGCTTTCTCTAGAAAACTCAATGAAGTTAATTCCTAGGAAGTTGCTTTGTTCTTTAAAACCATGGCAACTTCTATTCCTATGAGTATGTTGAATGCAACTCAAATATTTGGAACAAATGTAGGAATAAGCATTAAACACTTGGATTCATATGATCTTTTATTTATCTTTAGGCGTTTGATGGCTAACTGATTACTGGAAATAGTTGTTAATTTCACTGTTTACTTTAGGCTTTATTGAGAAATAAATGTCTCCTTTTACAGAACCAGAGGCAAATATGGGGAGAAGCAAGAAAAGTTTTCATATGCAACAACACTTGTGTTCGTCCAGTGCATCATTAATGCAATCTTTGCTAAACTAAGTAAGTTATGTGTGTGTGTGTATATATTTTATACACACAGAACCGATGTACACACTATAATTTTATTATAATTTTTGAATGGTGGATCTCAAGTCTTATAATTGTTTCCATATCCTGAACTTATAGACATTTTAATGAGAGGTGAAACACTAGAACATGGTCAAAATATCTTGAAAACTAAAGCCACCCTTGAGATTTACGACTGTTATATGTTTGCCGCGAAAGAGCCACAATTATTAGGGTTGGTATTTCACAAAGTTTGCTGATTACTGATCTCCCTGAAAAAAACCCCATCAATATTAGAGAGACAAAAGAAAAGCATTCAGTGCTCCACAGCATTGAAATGCATTTAACAACTCACTGTTGTTAATACCAGGATCTTTGGGGTGATGACTGTCCGGAGTTTTTTTCAGATGGCTCGATTATGTATGTACAAGAACCATCAAAGTTGGTTTGTCATTATAGTACCATACTCTGCCAACCTATATCTGTCATCTTTGTCTCTGACAATTCTCTCTCTTCTCTTAACACATTTGCAGGATGTCTTATTATTGTATCTAAAATGTTTGCATGTGTTGTGTTCTAGTTATCTATGTCTTTGAAAAGCCTTCACCTGAAAGAACACCATACTGGTTATATGCAGCTTGTTCGATGTCTTATTTAGGAGCCATGGTGTCTAGTAATTCTGCACTTCAATATGTCAGCTACCCAACACAGGTCAGTATTAGACATTGCTTTATTTTTAAATTTAACTTCTAATGCTCACCTCTTAATGTACCACATTTAGTTGTGGGGTAATCAGAAATATACCTTTGCATCCTCTGCTATAGAAATGTAATTTTGTTGTAGTTGCATCTGCAATACAATGCAGATTTACATTTATATTGCTTTTCAACTACTGAATCTATCGTGATCACTTTTTGGGTTGGGTCATTATTTAAGTATCAAAAAGATTTGTTTAAAGCATTGTGCTCAAGTTCATTCTATCTTTGGTGAAGGTAAGAGCCAGGAAAAAAATATGTAAAGCATCCCTTTTTAGAAAAATAATGCCGAGTGAAGTTTGGAGGGAAATTTGGGCAAGTTGCAAACAAGTTTTTTTTTTAGCAGTATCTTTTAAGGAGACATGAATGATTGGTCTTCACAGACTGAATGTTTTTCTTAACTCGTACTGGCCAACAATACCCCAGATAAAATTAGTCATTCACCTCATGGTTGTTTGTGGGTGATTGCCACGTGCAAATTGGCTCCCAAGTTCACCTATGAAGTACACAGTCAATACTTTACAGTAAATGTTGTGGAGTACTTTGAGACTTCTTTCTGACATGAAAGGGAGTATATAAAATGCAAGGTATTTTATATAGTATTTATGTATTCTATCACTGATGATTTATTCTTTATTCTCGTGATTTCCCAACTGATGTCCTAACCCTGACCTCCTAACCCCCTATTAATCCCTGTTCGCTCCCTCCGCTCAGCCGGCTCTGGCCTGCTTCGTGTTCCCCGCCTTGCTCGCCCCACTGTTGGTGGGCGGGCCTTCCGCCACTCTGCACCCACCCTCTGGAACTCCGCCCCGCAGTCCCTCCACCTCGCCCCCTCCCTTGCCACCTTCAAGTCCCACCTCAAGACCCTCCTCTTCAACCGTGCTTTCGATCTCCCTGCTTCCACCCTGTCCTCCACAACCCCCCCAAACCCAACCCCTAGTTCGGGTCCGTAACTCTGTCCAGCACCTTGGGACGTCCTCCCGACATGAAAGGCACTATACAAATATAATGTTGTTGATGACAATGTTCTTCCATTCCAGGTTCTGGGAAAATCATGTAAACCTATTCCAGGTGAGTTGAAATGGTTTGGTTTAAAAATAATATGTCGAAATAACTTCAAGCTTTGAAACCAGACTCCTGATGGCCTAATAAAGTAAAGTTGCAAAAGGTCAAAAAGCCCAGAAGTTGGCACCCGTTTCCTGAAATTGCTGATCTGCTCGAGTCCTGACCCAGCGCCTTGGGACGTCCTCCCGACGCGAAAGGCACTCTATAAATGGAATCTTGTTGTTGTGATCTGTTACTACAATTCACATAGAGTGTACTACAGAGGTTGATTTTAAGTGAGGACTGAATTGGGCACAGCTGTAACATCCTTGAACAGGATGTGGTATTGGAGGGTGCCAAATACAGGCAGAAGGGAGGGGAAGGAGTCAAATATGTTGGGGTGGGAGCAAATTGTATGAGGAAATTACGATACAAGTGTTCCATGTAGCTTCCATCTAACAGTGTTCCAACTAGTTCCTATAAATAGAACGCTGAATGTCACTGTTTATTTATAAATCTCCTATATGGCATTACCACATCAACAAAATGCTACATACTGTTCATGAAACATGCTAGTACTTTACCGGAGTTGAATATTATCAATCCAGTGAATTTTTGACTCCAAATTTTGGATTCTTGAAAATTATTTCTATAATAATAATCCTTGCATTCGATATAACGCTTTTCACGCCTTCTAGATGTTTCAAACTTCTAGCACGGTTTCAGGATGCTGGGTGCAGCTAGGCTGATAAACTTTACGAAGAGTCTCTTTTTGTGCATTTACCAAGCCACAAACTGAGAGTGAGTGCAAACGTAATTGTAGACTAGATTCTAAAGTGAGTCTGAAATCCTGAAAAAAGATTGTTTACATTTTGCGTTATTTTAGTGCTTAAAATCTTATTTTGGCTTTTAATTAGAAGTAAGTCGTGAAAAAGTTTCTCCTACATACACGCAAATTGCAGGTTACTAGCTTTTGTTTACACTGTCTTTTGGAAACTGGAATAATATACATTCCTTATGTAATTTACTCTCTGAACAAAACTACAGTGTTACAATTCCAGATTTGGAACAACCTCTGTTTTTCAATGGTTTGCCACCAGTCTCTGTGGGTAAAACTAGTCAAAACAGGCTTTCCAAGGCTTTCATAACTGGATGGTTTGTTTCTTTTAGGATACTCCTGTTAGTGTCACACTGTTGTAGCTTTCAGTTGATTTGGCAGTGAAGCCTGTTCTTGTCCAGGTGAAGTGGCTCTGTTGGGAGGCAGGCAAATTCCATAATTAGGAGACAAACAGCTTTTTGTTTTGGTTATTGCAGCTCTGAATCCCAAATGATGTGTATGGTGTGTTATAGTTAGGATACTAAAGATGCCTGCTGAAGAACTATATGTCCATGAACTTTATTTGTGAATAAATATGTATCGTACATTAAATTCCTACAGCAGTGTTAATACCATTTTTGTTTATACCATATTCTGTATTTCGTGTGGATATTGAGTGAGGACAGGGTTTGGTTTGCTGTGATGCCTGCTCTTCCTACCCTCCCCCGCAGTAGCCTGTCAACATTTGCTGTCAATAATAATTCTTGCATTTGATACAGCGTCTTATCACGTCTTTCAGACATCTTCACAGGATATACTGTAAAGTGTCGTGAATGTGCATTTTGTGGGCAAAACAGGCAGCCAATTGCGCACAGCAGTATCCCACACACAGTCGTGGATTGACTCGCACACGAACATGAATAATTTTCAGAAAGTATCTCCCAACTTTGTGAAAAAGAGCAATCTTATGAAAAACTTTGAATATCGTTTCTATAAGTTCACAGTTGGTAATGCCGAACCTGGAATTAACAAGTAATGAATTACAGTTTCTTAACAAAACTGTCGTAATAAAATCATAATCATTTGCTGTATTGTACCTCAAGCGTAGTTATAATCTGGTTGCAAACTAATCTTGGGCTCGGGTGATATCTATTGTATTTCTTTTGACTTGCTGGGTTATATGTGCTACAGATTTTCTAATTCTTTCTTTGGTGTTTTTAATCACAGTGATGATATTGGGCGTCACTATTGGAAAGAAAAGGTATCCGTTGGCAAAGTACCTGTGTGTGCTGCTCATTGTTATTGGTGTGGCATTATTTATGTACAAACCCCAAAAGGGGACTGGAGAAACAGAGCACCACTCCATTGGGTTTGGGGAATTCTTACTTGTAAGTATTTGTTCTCTTATATTTTAGCGTGTGACAGCAAGTGATTCCATTATCCATTACACAAATTTTCTTAAATTCTTGCATTTACTTGAGAACCATAGAATCAGAATTGTACAGCACAAAAAGAGGCTATTCGGCCCATCGAGTCTGTCTTTGAGAAGAGCAATGTAATGTCAATCCCACTCCCCAGCCCTTTCCCCATATTCCTGCAGACCCTTCCTCCTCAAATATCCATCGACCGCGTTTTTAAAAGTAGTTATCGAATCGGCCTCGACCGCCCTTTCAGGCAATGTGTTCCAGATTCGAACAACTCGCTGAGTGAAAAAAATTCTTCTCACCTCCCCTCTGCTTCTTTTAGATACTATTTTGAATCTGTGACCTCGAGTCACCGACACACTCACCAGTGGAAACAGTTTTTCCCTTTCTAACCTATCAAATCCCCTCATGATTTTGAAGACCTCTATTAGGTCTCCTCGTAACCTTCTCTGCTCCAATGAGAATAATCCTCGCCTCTCTCGCCTTTCCTCATAATCAAGGTCCCTCATTCCTGGTACCATCCTCGTAAATCTCCTCTGCACCCTTTCCAATGCCTTAACATCCTTCCTCTAGTGTGGTGCCCAGAACTGGGCGCAGTATTCTAACTGAGTGTTTTATATCGGTTAATCATGACCTCCTGACTCTTGTACTCTATGCCCCTATTTATAAAGCTTAGTATCCTATATGCCCTTTTTACAGCTTTACCTGTCCTGCCACCTTCAAGGATTCACTTGCCTGCACCCCCAGGTCTCTCTGTTCTTTTACCCCCCCTAAAGATTGTATTACCACCTATATTGCCTCCTCCTCAACAACAACAAGATTCCATTTATAAAGCGCCTTTCACGTCAGGAGGACGTCCCAAGGCGCTGCACAGTTGGGTCATGACCCGAGCAGGGGGCAAATGGTCAGAGTGAGGGGAGGGAAGGGAGGGAGCGAGCAGGGGGGAAATGGTCAGGGTAAGGGGAGGGAAGGGAGGGAGCAAGGAGGGGGGAAATGGTCAGGGTGAGGGGAGGGAAGGGAGGGAGCGAGGAGGGGGAAGAGAGTCGAGAGGGGAGCTGAAGGCACGGTCAAAGAGAAAGGTTTTGAGACCGGCCTTGAAGGAGGAAAGGGAAGAAGCAAGGCGAAGGCACTGGGGGATGGAGTTCCAGAGCCTCGGGGCTGAGAGGCTGAAGGCCCGACCACCGATGGTAGGGCGGTTAGGGCGGGGGACGTGGAGCAGACCGGAGCCAGAGGAACGGAGGGTACGGGCAGGTAGGTAGGGGGATAGTAGGTTGGAGAGGTAGGAGGGAGCAAGGCCGTGGATGGCCTTGTAGGTGAGGATGAGGATCTTGAAATCAATCCTCTGGGGGATAGGGAGCCAGTGAGGGCGAGGGTGGGAGTGATGTGGTCCCGAAGCCTGGTGCGGGACAGTACACGAGCTGCAGAGTTCTGAATGACCTGCAGTGTGGAGGGAGGTGGCGGGAAGGCCGGCGAGTAGAGAGTTCCCATAGTCCAGCCTTGAGGTGACAAAGGCGTGGACCAGGGTTTCAGCAGCGTGAGGGGTGAGGTAGTGCCGTAGTCTGGCGATGTTCCGGAGGTGATGGAAGGCGGTGCCAGTTGTGGTGCGGATGTGAGGGAGAAAGGACAGCTCAGGGTCGAACAGAACCCCGAGGTTCCTGACTGGCTTTGAGAGGTGGAGAGTGCAGCCTTGGATGCTGATGGTGTCAGCGCCTGAGGTGCGGAGGCGCTGACGTGAGCCAATCAGGAGGGCCTCGGTTTTTCGCACGTTGAGCTGAAGAAAGTTGTCTCTCGTCCAGGACTCGATGTCGGACAGGCAGCTGTCAGGACATCGGTGGTCGTGGAGTTGAGAGTAGAGGAGGAAAGGTAGAGTTGGGTGTCATCCGCATACATGTGGAAGTTAACTCCATGTCTGCGGATGATGTCACCGAGGGGGAGCATATGGAGGGTGAAGAGGAGGGGACTGAGGACACAGCCCTGAGGGACACCACATGAGACAGTGCGGGGGGTGGAGGAGAAGCCATTCGTCGAGACAAAGTGAAGACGGTGAGAAAGGTACGACCTAAACCATTCAAGGACAGTGCCTTGAAGGTCCTCTCATTATTTCTACCAAAATTCATTACCTCGCATTTCTCCACATTGAAACTCATCTGCCATGTGTCTGCCCATTTTACCATTCTGTCTATGTCTTCCTGCAATTGGCTCCTATTCTTCTCACTGTTTACCACTTAACTTTGTGTCGTCCACAAACTTGGAAATGGTACTTGCTATACCCAAGTCCAGATCATTTATATTAAGAAGAGCAGTGGTCCTAATACCGATCCCTGGGGGACGCCACTGTACACTTCCCTCCAGTCAGAAAAGCAGCCGTTGACCACAACTCTCTGCTTTCTGTCTCCCAGACAGTTCTGGATCCGCTGCCACTGTCCCTTTTACACCATGGGCTTCTATCTTTCTTACAAGTCTTTCATGTGGCACTTTGTCAAATGCCTTTTGAAAGTCCATGTAAACTACATCAACTGCACTACCTTTATCCACCCTCTCCGTTACCTCATCGAAAAATTCTAATAGATTTGTTAGACAAGATCTGCCTTTAACAAATCCGTGCTGTTTGCCCCTAATTAACCCATATTCTTCTAAGTGAAGATTTATTCTGTCCCGGATTATAGTCTCCAGGAGTTTCCCCACTACTGATGTTAGGCTGACTGGCCTGTAGTTCCCAGGTTTGTCCTTCTGTCTCTTTTGTACAGGGCAGTCACATTGTCCACTCTCCAGTCCTCTGGCACCACTCCTGTGTCCAACGAAGATTGAAAAATTGTAGCCAAAGCCTCCGCTATTTGTACCCGTGCCTCCCATAGTAACCTTGGCTGCATCCCCTCCAGACCGGGCGACGTATCTAACTTCAGCGCAGTCAACTTTTTCAGTACTTCCTCTCTGTTTATACTTAACCTATCCATTTCCTCTGCCCTCTCCTCCAATCCTGCGGCATTTGGTGCATCCACTTCTTTTGTGAAGACAGATGCAAAGTACTCATTCAGCACATCAGCCATGCCCTCTGCCTCTACAATAAGATTTTCCCCTTGGTTCTTAATTGGTCTCACCCTACCTTTGACTAAGCTTTTTTTTCTTGATGTGTTTGTAAAATATTTTAGAATTCCCTTTAATGTTAACTTTTTTTGTATAATCTTTTTGCCGCTCTTATTTCTTTTTTCAAACCTCTTCTGCACTTCCTATATTCTATTTGGTTGTCTTCTGTGTCTTGGGTTTGACATTTGTCATATGCCTCCTTTTTCTGCTTCATTCTAGATACAGTTACCTTCGTCATCAAGGGACGTTTGGATGCCCTACATTTCCCTTTTGTGGGAATGTATTTATTCTGTCCCCGAGCTATCTCATCCTTGAAGACTTCCCACTGCTCTTGAGTTGTTTTACCTGCCACTCTTTCTTTCCAGTCCACCTTGGTCCCTTTTTAACTCACTGAAATTTGCCCTCTTCCAGTTGAGTATCTTCACCTTAGATGGTTCCTTGTCTCTTTCCATATGCACTCTGAATCTAATGATATTATGATCACTATTGCCCAGATGCTCTCCCACTGAAACCTGCTCCATTTGTCCTACTTCATTCCCCAGAACTAGATCTAGCACTGCTTCTTTTCTTGTTGGACTGGAAACCATGTTCATGAACTTTATTGCGAATGAATGTGTATGGTGCGTTAAATTCTTACAGGATTAGTAACATCAGCTATTACCATTTTTTGTTTCATACCATATTTTGGGGTTGTCTTGCGCTTGTATTTTATTTAATACGGGTTTCTTGATCTAAAAATCCATTGGAATATATTGGCTGAGTTTTAATTCCCTCTCCTATTTGGTCTCTGTTGCTCTGCTTGCCACCAGCTGTGTCCAGATGGCCTGTTCAGCAGTCGCTCATTCTTATTTGAATCTATTGCTGGTTTGAACTCCCAGCTGTCATTGGGGAAATTAAATTTGTTTTCCAACAAGATTTATTTATTAAAAAAAACTTTTGCCTGGATTATTTAGGCTGTGTATTAAAAGTGCTCCATGACGCTACCCTGCAAGTTAAATGCAAGTCATTGTTGTAAAATACCTTTAACAAAAGCCGGGATAAGAATACAGGTAGCTTTAGTGACATTAATGTACTTCCTTCAAGAGGGGGGATGTGGGAAGTTTTGGGATTTGTTAGTACGCTGTACTTTTTCTCCCTTGAAACACAAGTTAGATTGTTGAAAAATGTGGTTCGGCTGCTGATCCTATTACTTACTTACCCAAGTATCTTATATTCAACACTTTGTATTAATGTACTTGGCAAATATTACCTCATTTTTCAGTTGCTGTCTTTGACGCTGGATGGATTAACTGGAGTATCACAAGATAATATGAGAGCAAACTTCCAGACTGGTGCAAACAGGATGATGCTGAATGTAAACCTTTGGTCCAGTTTATTTTTGGGAATAGGTAAGAATGTTGCAGTCATAATAAGAACATGAGAAATGCTAGACGAACAAAGACCAAGGTCAATCGAGATGCCCTTCCACCTTCCTGGCCATCATGTGCACAACAACAACTTGGATTTATATAGCGCCCTCCACGCCAGATGGCATCTCAGAGCGCTTCACAGTAACGGATCCCGGGGCTGAGCCATGCACATATGTCATATACACATATGTTCATATGTCCCGAACTACTATATCCTGAATGTACTATATCCCATAAAGTTATTTCCTAAAAGAAAACAATCTAATCTGTGTTTGATGGAATCAACACTTCCTGCTTCATCTGTCTCCCTAGGAAGCCTGTTCCACAAGTTTACTATTCACTATACCATAATGTGACCTTAAAGTTTTCCCAGCAAAACAGAGTTTTCAGTAACTTTTGCAGAGGTGGTTTACAGAACAGATATTTTTTATGGCTGAGGTGTATTAAGCAACTGTAATGATCTCAGGTTCATTTTGATGAAGAAAACAGTTTAATTCTAGTGGTGATGTGCTAATTGAAGTATCTCTGAGAAGAAAATATATTTTCATGGCTCTTACTGGTAGATTCAAAACTCTGCCGCCCGCATTCTCACCCACACGAAACTCCGCTCCCGATCACCCCAGTCCTTGCTAGACTGCACTGGCTGCCTATCCCACAGAGGATCGATTTCAAGATCCTCACCCTTGTATTCAAGTCCCTGCACTCCTCTGCACCTCCTGACCTCTCTCCTCAAAGCAGTACCCGTTGCCTTCGTTTCTCCGGGTCTGGCCTCCTCCTCGTCCCCCGAAACCTCCGCTCCACCCTCAGTGGCCGTTGCCTTCAGCCACTATGCCCCGTGGCTCTACTGCCTTCCTCACTCCCTTCGTCTCGCTCCCTCCTTTCCCATTTTAAGGTCTCTGCTGAAGACCTTTCTTTTCGACCGTGCTCTCTCCTCTCTCTCTGTCCCTCTCGCCTTCTATCCCCACTTGACCCTCCCACAACCTCCCTCTGCTCCAGCCTGGGAATCCTCCGCCGGGCTCACCGCGGCACTCGGCGTTGGCTGTCCAGCAGCAGCCACACCGACTGCCCCATTCCCCACCACACTCGCCAGCCACCCCGGACACAGACCCGGGGAGCCAACATCTCCTCCCTTACCCCCATTTCCCCCACCCACCCCTGCCTCACAACCTGGACCCCCCTCCCTCCCCACACACCCCTCTGTCAACCGCTCCATCTACATCGGACGACAAAATGTCCGCTCCCTCTGTAACAAGGCCCTGGTCATCAACGATCTCATCCTTGATGAGAACGTTGATATCATGGCCTTAACGGAAACCTGGCTCACCCCAGACGACACCTTCCCCCTCACGGAGGCCACGCCACCCGGCTACACCTCCCACCACATCCCTCGCCCCAACCGCTGTGGCGGTGGTGTTGCCCTTATCTCAAGGACACCACTTGCCCTATCCCCCTACTCCTCTGGCTCTTTCCCCTCTTTTGAGCACCTCACCCTCTCCCACCCCTCCTTCCTCTCACTTAAAATCCTCCTCCTCTACCGGCCCCCTAAAGACTCTTCCACCTTTATCTCTGATATCTCAACTCACATCTCTCTGTCTCTGCTCTGATCGCCTCATCATTCTGGGCGACTTTAAGCTACACTTCACCCTCTCCTGCTCAATCTCCTCAGACTTCTCTTCCCTGCTCTCCTCGCTCAACCTCTCCCTTCACATCAACTCCCCCACTCACAGTCACGGCCACCCACTCGACTTGGTGATCACCCGGGGCCTCAGTGTCTCGGATGTCACCATCACCGATAAGGCCATCTCCGACCACCACTTCATCTCCTTCACCACCTCCACCCCCCTCCCCACCTCCACCAGACCCACCACCATCTTCTACCGCCCTTGGAAGAAGTTACCCCCTCAATCTCTAACCACTGCCTTGGAGTTCTCTGAACTCCTCTCCCTCTGGCCTTCAACCCTCACCGACCCCTCTTCTGCTCTCACCCTCCTCCACAACACCCTCTCCTCCACACTCGACACTCTTGCCCCCATCACCTCCCATACTGTCTCCTACTCTCGCTCCTCCCCCTGGTTCACCACCCACCTCCGCTCACTGAAGAGCCAGGTGCGGGCCGCTGAACGCACCTGGTCAAATCTGGCCTAACGGTCCACCGACAAATCTGGCTGGACCTCCTCAAAATGTACCGTTCCACTCTAGCCTCGGCCAAATCGTCCTTCTACTCCAGGATAATCCTGGAGGCGAAGGACACCCCAGGCTACTGTTCTCTACCACAACCCAACTCCTCCGTCCCCCCCGCCACCCCGCACAGGTCATCTCCTCCAAGCTTCACTGCGAGGAGATGCTGGATTTCCTTGAATCCAAGATCAAGGGAATCCGCTCCGCGGTCACTTCCCCTCCAACACTCCAACCCCCTTCCCTCCCACACTCCGACTCCTACCCATCCTCCCCTACACACCTTCGTACCCGTTTCCCCACCCTCTGTCACCAAACTCATCCTCTCCCTGAAACCTACCACCTGCTCCCTTGACCCCATCCCCACTCCACTCCTTATCTCCCAGCTCCACCTCCTTGCCCCACATATCACGGACATCGTCAACCTGTCCCTCTCCTCTGGCTCTATTCCCATTCCCTTAAAAACTGCCAACATCACTCCCACCTTAAAAAAACCCTCCCTTGATGCGTCGCAGCTATCAAGCTACCGGCCCATCTCCAACCTCCCCTTCCTATCCAAGGTCCTGGAACGAGTTGTCGCCTCCCAGCTGCGCTCTTTCCTCTCCAACCATTCACTATTCGAACCCCTTCAATCGGGTTTCCGTGCTGCCCATAGCACAGAAACTGCCCTGGTCAAGGTCACCAATGACATCCTGACCATCTGTGACCAGGGCTCCCTCTGCCTCCTCGTCCTCCTCGACCTATCGGCAGCATTCGATACGGTCGACCACGCTATCCTCCTCCATCGCTTGGCCTCCCACCTAAACCTTCAAGGCCCTGTCCTTGAGTGGTTTAGGTCGTACCTCTCCCACCGTCTTCACTTTGTCTCCTCAAATAGTTTTTCTTCCGGCCCCCGCACTGTCTCGTGCGGTGTCCCTCAAGGCTCTGTCCTTGGTCCCCTCCTCTTCACCCTCTATATGCGCCCCCTTTGGTGACATCATCCGCAGACATGGGGTTAACTTCCACCTGTATGCGGATGACACCCAACTCTACCTTTCCTCCTCTACCCTCAACTCCACGACCACCGATGTCCTGACAGCTGCCTGTCCGACATCGAGTCCTGGACGAGAGATAACTTTCTCCAGCTCAACGTACGCAAAACTGAGGCCCTCCTGATTGGCTCACGTCAGCGCCTCCGCACCTCAGGCGCTGACAGCATCAGCATCCAAGGCTGCACTCTCCACCTCTCAAAGCCAGTCAGGAACCTCGGGGTTCTGTTCGACCCTGAGCTGTCCTTTCTCCCCCATATCCGCACCACAACTGGCACCGCCTTCCATCACCTCCGGAATGTTGCCAGTCTACGGCACTACCTCACCCCTCACGCTGCTGAAACCCTGGTTCACGCTTTTATCACCTCAAGGCTGGACTATGGGAACTCTCTCCTCGCCGGCCTTCCCAGCCCTCCCTCCACACTGCAGGTCATTCAGAACTCTGCAGCTCGTGTACTGTCCCGCACCAGGCTTCGGGACAACATCACTCCCACCCTCGCTCGCCTCCACTGGCTCCCCATCCCCCAGAGGATCGAATTCAAGATCCTCACCCTCACCTACAAGGCCATTCACGGCCTTGCTCCCTCCTACCTCTCCGACCTACTATCCCCCTACCTACCCGCCCGTACCCTCCGTTCCTCTGGCTCCGGTCTGCTCCACATCCCCCGCCCCAACTGCCCTATTATCGGTGGCCGGGCCTTCAGCCTCTCAGCCCCGAGGCTCTGGAACTCTATCCCCCAGTGCCTTCGTCTTGCCTCCTCCCTTTCCTCCTTCAAGGCCGGTCTCAAGACCTTTCTCTTTGACCGTGCCTCCAGCTCCCCTCTCGATTCTCTACCCCCTCCTCGCTCCCTCCCTTCCCTCCCCTCACCCTGACCATTTCCCCCTTGCTCGGGTCCTGACCCAACTATACAGCGCCTTGGGACGTCCTCCCGACGTGAAAGGCGCTCAATAAATGTAATGTTGTTTGGTCACCTTCCTCCCCCTCCCCCGGCTCGGTCTGTAAATCTGTTACTGTAAATAATAATAATAATAATCCTTGCATTTGATATAGCGCTTTTCACGTCGGGAGGACGTCCCAAAGCGCTTCACAGAATATACTGTAAAGTGAATTGACTGTATATGTGTGGGCGAATGCGGCAGCCGATTGCGCACAGCAATGTCCCACAAAGAGTCGTAGATTGAAAATGACCAATTTATTATTGTTTTTGTTTTTGGGGGGATTATTATTAGGCTCTGTGGAGTAAGGAAACTTGCCCAAGGTTTCGCTCTGCCTGGAATTGAACTCAGATCTCTCACTTGCAAAGCGAGTGCTCCAACCACTGAGCTACAGGACTCCACTGCTGTAAAGTGCTCTGAGACGCCATCCGGCGTGAAAGGTGCTATATAAATCCAAGTTGTTGTTGTAGATTAAGGATCCACCTGTGAATAGCCTTCACAGCCGTTTCGCTTACAAAAAAATTCACTTTGCAGTATGTTCTGTGAAGCACTTTGAGACGTCTCGAAGATGTGATAAGGCGCTATATCAAATGCAAGTATTATTATCATCATCACCCTGGCTTAGATTTCACAGCAAAACAATGACAATTAAGCTTTTAAATTTGTTTTATTACAGGTAGATTTCCACTGTCCATTCAAATGGATTTTCAGAAGATGAATGCTAATCTGTTCTTAAATAGCTCTATCCCCTTAGGTGCGCTCAAAATTGTCATTTCCATTCCCATGGGCTGCCAGGTGTTTTCAGCTCTGAAACTAACCCTATAGGATTGCAACTGTCCACATCCATTTCATCTGATCCCTTTGACATTTTGTATTTCTGAATAGCAAAACTAATTGCCAAGTAAAAGTCATGCCTTGGAGATTTATTTCATTCTTCTTGCACACATCCTTCACATATAAATGAATAGGCCATTCCCTGAACAACAGAAATCAAGGGATAATGTGTTTTTAAATACTTCTCACTTAAATACTTAATGGTTTACGTGATCTTCCTCCATGAGGCTTTGTTTGGATACTATCAGTAGTTGTTATAATAATAAGCCTTACATTTGATATAGCGCGTTATCACATCAACAAGATATCTCAAAGCATTTCATAGGATATATTGTAAAATAATTTGATTGTATTTTGTGGACAAGACGCACCAGCCAATTGTGTGCAGCATTGTCCCACAAACAGTGGTGGATTTTAGGATTGATTGATTAATTTATATTTTAATTAAGGTTTTCTACTTAATGTAGAGATGTAGCCAAGTTGGGCAAAGGGCTCAAATCATGTCAGGAGATTTCTGCCTTCACAAGACCCATGTCAAACGGTGTAAAACACACTAAATTTTTTGTTCTTTCTGTTACCAGCATTATTCTGTTGGTCATTCTCGCTTTTTTTAAAAAAAGTTGCCGTTTTGCAGTCTTTGCGTGAGGTTGTTAGCTTACTTGATCGTTCGAAAATTATTTCTCCAAACCTTTTGTATTGCTTCAGTCTTTCTTCAGTCTTTCTTCATAGAAGTAAGTCCAGCAATCAGTTTTACGATATTAAAACTCCTGTTAAGGAACATGTGCTTGCTTCATACATCCATAAGAGGGTGCTCAAGTAAGGACTTGTGTATTCTGACTTTTTTCAGTATATTTGGGAGTTCTGAGTCTAAATAGAAAGCTGTGTAGACAAATGCATAGAACCCCATTATAACCACCCTTCAATAGAGTACTGCCTCACTTATTGTGCAGGAGTCCTGCGTCCTCCTGCTAACCAGAAGCCCAGTATCCCCTGCTCTGACTGACTCACTCAGTGGGCAGGTCTCCTGTTGCTTCCCCCTCTCTAACCAGAGGTTTGGTGTCCCGAGCTACCAGCTCTGATTAGCTGAATTCCTGCGCTTAAAAAAAAAACAACAATCAGGTTTCTGTTCATGGCAAAGTTCCTTATGCACAGGAAGTGATGTTAAGAGTGACTTGATCAATAAGTGTCAAGAGTGAAGCTGACCATTGTTTAGCCCTCACAATGTTGTCAGTTAGACTTTGGAACCCACCAATTATATACAGGTCATACACAAGGTTATTCTTGTAACTAGATCCAACTTTTGGTTGAGAATTCAGAATTACTGGTCAGGTGAGGTGTATTGCTGGACATAATTTAACGTTTTGTCAAAACTTGAGTAAATGGCTTCAGTTAAATAATGCTTTTGTTATCATACTGAGTGTCTCAGGTACACTTCACAAAAGTTTACTTGTGAATGCGGTGAAATTGAGCTCTTAAACACAGGTTTTTATTTTACTAGATATACATAACAGAGGGACTGCAGTGTAAAATCTTAAATGTTTCCTTTCATGCACGAGCAGGTTCAGAGAATGTCCTTTAATGGCTTAGGCCAACAAGATCACCTTCAGAATATGTTAGCTCCTCATTTCAAAAAACGGTTGAGGTGGTCTATTTCCACCCTCATGGGGATTGTGGTTTTGTTTCCTTCCACCCAGTTCACCCGTTTTGTCTGTTCAGCAAAATGGGAACATTTACGATGACTGACACAAGCAATCTGGTACTACTATTTTCATATAATTTAGCTTCCAAGGATATTGTTCCTGAATTTTACTGCTTATAGAATGCTTGATGCGCAGAATGCAGCCAATTATTTTCTAGCATTAATTTTATTCTCTCTAAATTTGTCAATTAATTTTTACAATTTTCCATTATACTCCATTAGGAGTAGGCCATTTAGCCCGTCGAACCTGATTCGCCATTTAATTAGATCATGGCTGATCTATATCTTTATGCAAATTTCAAATCAATTTCCCGCTTTTTCCCCGTATCCCTTAATATCCCGACCTACCAAAAATCTGTCAATCTTTCTTGAAGGTGTGGATGGATCCAGCATCCATGACCTTTTGGGGGAGAGAGTTCCAGATTTCTACCACCCTTTGAGTGGAAAAAATGCTTCCTAATTTCACTCTTAAATGGTCTGGTTCTAATTTTAAGCTTATGCCCCCTTGTTTTGCATTCCCCCAACATAGGAAATAACTTTATCATCCTAAAAACCTCTTATCAAATCACTCCTCAATCTTCTAAACTCGAGGGAATACAATCCAAATTTACGCAGCCTTTCTTCGTAACAACCCTTTTTGGCCTGGTAACATTCTGGTGAACCTGCGCTGCAACCCTCCAACACCAACATAACTTTCCTGTGGTATGGTGTCCAAAATTGAACTCTCACAACCACATTTCTTTTTGCTTCCCCCCCACATGTCTGGCCTCCTGCACAGAGTCCAGTTTTCCCACCGTTTGCAGGCTTTCATGTCAACGCAGGTTGCAAGTACCTCATACCTGTTGGACAAGGTTAAAGCCCAAGGCTCCATCACCACTCTCAGGGTTCCCGTTACCTGCCGGACTAACAGTCATACTATCCTGTCCCTGACCATTAACAAGATCTATGTATTTACTGAGCCTCAGGGGAGTGACCGCTTCCTCAATCAGACTACCAGGAAGTTCTCGTTCTCCCTGATGAGCACAGTGTCTGCACCTCAAATTCCAGCTCATCGACTCTAAGCTGGATCTTCCTCAGTTGCAGACACTTGCTGCAGATGAAGTAGCCTGGGCTCAGGCTGTCCTCCATCAACTCCCAATTATTGAGGTCCTTGCACAACACCTGCCAGGCCATTCTCTCCTTTCTCTCACTCTTTCACTCACGTTTAGGGTTTTTTCTTTTAAAGTTTTTTTTCAGATTAAATTGGACTAGTTTTGACTCCCTCACTTTGTCTACTGTTTGTGAGATTTTTTTTATCCACAATTAATTATAGACTTTTGTATCTTTTTTGTTCGCTGACAAAAAGTCACTGCCTTTCACGGTGTATCCTGTGAAGTGCTTGGAGATGTCCTCCTGACGTGAAAGGCACTATTGTGAATGTTAAGATTATTATTTTTACAGTACTACAATCTTATTTTTCTGAAGGTAATTTTTTTCCTAGGTTTGCATTTTCAAAAGCAGAACATTTTGAAAATGCACAAACCTAGGAAAAAAAATTAAAGTTGATTAAAGCCTAATAATAATCCTTGCATTTGGTATTGCGCCTCATCTTGTCAGAAGGGATTGCTGTCTTGTGGGACAAGACACAAATCAACCCATGTGCTTCATGTTTTATACCAATCTGCAGATTGCATATTAAAAATTAACTGAATGCGCCACTGAATGAGTCCACCAAGATTCCTGTGATACTTTAGTATTTTTCATGAAAAGCAAGCTGAGTGTGGTGGAGATTTCTTATTTAAGCTGTACATGTCTAGCTGTGCTAAATAATTCTCAGACTTTGCATTTCAGGTGAGCTGGAGTTCCATTAATATTTCTGCTTACTTTTGTTTAGGTGTTTTATGTACAGGAGAAATATGGGAGTTTCTGAGTTTCACTGAACGCCATTCCAGTGTCATCTACAACATATTTCTATTCAGTTTAACTAGTGCCCTAGGCCAGGTCAGTATTGGATGCGTTACAATGGATGTGCGAGAGATATGTTCAAGATGGTTTTGGGCAACATTTAAAGTAAATAGCATAACCCTGAAGAAGCATTTTTTCCCCCTCTTCACTGCAGAGTTTTATCTTCATGACTGTGGTTTATTTTGGACCTTTGACATGTTCAATCATCACTACAACTAGAAAGTTCTTCACTATCCTCGGTTCCGTGCTGATTTTTGGAAATCCAATCAGCTTCTTGCAGTGGATAGGCACTGTCCTCGTATTTCTAGGTGAGTGTTGTAAATGTTTTGTTATGAGCCTATTTATTTCAAAGTGTGACACAATTTGTTCATTGGAGCAAATACAATGGTTAAAACCATAATAATAATAATCCTTGCATTTGATTTAGCGCCTAATCACATCTTCAAGACGTCTCAAAGCTTCACAGAATATACTGTAAAGTGAATTGACTATATTTTGTGGGCGAAACCTATGGTTGTGTTCACATTAGTGTTCAGATTGCATCTGGAGCACTGTACAGTAGAAGCCCGGTTTGCAGTCACCTTGGTAATCCAGCCACCTCACAATTATGGGCACATTTTCACAGTCTCTTTCATTGTCGATGTTTAAAAAGTCTGTCTGTGCCCTCCTCTGCTTCAAACGCAGTACAAACACCCCTCTCCGCTACTAACCTGTACAGTACACAGTGCACTAGGCCTCGGGACTCTCGCGTTGTTACCCTGACGCTGCTACTGTGGTCGGAGTGGGCTCTGGTCGCGTATGCATAGCGCAGGGAATGTTGGGATCGCAGAAGTAGCGCGAGCAGTAAATCAATTTTGCCCGGTGCTCTCCAGCAGCCAATTCTTGATAAATGCTGTAAACATGCTAACAAGGAAGGAGTTGTCCTTACGTGAGAATGAACTTCATCAAAAACAGTGAGGGCAAAAATCATAGACAGTTAGCTGTGATCTATGGTATTGGTAGAACACAAGTTGGATCCATTCTTAAAAGGAAGGCTGAATATATGACAGGGTTTGTTTTAAATTTGACAATGCCTTTAGTTTAATGAGATTACAAAGTGTGGTTATTGAATGTTCATCATCCTTGCTCATTACCAGGTGCCCTTAACATTACATCAATGACCTTAATCACCTGACCTGTTTCAGTAATGGAGTCACCTCACTAAGTACGTCACTTTTGCCCAATCCCTTAAGTGACCGGATTAGTGAGGTTCTACTGTATATGTTTCTAACTGTGTGGCACAAGGTAGCTGCTTACTTTAGGGCTAAAGATTGAGATCAGATGGGCCAAACCTTTGTAACCTGAGACCCTGATGAGTGCATGCATGCTTAAAGGACTTCACATTTTCTCATAAACTTTGTTTTTCCCCCCCAACCCCCCACTTTCTTACAGGCCTTGGATTTGATGCCAAATTTGGAAAGGGGGCCAAAACAAAATGACGATTTAAACATCACGGAATGGAGCAATTTATCAATGTGGAGAGGAGACTTGCATTACAAGAATGCCAGGATTTTTTCCTAAACCTTTACTCAATGAGCGGGTTGATTGCTGCAACTTTGAATGTTTGTTTTAATTTCGATTCTTTTACATTTTAAAGGGAAAATTTCAAGGTTTCTGCTGCAATGTGAGTATTGTTAAGTTTTGCCCCCAATACTTTGTACAAAACTTTGTTCCTTTCTTATCCTGGACATGCTCCCATATCAGATCTAACCTGGAAGTGCTATTCATTGAAATCCTAAAATTTATTATGGCCATTTGAAATTTGTACTGTAATAACAGTTGCACAAAAAAATATTCTAAAAGATGAACAAGTCCGATTTATTTCATATAAGCATTTATTCTAATCTGATTTAATTTTGTCTACGACAGAGATTTTATATAATTTATAGCCATGTTTTCTATATCAATGTTTTCTATCACTTAATAAAATTCCAGGAGCCCTGTTAGTGTTTTAAAATTTAATTGCAAGTGGTTTGTACAGCTTCTGATGGATATGGAGCACTCTCCCACACAAGCTTAGCTACATTGCCCCAATTTGTCAGCCATTTGGGACTATTTTATCTTGTATTACCTCAATGCCAGGCTTGCGTTCCAAGCATCTGAGTTGTTTCAATTTCTATGAATCACAAACACTTTATATACAATGTATTCTGGATAATGTTTTCAAGAAGTGAGGCTTCACTGATCACTCAGTTGGTTAGACCAGTCCTTAGTGTGAAACTGACTCAATTGTCCCAGATTTGGTTTCTGCTTTCTTCTGAGTTAGTTGATCTCATTGGGGCAGTAATGAGGGATGTTGACAAGTGGCTTTCATTATCGTAGATTAGAGCGAGACTTAAACCTAACTATCCAGTAACCATTGCTGGAAACTGCACACCTTAAAGGCATTGAATGAGAAAGGCAGAATTGGGCTTACCTCTGGTTTTCTCTTCTCTCCGTTCACTCTCTCCTGGCCACACACCGTTAAGTTCGTCTGTCAGCACTTGGTATGTAGGGTTTCCACACAAGAAATGGTCAGGTACCAGATGACAGCAGATATCCACGCAACTAAAGAATGGTGGAGTATCTATGCAGGGGAAATGACAAAGAGCATTCATTTAAAAAAAATGTAAGCACTTTGTCATAATAAAAATATATTTCATCACAGTGCTGTCTATAGTCTCTTGTGTGTTCAGTTCCTTGTTTGCATGTCCTATTTAATGCTTACAATGCCATTCTGTTATGAAAATTAGTGTGCCTAAGAAAAGCAATATTTACCACCATCTTCCATCTAGCGTTATTTATAGTTAGTACAAAATAGCTTCTAGTAACTAATGAAGGAAGAAAATTGACAAGAGATGGGTTATGATAGTCCCATCCACATTACTTTTTATTCTGAACTTTCCCATTTTGATGAGCCATCTGTTTTTTTACCTGTTGTCTTACGGTTCACAGTCCGAATGGTATGAGTTGTGGAAATTTTCCAACAACTCAGTTGGCATCTCATTTCAAAATCAGACTTTAGAAAAATATTTTTTCAGTATACATTGTACATTATTCCAGTTTAAAGCATCAAAATACCTATCGCTAAAGACTAAATAATTTGAGTAAAGTCCAGTTATTGAATCGGTCTTCAGAAAAAAACGATTGCTCCATGATGTCTTAAGGAGCAAGAGATTCCAGCTTGTAAGTAGCTCACTTTATTTGGTGCTGTTCAGTATACCAAATTTAATTTGGAGCTATTCGTGACCTGGTCACAATCAACTCTACTCTGAATTTTTAAACTGTTCCTATATTGCAGCGTTGTCCACATTTACATCGATCATTTGTCTCCTATACTTTCTTCTACAATAAATGGGTTTACTGATTTTTGTCTCATGACAAGTGTTGCTTTGATCCTTTGAACACTGGACAAGCACAGACAACTTGCATCACACATGATTTTTTAGCTTGCATTACATTTCCCTTGTGAAAACTGAACATGACTGGTTGCAAGTGTCCCCTGGGTTTCTATTTTGCCCACAAAATATGCAGTCAATTCACTTTACAGTATATTCTTTAAAGTGCTTTGAGACATCTAGAAGATGTGAAAAGAGCTATATCAAATGCAAGGATTATTATTTTCTTTTAATGGAAGGTGATCTTTCATGTAAGTTAGGGGGGGATAAATCTCTATCTTGGAGTTGAGAGTATTACTTTTTACATAAGTAGTCATGTTCTGTGGCCTGTTGCAAAAGGACTTCGCACAAACAACAGTTGGTCACAAAGGATCTATTGTCCCAAAACAATATACAAATCGATAACTTATCCTATTCTGATTGACAATAACAGTAATTACAATGTCTGTCTCAATATTATTTAGTGGGATAATTGTGACTTCTCTCATTGTAGTGAACTGCTTCTGTCTAATTGTGTGCTGTCAAATGCTGTGCATTTGCAACATCTGGCTCTTCTAAAGCCATCTGGAATTCAAAGAACATTGGTCCTTGACAGTTGGCAAACATGCCTTTACCAGTGCGAAACTGAAAACTACTTAACCAAGTCTAGTAACCAGGGACTTCAGTATTAAAATGCAGTGGATATGATCCAAATAGAATGTGGTTAATTGGCACCTTTGAGCCCAGGCACAAAAGTAACATTCAGCGAATTCAATTCCAAACTAGGTTGGAAACTGGATCAAATGCACAAGATTTTTTTTGGAATGATTACACTATCCAATTACTGTCTAGATCTAACACGTGAATACTTAATCATCACAGGGTGTAAAGAAAAATGGTTATGGACACTATCCAACCCATCGATGCATTGTTTTTAACTATACAGATGGAACAACAAATTACATTTGTGTGGCGCCTTTCACGTCAGGAGGATGTCCCAAGGCGCTGGAGGACATCCTCCTGACGTGAAAGGCGCCACACAAGGCGCTGGAAGAATTAGCTCACCAAGCTTGATCTGTTTTGTTAGTTCATGGTAATATTTTGTCTTTTTAACCCAATTCCCCAGTCTCTTCTTCCTTAAAAACATTATTTCTTATGTATATCTACTCTTTTAAACATCTCGACCGATTCTGCACCGGTGTTCTTTCTGGGCAAGACCATTCCACATCCAGCAGATCTTTTGAAGATGTGTTTTCTGAATTCACTTAATTGGCTTGGGTCTGATTTTAAAGCTGGCCCCCCTTGCTCTGAATTCACATTTTAGTTGGAGGAATTGTTCTTTATCTGCCTTGTCAAGTTGTTGTTATTTTAATCCTCTTAATATCAGAAACCCCTTTTATTCTCTGCTCTTAGGGAGGTTAAGTAGTCATTTTAGTGAATCATCGCTGGACTTTCTCCAAGATCAGTATAGTTTATGCTTTTTGTTAAGATAGTTTATCTTTTGATGTTCTGAACATTAAAGTGATCGATGTAGGCTATAACAACATAGATTACTAGTATCTTTTTATAGATATTGAAAGTATTCCATGCACAGACAAAAGTGATTTAAGCAATTCAAAGGAATCAGATAATAGGCATTTATGGTTCTTTTATTATAGAGGTATTCCCATTATCCCAAGTGAAACCATATGTCAGTTCATGATAAACCTTGGGCTTGAGTTCAAGCAAGTTTGATTCAATGTGAAGCATTTTTTTAAATGTCTTTTTCAAAAAGCAAAATGAGGACATGAGCATTCTTCTTTACACCTTAAGAAAGTATTCACATTTTAAACCCAAAGTAGATAGCATAACCTATTTTCCTGCAATGTACTGAGGCAGAATAAATTTGTTCTAGAAATTTGCCTTCAACACCTTGGGACATCCTCCTGGCATGAAAGGTGCAATTTAAATATAGATGTGTATTGTAAATTGTAAATGTATTAAAATCTGTTAACATTATAATGTTAAGGATTCCAGGGGTGATGAAATTTACACTTACTATATATAGCACCTTTTATGTCAGTATGACGTCCCAAGCAAATTTAGCCCTAGTTTTGTTTAGAACAGTATTTAACACAAAAATATTGTTTACAATTCTAAAGGGAGAATATTTAGTTACAGAAACCACAGAATTTGGTCTCACACAAGCTGGAGAGAATCTAGATCCCCTGTGGATCTTACTCTGTTATTACGTAAGTACAGGGTGACCATAAAGTCATGATAACTACTCAGTTATCTAAAAAAAATTACAATATCACTTCTTTAAGACTCATTAAACATTCTAATGAGATCACAACTTTTTGGTCACCCTGTAAAATTGCAGATATCAAGATTATTGTCTCAACAATTTGTCAAATTGGACCAAACTTCTGGTAAATGCAGGTATTGAACAGAAATCTTTGAATACATTCTATCCCCACCAACTATAAGGCTGAGAATTGTTCCTTTAATGTGTTTACTTTTAATGCATTTAATTTCATGCTGAAGCAAACCTTGGCTTCTTAGAGCAACAGAATATTTTTATTAATGCATTGAACCCTTTTAAGTCCAAGATTAAAATTCTCAGAAGATTCAACTTTGCACATTAAAGCGCATTGAGACAGATGCACTTTGTGTTCCATCTGTTTGCACATTGGCTTCTAAATGCAACAGATGGGACTATTATCTCCCTACGGAGTTACCACCTTCCTCTGCTCCCTTTTTTAAGGTTGACCTCATGCAAGTTATGCACGAAGTTCATCTACCTCTTCTTTGCCAATCACGTCACCCCAAGTCACATCAAGGAAACGTCGCCTTTTCCGTGAAGTTCATTTAGAAACTGGATTTGTATTTTAAAGGGAAATGGGACATGCGCTGCTTTGTAGGTTATGAAACTTTGTCTTGTATCTTTGTCTTCTCCGAATCCTTCACTCTACATTTTGGTTTTAATTGGTAGAATGTAGGCTTCTGTCTAATTACCTGCATGATGAAAATGGTGAGTTGACTCAATCTTGGCTACGCTGTTTGGGAGACTTGAACAGCGATTTTCCTCTGAGCTGATCTCATGCCCTGAGAGGCAAGTGACCCGATAGCAACTTTGGCAGAAATTTGGAACATGTTCAATGTGAGGGAGGAAATGACACATATTTTTGTTTTGACTAGATCACATGTTGTGCAGTATAATAATTTTAAAAAATTGGCAAGGCAAAGAAAATAGAGGAAATCATTTAATTAATCGCTGTAACAACTAAGACAAACTTGGCCTTTCATTGAGCCGAAGTTTAGATTCTGATACCAATGAGATTCTGTATATAGATATTTTCTCACGCCACTACTCCCAGGAAAGTGGGAAGGAAAAAAAATAAAAATTAAACTTTAAATAACAAATCTTTAATACTTTTTGATCAGTATAGTAAAACAAATAGTTTTTAAACAGAGTCCTTTTACACCTGAATGCAATCAAATTGTTTGCAACTTATTGGCGAACTGTCATTTTTTTATGGTCAGCGGATGTCTAGCACAAATGTGGAAACCCAACGTTTAAAAGTACCCAACCCAAACAGTTCATGCATCCCACCTATACATGAAAATTCCAGAGCTATAAATATAAACAGTCTAGAGAAGACGTGAATTGTTGCTGTTCCTTCCCTGCTGTAGATTGCACAACACCAATTAAAAGCGTCTTGCCTGATGAGTAATAACAATTTTTAATTGAGGAACAAGCAATTTATTAATGGCACTCTGCTTTAGTGTCATAATCTGAGTCAGAAACTTATGTAAGAATGGAAACGCATTTGGTATCGTACAGGTGGCACATCACTGAAGAATTTGGCATCAATAAAATCCTCTCAGGATACTGCGTCCACTGGGTTCAACAAACAGATGCAAGACGTTACCACTGACCTGGCAATTCATAATCAAATAGAATCTTAACTGGATCGGATATAAAACCGGTTCTGCACCTGTTTATTCAGATTCCTCCACTTCACAATGTCCACATTGAACAAGAGGTTTATTAAAATCAGTTAAAATTTTAAATCAAATGTGAGTCTTGAAAACATAAAATGACTGATAACTTGTAGGACTGATATGATCTGGAGTGTGGCACTATTAGTCTGGCTCAGTTGGTAATGCTCATGCCTCTATGTGAGAAGCTTGTGGAATCAAGCTCCATATCGGGACTTGGACCTCATAATAATAAATGATAATCCTTGCCTTTGATATAGCACCTTATCACGACTTATATATTCCATACTGACACTCCAATGCAGTGCTGAGGTGGTGCTGCACTGTTGGAAGGTGCTGTAAAGACACACGTCAAGCACACGAGAGCTGTCACTGCCACAGCTAAGTTCGAGTGATTTATGATAGTAGTCAGTCAATATGATCACAGTTTTATCAATTAAAATTGCAAGTAAAGTGAATTGTTTTATAAGCATGCTATCAACTTTTATGATTTGTCATTTGGTGGGTGCAATAAAATACTGTTGACTGATAATATAAAATCATAATTTTACATTTGATCCAACGCCTTTCACATCGGGAGAATACCTGAAAGCGCAGCACAGGATATGCTTAAAAGTGTATTTTGTGGTTGACAACCAGTTTGCACACAGAAAAATCCCACAACCAGACGGAGTGAATGGCCAATATGGAAGATTGCTGGTCAGGACACCGAGAGAAAGAAACTCCCTTCTCTTTGAAATAGTCAAATGGAATTGGTTTAATGTCTCATCAAAGGACGGTTCCTGCAACAACTCAACGCTCTCACTCATTGCAACGGGAGCTAAGACTATGTGACTAGAGGGATGCATGGTGACAGCAGAACAAGGCTTAAGCGTTGCAAAGGGCAATTGCAGGACAAAGTGGAGTCCTGTAGCTCAGTGGTTAGAGCGCCCGTCTTGCTGACGAGAGGACCCGGGTTCGATTCCCAGGCAGGGAGAAACGTTGCACAAGTTTTCTTACCCCACACGCCTCTGTTTACCAGCAGTAAGTAGGAACCCGGTTGTCAGTCGATCGGCGGATTACTTTTCCGCGGGTAATAATCCCTTCAAAAATAAAAATAATAATAATAAATTGGTCACTTCAATCCATGACTGTGGGACGCTGCTCTGGCAATTGGCTGCCACGTTTCGCCCACAAAACATAGTCAATTCACTTTACAGTGTATTCTGTGAAGCGCTTTGAGACGTCTGGAAGACGTGATAAAGTGCTGCCAGGATTATTATGATCATATTATCATTATATATGGTATATTATTGTAATATATTATTATATATTATATATCGTTGTTACATATTATGATTATATGCTATATTATCTTGTATTATTATTGTTATTAAGACGCCAGGAAGCTTTTTCTTTACCAAAGAGGTAATTAACGAATGGGGAACAGGTTTCTGGGGCCACTGAGAACAGGTGGATCTGAGGACCTCCTTCACCCAAACCCAACTCGCGCCCAATGTCGGTGTTCTGTGACTGAACCGCTAGGGGGCGGGAGAGGGGGAGAGGGGGCGGGAGAGGGGGGGGCTTTCCACTGAGCATCCATGTTGACCAAACAGATTGCCAGAGTTTTTTTTCTCTGGCGAAAACAAAAACATCTCGAGAATTTTTTTTTTTTTAAAAATCAGCATTGCCGACCTAGCAACTGTTTTTGTGGGGGGGGTGGGAGTTAAGTTCTATTCTCCCCCTCCCCTTAGGTTTCAACATTTTTTAAAAAAAAACCTTGTTCAGGCATATGTGACGGACCCCTGGTGCTCAGAGCAGGACCCCAGGGTGGCAGTTGGAGGTCGCGCGGCCGAGAGACAGAGACGGTCGCCATGTTACGTCTGATGTACCAGCAGGCCAAGAGGCACCCGAGCGTGAGTAGCCAGGCTTTCGGACGCGGCTTTTGACAACCTCCCTTACCCCCTCACCCCACCTCCCTTGCCCCCTCACCCCTCCCTTACCCCCTCACCCCCTTACCCCCTCCCCGGCCCGAGTGGAGGAGCGGCGCCGCCCTAACCTTGAGCCGAGGCCTGAGACCTCCCCAGCAATCAGCTCTCCCTTGTGAGGCGAGTTACTCACTGAGCTATAGGACTTCATTGGGTAATGAGAACATTTTTTAGCCGATTTAGAAAATCCGGTACATTTTGATATTCTTATTTGCTGTGAAAGGAGAATTAAGTTTCAAGGTGAACGATCAAACGTCCTCAAAAACAGACCACCAGGAGAGATGTGTATTTGTAATCTGAACTATGGACTGAGTAAGGGCATTAAACACCTTGTTGCTGTCACTTAAAACTTAAAAAGTTTTTATTATATCATATTCCAGGGTCTCATAGATTGAAACACTTTGAGACATCGTCCTAACCTGAGAGGTGCTGCACTAAATGTAAGGATTGTTATTTTGCCTTAATAACAATAATCCTTTATTTTATAGTGCTTTATTACTCTGTTGGGACACCTCAAAGCGCTTCACAGAATATACTGTAAAACTGGAAATATACTTCTTCCTACTCTCTAAATTGCTTTACTGTTAGTTATGAAATTCCCCTTTCAGTAAATTACTTTGTTGTAAACAACCTCTATTTTAAGATTAAAGGATAACTCAGTAAAGACTGCAATTCTGCTATACTAGTCCACGCGAAGAGTGCTATAATTGCAAGTTGTTGTTACGATGTGATTTTCTGATACCAAACCTTCAGCCTCTCTGAATTTTTTTGATCTATGGCAAATTATCATCAGTCTGTTTATGACATGCAATAAACACTTTGGCCAAGAAATGTTGTATTGTGTGTAATCATATCTTGGGATTTTCCCCTTCCTCTTGTACTGTGTTGTAAAAAGTAGCTTGTGCAGTAAGACAAGCTTTTAACCGACGAAATGGAAGTAATTTCCATTCAGTGACAATTTGATGCAAGTCTGAGATTCTTTCGTCTTGTTATTCTGTTATAGTTGTGTAAAAAGTTATCTGTATCATTTTCAGTGAGCCATACATTCATTAATTAATAAATACCAATTATGTGGCCATGGGACTGAGAAGTTGAAAGATTTCAGCAGTCTTATTTAATGTTTTTGAAGGATAGCATCAAAGAATTGTTCAAGACAACCGTGATTAGCACTAATAAACTTGGTAAATAACTTCTTTGTTATTTTGTATTGACTGACCAGTTTTTCAATGAGTCCTAAGATAATTGCTGCAATTAATTCTAAAGTTCATACTGTTTTTCTGGAAGTGTTATTATTGACATATTTGGTAATCTGCTGATGTATTTTCTTTTTAATAGTTGGTTCCTTTGTTTGCCTTCATTGGGATTGGAAGTTTCGGTGCAGGCGGTTACCTCCTCCGCCTTGCTCTCCGCAACCCTGATGTTTGGTAGGTACCCTGTATGTTGTAATATTAATCTGCTGCTTATTTTTTAGAGGCCAAAATCTGGCTTTGAATAAACTACAGTCCATGTCTACATATCCACTTCACGAGTGTATCCTCATAACATTGCTCTCCTTACTTCTGCTCCTTGTCCTAAAAGCATAACTGTTGGTTATTCATCTGAAAAATACAGTCATTAATCTTCACAGTATATTCTGTGCAGCACTTAGTGACATCCCCCTAATGTGAAAGGCATTACATCAATTAAGAATTATTTTGTGTGTCCCTAGATCCTCCAATACTATTCACAAGCTGATATTTTCTAGGTCTCTTTTATTTGATATTGCTAAGTGACTCAGCACCAGCTATTTTTCATGACAGTTTGGTGCGTTTTTACTAAGTTTAGGTTAATATCTTTTTTGTTGCTGTTTTGTCCATATAGCTGGGATCACAAGAACAACCCTGAGCCATGGAATCGACAGGATGCCACTCACCAATACAAGGTAATGTACAATTTTCTTTTTAAGTGTGAGAAACCAAATCATTAGTGATGACAATTTTAAAACGGACCAAATTAGCAAATCTGCACTGTTTGTTGGGCTATTATTTAGTCCGTTGCTTTGGGTCCATATAGAATTGTGATTCCACGCAGATGGTAAAATTGGAATGATTTTACCATAAAATTGGAACAGAATTTTTTAATTATGTGCAATAAAACAATGCCATTGTTGATAATAGCAATAAACATAATATTAGCTGTTGGTGTTTGTCCAATCAAAATCGGAAAAATCAGAATGGCTTGGCAGATGGATGGATGGCTTGTACTTGTGTGCATTATATAATTATAATATAGAATAATCCTTGAATTTGGTAACTTGCAACTGGATTATATGAATCAACAGTATTCTGGAATGAAATTAACTGTCGGCCCTCCTCTCCTAAAGCCACTCACTCGTGTTGAGCTCCAGCCCCACAAGTGTTGGCAGCCTTCTGGTCAGGCATCAGGTGGCTATTCTTAAAGTGCCCCTCAGACATTGAGAACCAGCAAGCTATTGGAATGTGAAAGCCAATCCCTGTTGAATTCTTTGATGTTAACATGTATTCATCAGCAGGAGAGGCTACGCAGCTATTGGGAGCAGCTTTGTTTTTTCACTCCTTCCAGGGCAGCTAAACCGATGTAATGCCCCACTGATGAAATTCACTTTAATTTTATATTGATATTCCTATTTTTGCGAAAGGAGAATTGAGTTTCAAGGTTAATGAGCAAAGGTCCTCAAAACAGACCAATATTTCAAAATTTGCTTTAATTTTTGTCTTTCGTACAATTTTAATCTCAAATAATCCTATTACCCAGGAGCTCCAGACAGCTGAATTTCTTCTTATCCCGAAAATCTGAACAAAATTCAAGAACTTTGTCCTCATTACTCCGGTCATACCGAAGCCTTATCAGTTACACATGGATGTACCTTTTCTGATTTAACCGATCAAATGATGCAATAACAAGGCAATTACGTTGCATTCAATTCATTAAGGTTTTAAAGGTGACCTTTGTCTCCCATGTGTGGAGAGCTGCTATTGTTACACACTTACCCGGGTGGCCGAGGGAATGGTCGAAGAGGAAGGTCTTTAGACGGGACTTGAAGGAGACAAGAGAGTGGGTGAGGTGGAGGGATTGTGGAATAGAATGTGGGGCCAGAGATGCTGAATGCCCGACCGACAATGGTGGGGCGGGAAGTGTGGGAGACCTGAAGCAGGCCAGTGTCTGCCGAGCGGAGGCAGCGGACAGGCTGATATGGGGTTAGGAGGTCAGAGAGATGGGGGGAGCAAGACCGTGAAGGAACACCGTACCTTGAATTTCCTTAGCGAAGTGTTTATGTACAGAGTGCAGTAAGTGATATTAGCAGAGACAAACTGATGACGTGGAACCAGGTCACTTTTAGAACAGGAAGATGGCTGCTTATGCTGTAGTCAATCCCTCCAGTAACCATGTTTCTCAGGGCACTAAAAGTGAACCCACATTCTCGTGAGATGCTTAATAATGGTATTGCTCTGTATGTACAATATGGAATATATTGGTCTGTTGTTGAGGACCTTTGATAATTCACCTTGAAACTTAATTCTCCTTTCATAACAAATAAGAATATCAAAATGTACTGGATTTTCTAAATTGGCTAAAAATGTTCTCATTACCCGATTAAGTCGTATAGCTCAGTGAGTAACTCGCCTCACAAGTGAGAGACCTGGGTTCAGTTCTCTGTTGGGCAAAACGTTGGGCAGGTTTCCTTACTTCAAACGTCTCTGTTTACCTAAGCAGTATATAGGAACCCGGTTGTTAGTCAATCACTTTTCCGGGGGTAATAATTCCTTCAAAATAAATAAATTGATCTCTAAATCCCCGACTGTTTGTGGGACACTGCTGTGCACCATTGGCTGCTGCATTTTGCCCACAAAATATACAGACAATTCACTTTACAGTATATTCTGTGAAGCGGTTTGAGACATCTCGAAGACGTGATAAGGAACTATATCAAATGCAAGGATTATTATTATTAATTGGAAAATTCCATATGTTCATTAAAGTTTTCACTTTTTCCCCCATTAGTTCTATGCTGTGAACCTGGACTACAGTAAACTGAAGAAGGACAGGCCAGATTTCTAATGTTGAAGATCATGTAAACTATCAATGGTATTGCCAGCCTACGAAGCAATCCGCACAATGATACATCTTACTGGGATCTCACAATAATATGTTATTGCTATGTTTACATAGTCGTTTTCCTTAATTATGTATATATGGAATGCTCACATCAATAAACGTTGGAGAGCTGCAGTTACATTTACTTGAATGTTGCTGTTATAAACAGTGGTTTTCTGAGTCGTAAATTTGTGGGTTCAAGCTTCATGTCGCGATTTGGAACCCAAATAGTCAATTTATGAAGCACTTTAGGCGGTGTTGGAAGTGATTTTTTTTTTGTTCAGCACTCCCAAGATGCTACCCAATGTGAAAGGGCTCTAAAACAACAACAAGATTCCATTTATAAAGCGCCTTTCACGTCAGGAGGACGTCCCAAGGTGCTGCACAGTTGGGTCAGGACCCGAGCAGGGGGAAATGGTCAGGGTGAGGGGAGGGAAGGGAGGGAGCGAGGAGGGGGAAATGGTCAGGGTGAGGGGAGGGAAGGGAGGGAGCGAGGAGGGGGGAAATAGTCAGGGTGAGGGGAGGGAAGGGAGGGAGCGAGGAAGGGGAACAGAGTCGAGAGGGGAGCTGAAGGCTCGGTCAAAGAGAAAGGTTTTGAGACCGGCCTTGAAGGAGGAGAGGGAGGAAGCGGCGAAGGCACTGGGGGATAGAGTTCCAGAGCCTCGGGGCTGAGAGGCCGAAGGCCCGACCACCGATGGTAGGGCGGTTGGGGCGGGGGATGTGGAGCAGACCGGAGCCAGAGGAACGGAGGGTACGGGCAGGTAGGTAGGGGGATAGTAGGTCAGAGAGGTAGGAGGGAGCGAGGCCGTGGATGGCCTTGTAGGTGAGGATGAGGATCTTGAAATCAATCCTCTGGGGGATAGGGAGCCAGTGGAGGCGAGTGAGGGTGGGAGTGATGTGGTCGCGAAGCCTGGTGCGGGACAGTACACGAGCTGCAGAGTTCTGAATGACCTGCAGCTTGTGGAGGGAGGTGGCGGGAAGGCCGGCGAGGAGAGAGTTCCCATAGTCCAGCCTTGAGGTGACAAAGGCGTGAACCAGGGTTTCAGCAGCGTGAGGGGTGAGGTAATGCCGTAGTCTGGCGATGTTCCGGAGGTGATGGAAGGCGGTGCCAGTTGTGGTGCGGATGTGAGGGAGAAAGGACAGCTCAGGGTCGAACAAAACGCCGAGGTTCCTGATGGCCTTGAGAGGTGGAGAGTGCAGTCTTGGATGCTGATGGTGTCGGTGCCTGAGGTGCGGAGGCGCTGACGTGAGCCAATCAGGAGGGCCTCAGTTTTGCACACGTTGAGCTGAAGAAAGTTGTCTCTCGTCCAGGACTCGATGTCGGACAGGCAGCTGTCAGGACATCGGTGGTCGTGGAATTGAGGGTAGAGGAGGAAAGGTAGAGTTGGGTGTCATCCGCATACATGTGGAAGTTAACCCCATGTTTGCGGATGATGTCACCGAGGGGGAGCATATAGAGGGTGAAGAGGAGGGGACCGACCGTATCGAATGCTGCCAATAGGTCGAGGAGGACGAGGAGACAGAGGGAGCCCTGGTCACAGATAGTCAGGATATCATTGGTGACCTTGACCAGGGCAGTTTCTGTGCTATGAGCAGCACGGAAACCTGACTGAAGGGGTTCAAAAAGAGAATGGGTGGAGAGGAAAGAGCGCAGTTGGGAGGCGACAACTCTTTCCAAGACTTTGGAGAGAAAGGGGAGGTTGGAGATGGGCCGGTAACTTGATAGCTGCGACGCATCAAGGGAGGGTTTTTTCAGGGTGGGCGTGATGGTGGCAGTTTTTAATGGAAAGTGACTGGGTGACTGTCCGGCATGGTAGGAAGAGGGGACGGGCTGGGCAAAATGCCTTCAATAGTGTAGCACTCTTAAACCAGTACTCTGTACTGAATATTGAGAGTTGATATCTCTAGGGAGGACAGTAAAAAACGATTTGTTGAACAGCGGGACATAGGTAACAGGAGCAATGCTGTTGCCATAGGGGATACAACAGTGAGAGGTATAGACAGACGTTTCTGTAACAGAAAACGGGAGTCAAGGATGGTATGTTGCCTCCCTGGTGCAATAGTCTTAGACATCGCGGAACGGGTGGATAAAATTCTTCAGAAGGGAAGGAGAACATCCAGAAGTGGTGGTCAAGGTGGGGATCCATGATATTGGTTAAAAAAGGGCTGAGACTGCAGGGTGAATATCAAAAGCTGGGAAACATAATAAGGAATAGAACATCCAAGGTGGTGATCTCTGGATTACTCCCTGTGCCTTGGGCTAAGTACCATAATGGCAGAATCAAGCATATGAATGCTTGGCTGGAGAAATGGTCCAGAAAAGCGGGCTTCAGATTTCTATATCATTGGGACCAGTTCTGGGGCAGGTGGGACCTGTACCATATGGATGGGTTGCACCTAAACAGGGCTGGGGCGAATGTGCTTGCAGACAGGCTAACTACTGCTGTTGGGGAGGGTTTAAACTAGTTTTGAGGGGGGAAGGGAATGCAAAAAATGAAGAGCTAGAAAATGGAGAAATAAAACAGGGGGAAGCGCAGAACAGGTCAAGTCGGTCTTGGAGTGCATGTGCCTAAATGCACAGAGTTTAGCAAACAAGATTGGTGAGCTGCAGGCTCAAGTGGTCATGGGGGAGACGATGTAGTAGCAGTAACAGAGACTTGGCTCAAACAAGGACAGGAATGGGAGCTGAATATTCCTGGCTATAATGTATTCAGGAGGGATAGGGAAAGAAAAAAAGGAGGGGGTGTGGCAATGTTAATCAAGGATACGGTTATAGCCGTGGAAAGGGTCGAGGTGCTGGAGGGCCCCAAAACGGAATCTATCTGGTTAGAGTTAAGGAACAAAAAAGGAGCTGTTACGCTGGTAGGGGTATACTATAGACCACCAAATAGTGGGAAGGAAATAGATGAGCAGATCTGCAAGGAGATCTCAGACAGATGCAAGGCCAATAGAGTCGTGATAATGAGGGACTTTAATTATCCCAACATAGACTGGCAAACAACAGCGCAAAGGGCAAGGAGGGGGAAATATTCTGCAAATGCATACAGGACAACTTTCTTGATCAGTACGTTTCCAGCCCAACGAGGAAGGAAGCAGTGCTAGATCTAGTTCTAGGGAATGAAGTAGGACAAGTGGAGCAGGTTTCAGTGGGAGAGAATCTGGGTAATAGTGATCATAACATCATTGGATTCATATGGAAGGAGATGAGGAACCATCTAAGGTGAAGATATTCAACTGGAAGAGGGCAAATTTCAGTGAGTTAAAAAGGGACCAAGCCAAGGTGGACTGGAAAGAAAGAGTGGCAGGTAAAACAACTAAAGAGCAGTGGGAAGTCTTCAAGGATGAGATAGCTCGGGGACAGAATAAATGCATTGCCACAAAAGGGAAAAGTAGGGCATCCAAACCTCCGTGGATGACGAAGCTAATTGTATCTAGAATGAAGCAGAAAAAGGAGGCGTATGACAAATGTCAAACCCAAGACACAGAAGACAACCAAATAGAATATAGGAAGTGCAGAAGAGATTTGAAAAAAAAAGCGCCCAGTTCTGGGCACCACACTATAGGAGGGATGTTAAGGCATTGGAAAGGGTGCAGAGGAGATTTACGAGGATGGTACCAGGAATGAGGGACCGTGATTATGAGGAAAGGCGAGAGAGGCGAGGATTATTCTCGTTGGAGCAGGAGGAGACCTAATAGAGTTCTTCAAAATCATGAGGGGATTTGATAGGTTGGAAAGGGAAAAACTGTTTCCACTGGTGGGTGTTTCGGTGACTTGAGGTCACAGGTTTAAAATAGTCTCTAAAAGAAGCAGAGGGGAAGTGAGAAGAAATTTTTTCACGCAGCGAGTTGTTCGAATCTGGAACGCATTGCCTGAAAGGATGGTCGAGGCCGATTCGATAACTACTTTTAAAAATGTGGTGGATGGGTATTTGAGGAGGACGGGTTTGCAGGGATATGGGAAAAAGACTGGGGAGTGGGATTGACATTAATTGTTCTATTCAAAGAGCCGGCACAGACTCGATGGGCCGAATGGCCTCTTTTTGTGCTGTACGATTCTATGATTCTGTGAAGTCTGCATTTAACAAGTACAGTGAAAAGTTTGATACTGAGAAGATTTCACAGATGTTGCAATCACACAGACAATAAGGCTTGTTCAACTGCACGGAACAAGTACAGTAGTCATAATATGCGTCTAATTTAAATTAGAATTCTGCCTTTCTATGCAAAGAGAGTGATTACCATCGATCATCCCTACCCATATGCAAAGCCAATTGGATGCGAGCATGGAGAGAGTTTCAAAAGGTAAATAGGATGCAACAAACTATTTACAGATATGTCCTACCTCCCCAGCCTTCCCCCCACCCCCACCCATTATTAATTATTCATTTGCGCTAACAGATTTTTTTCTCTCTCTGTGCTTTGTGTGCCTTGTGGATAGCCAGCCACATTAACTTTGAATGGACATTACACGCGGACAGAAATAATTAATGATGATTACACACTGTAATAGAGCTTGACTGAAAGGATGGGAATACACTTCACAGATGGTCACATCTCCGGAGCGTGCACTTTGTGCCACGTGTTGAGAAATTCATCACAAAGTCAATACTGAAAAAGGCAATTACAGTGAGGCTTTGCCACCTTTGGTGGGGGTTCTGCTCAGTAGAGTGAGGCGACCTTACCATGGCTTAGATCCATGCCTTCAAACACCTTTTAAGGACATTTGCTGGATTAATTTTCCATTAACTCACATGTTTAATTTGCCCTGTTGTAAGGAAACTGTAATAATAATTTGTAACCGCTATAAGCCCAATCGTTGCCAGATGTTGCTTTTCATCACAATACATTTTCACAGCCATCTGCTCGTGCCTCAAACTCAGCTGTTTGTTCTGTCTTCTGGAACATTTTTTTTGTGGATTCAGTCAGGATTCATGCTCTTCCATCAACATCTTTTCAAAGCTCACATAATATAAAAGAAATGTATGGGACGGAGTTCCTTACTCCACACACCTCTGTTCACCGAGCAGAAGGCAGGAACCCGGTTATTAGTCGATTGGCGGGGATTGTTTTCTGAGGATAATAATCCCTTCAAAAAAAAAAGGGTCACTCAATCCACGACTGTTTGTGGTACGCTGCTGTGCGCAATTGGCTGCCGCGTTTCTCCCA